GTGTTCGTGAATACCAGACTTAGGGCTTGATCGTGGTGATACAGATACAGTCACTCACTCTTCCGACTACATAGGATTTCCTTTCTTATTCTAGTTTTGGATTTTAATTGTGTAAATTTATTTATAGTATGGGATTATTAGGGGTCCACTAGTTGGATTTCCAAGTTGTACGATTTTGGAGAATTTAATGATATTAATTTATTATTTAAAGTTTGAGGATTTTTATTTTAGATTTCTTTCAGCACATTATTATTTTATTCTTAATTCAGTTTTTATTCCTACTTGTTTATATATTGATTGTCTGATATTTCTCGGATCTGTGCTCGGACTTGATCACCCGTGACTCTAGAATCGAGGAGTATCACATTATTTCTTAAGTAACAATGTTTGTTGGTCCATTTGGTTCCTTTTAGTTTTCTGGGTTTGGGGCTTTTATGAGCTCAATTTGTATTATATATATATATATAGAAAGTGCTCAATTTGAGTATTTGTAATTTAGGAACATGCTTCCAGTCAGCAATGATTCATTTCTTGATTCCATTCATAGCACCTATGATTTCTATGCTGGGAAGATCTCCAAACTTCTATTTGTTAGGAGATCATCACTTGTTTGGAAGATTTGGGTTCACGATTTCATGGGCAAGGCTGCAAAGATAGCAGACTCTTCGATAAGTGAAGAATCAGTTTTGAGGGATGGCAGGAATTTTGTGTATATGGTGGCCAATCTTTTGGAACAAAAGGGTGTGAAAATTAAGGGGGTTGATGATATGAGCTTTGATGTGAACGCTGATACCGGTAATGTTAATGAAACCTTTCTGGTAGACGGAAAGAAGATGGTCTTCTGGTCTTATCAGATGGGTGTTGATGTAATTCAGAAATGACTTGAAAAATTAGTTATGGGGATTGTAGATGGTTACTTTTCTTGTACTGTTGTTGTTTGTTACTAGTCATATCATTTGGTGGCAATTGTAATTTTTACCCACTAATTGATTAGTTACTTTGTCTTTTGTCAGTATGAATACCATCTTATTTTATTTACAATTTTCTGCCAAACATTACCTATTTTTTGGCACCTCTGGTATGCTCAGAGCCTGTAGTAATATAAAACTAAGTGTTTAATAAAACAGTTTTTAAACTTTTTGGGTTCTACTTTATGCTAACTCACTCAAATTTTCTGGAAATCAATTTATTATGTACCTTTGGCTTATTTTTTACTTTGGAAATTTCTATGTTCAACATTTTTCCCAATGGAGGCAATATATTATTGATGCATTTTATTCTCCAAACTCTTTACACAATATATATATATATATATATATATATATATATTTTGTGTACAGCAAATCCAAAAATTAGTAGGTTAAGAGCTCAAGTTCTTTTGTATAGGAATCAGAGGAAACAAGAGTTAATATATCAAGCATCACTATAACTTTCCATGCTGAAGTAAGTTCTAAATTCTTTCAAATGTTATTTTTTTGCCTCATGTGTTTGTTATTTTTGAATTTTATGTTATGAACTTATTAACTATCATTGCCCGGCATCATTAGCTTTTTTTTTTTTTTTTTTTTTTTTTTTTTTTTTTTTTTTTTTCTCTGTTTTGGGTAGACAGTTGAAAGTTCAGTTTGAGTTTTTATTGAAGGATAATTTAAGCAGCCTTGCAGCTTATGTGGTATGGATCTAGTTTATGTTGATTGGATAGTAAACAAGAATGTTGCCTATGTCAACTAAATGAAATGTATGATAAGCTAAGATGTGTATTTTTCTTTTTGAATTTATATAGAATTTTGTTGATCTTAAGAGGAGTGAGTGTGCATCTCAATTATTATCAGCTGGCATGAGGTTAAAAGAGGGCTCCCATAAAAATCGCAGTTTACTCACCCTGGCACGAACTAGATCTTTGTAATCTTGATAACGAGGTTGATATCCTTAATTTAATGTAACTATATATATCAAAATTGTTTGGAGTTAAAGGCCCATTTAATTATATTGTGTGCATATGTATAAAAAGAATGGAATTATAGTGTATAATATTTCAGCCTTAGTGTTTTAATTGCATTATGAAATATTACCATAATGCAAAGCTTGCAAGTTTTCTTGATTCATTTCTTTTAAATATTATGACGGGTTAACTCTGTGTAGCTAAATGTTGTTGCTCGTATAGTTGAAGGTTTTATTTGTTGTTCATGTTATTTTATTTGGATACAGCAAGAAGTCATGTTAAAGAACCAAGAAATACCCTTTTGGGATTCATTCATGGTGTTTTTTGATTTAAGGTATTTCCTTATTTTATCTCAAATTAGTTTAGAGTTATGTTAAAAGTTAGTGCATACCATTCTTACTTTTGGGCTTGGTGGCACATTGATCTAAGTGGTTTCACACATTTTGTCGCCACGTCCTTTGAAGTTACAAGTCCTTTTAGGTACAGCTTTATTCTCATTCACATACTCATTTGAATTCTTAATTTATGAGTTGTTTTGTGTTTTAGTCCTCCGATTTCCTTAATGTGATCAGTTTAGCCTTTATTATTTTTCTGGTATAAGTCTTTTTCTCCTTAATTTGTATCTCAATTATTCTAAAACTTATATGTCAATTCAGGATGAAATGATTAATAAGTCTTTCCAAATTTCTCAAAATTCTGATAGTACCAGTCGAGTGAGAAATGATGTTGAGATAGTGCAAACCAACTAGCTGATATCAGATTCCCAACAACAAGAAGCCCCGCCAACCAGTTATGAGCATCCATCGTCACCAAACTCTCACCTTCAATAATCGCCGCCACCATGGTGGCAATATCAGCATCCACCTCCAATTTTGAAGATTTCTTATGACTAGCTGATATCTAGCCCTTTTTGTCTTTGAACCACAGATTCTGTTGGGCTTTGTTTGGATGTCTTTGCATTTAGTTTATGGTACTCTGATTTCTGAACATGTTGGAAGAGGTTTAAAGTTTATTTTTATATTCTACATGTCATATGCTTTTGATATCAATATCTATGGTGCATGTGATATAATATTTTGTGGGTTTATCCAATCATATGTATATATAAAATGCTTTGAATTTTCATAGTAAGAGTTTTTCTTATAAAAAAGTTGAGAAGAAAAAAAATAAAGACATACAAATATAGTTGGGCCAAAAAAAAAAAAAATGAAGAAGTGGTAATAAAGACGGTTTTTAGTTGTCATAATTGTAATAAAAATAAATAAAAATAAAAAGTTTATTAGTGACCGTAAATACTGTCACAGTTCAAAAATTGTCCCTAATATAGAAGTTATTAGTGACTGTATATTCCGTCCCTAATAACTTTTACGAAAGTACCACTTTTTTTTCCATAGGTACCTTTTTTTGAACTGTAGGTACTACTTTTTGGCCTCCAGGTACCATATTTTCTAAACAGTTGCTTACCTCGTTTAGAGAATAAGTCCATTTTATGATGGTACCACTTTTTTGAACGGAAGGTACAACTTTGTGGCTTCCAGGTACTATGTTTTCTAAACACTCACTTACCTATCTTAGAGAATATTTTGTGTTATTTATGGCGCTAATGGAGTTGTTTATTGATCTAATGTACTACTTAATTAGTGGTGTGGGGTTTAATACCATTTTCAATTGCAAAAATAAGCCCATTTTATGAAGGTACCACTTTTGAACTGAACGTACCAGTATGTGAGGAATACTTGTGAATATTTTTTTAGGTTGGGTTTGACAGCTTAGGTTGAAATTGGTATTCAGCAAAGTCCAACCGGTTACACTTCATGTTAGAACCGATTGCACTTTCTAAGCAAAGCTCTCAGGAAAAATCCAACCGGTTGCACTCCACAATCCAACCCGTTAGAATTCAAAATTTGAAAGGCTATAGAGTTCTGTAATTGTTAAATTTATGGACATTAAGGTTTAATGTTTGAACTCTTGAGAGTGGTTGGTATCAACCCACGTTGTTTTCTAAGTTAGTCAATCATATGATTGACTCCTCCAAGCTTAAACAAAATGATAATCTTCTTTAGATGGCTGGATTTGTGATCTTGGATAAACTTTGATGAGTTTTGTAAAGACTAATACAAGATTTGCCTGGGAGAGGAAGAGAGCAGTGAGACCTACGTCTCAATCTGAGAAGTATAATTTGGTTAAAACGTTAAATAAGGGCTTTTTTGATAATTTATTTTATTAAAAACAGTAATGGAGTGCCATAGTACTATTTTGGAGCACCAATATCACCACCCTATAGGCCTATATATATTGGCAAGAAAGGAATGGAAGGGCATTTAGAAATTAAACAAGGCCTTTGGAGAACGTTCCTTAGGCACTCTCTTGGTCCACAATTAAACTGTGTACATATTTTTTCTTATTTATGCAAGCTTACCCATTCAACTAAAAAAAATAAAATAGCAATTTCATTAGCAAATTACCTCTATTAACGATATATAGGTAACCAAAAATATAATTTTTAAAAAAATAAAATAAAATTGTTTTGGGTAGGTGGGGGACAGCAATACGAAATTACTATATACTAGTGGGGATCACAGGAGACTTGGTGACAATATATTATTCCAGGTTCTGCTTTGACAAAGAAATTGTCACTTATTTGGCCTCCATGTAGTTGTCCTGTTATTTTCTATGTAATTAATTTACCTTATCAGGAAAACAAAAGGACATTCACTTATATAGTAAACGATGTTCACTTATTATCAATATATATTGCTTAATATTTCGAGAAAAAAAATAATATTGCCGCATATGTAAATCACTAATTAAAAGTCTGCTTTGTGGCCTGTAAATGTGCACGTTAGCCTGTAGATATTTTGATGATTGAGCTTAGAAGAGATTGGGAAATCACACTTATAAATGTGAGAGAGCTTAGGAAGGCCATCAAAGATGTGTAAGTAGTGAAGTTAATCATCGATCGTGCTTAGTGAAGCTAGCTTTCGGTACGTACTGACAGTACTGCATATATATATATATATATATATATATATATATATAAAGCCTATATATGTATATATATATGGAGAGCAGTACTCCTTTAGGAGTGAAAAAAGGTGCTTGGACTAAAGAAGAAGATCTTCTTCTAAGGAGTTGCGTTGGAAAGTATGGTGAAGGTAATTGGCACCAAGTTCCTCTCAAGGCAGGTAATGCCATACTATGTACTACATATATATATATATATATATATATATATATATATATATATATAATTTAATCTGTTTTCAAGACATTATATATGTATCTATAATATACAGTAATATTTATATATATATGTGCAGGTTTGAACAGATGCAGGAAAAGCTGTAGACTGAGGTGGTTGAACTATCTGAGCCCAAATATAAAGAGAGGAGACTTTACATCAGATGAAGTTGATCTCATTATCAGACTTCATAAGCTCTTAGGCAATAGGCAAGTTCAAAAAATACACACACACACATGTATCACCTAAATATTTATAAGCCATTTATATATGCCTAGCTACCATGCATGCCTAAAGAATTGCAGCTCATGACAAAAAGTGTTCGGTTCAGTACTGAATTTCATTTTTTTTTTTTTTTTTTTTGGGTAAATGAAGTACTATAGTATAATTAGTATAAAAGAAAGTTCTTTTCTTTTTAAAACAAGTAGCTGTACAAGTATAAAATGTCAAGTAAGAAAAACCTAAGAGAGAGATCAAAGAGGCAAGTATATATATTCAGTAATTTCTCTGCAAGCAATAAAACTTATTTCAATTGCTGCTGCAATTTCTTTTTTATATATACAATTTAGTGATGGTGCCAGAAATTTTTTTTGAGAGGGGGTGACATTGAAGAATAATAAGATATAAAAAGTTGAAGATAATTTTTTGTTAAACAAAATAATGAATCTGCAAAATAATATTTTGATTATTTTCATTTTGACATTTTTCTGTGATTAATTTTAATTAAAGAAAGATTTTTATACAAAAGTGAAGAGAAAAGCAATGTATATTTAAGTAACACAATTATGCAAAATAAATCAAATTCAATTAACATTTTTTCCCCTTTTTTCTTTCCCGGAAATCAAATTCAATTAACATGTGATTGGATTCTACTTTATATATATCTCATTCCTTCTTACAGAGTATATTATTAAGAATTTTCCAATAAGTCCAATTAGTTAAGACTCAACAAATTAACCGAGAAAATCTTTCGACAAAATTTTGTCACCCGTTATGAAGATGAGCTCTATCCGAACTGTTTTTAAATTAGCAACTAGTTTGGATCTTGAGTTGGAGCAGCTTGATGTAAAGACTGCGTTCTTGCATGGTGATTTGCCTTACTTGCAAAATTTTAAAAATTAATGAATAAAGCTTGTTTTTGTATTGGAAAGCTGAACTATTTTTAATTGTTGAATTAAATAAATAAAGAATTGTGCATTTTATAATATAGATCTTCACATTTTTATAAGGTGTGTATATTCATGATTTTCATTTATTATATATGCAATAAAAGATTCTAAAGAGAAGTAGACAATTTTTTATTTTAGAATTTTATTTTTAGAGATTGTTATCTTTCATTATATTAAATAAAAAAAAATTAAAAAAAAAATAGCTAAAAGAGAGTTGTGTACCATAGAAAAACAGACGATTTAAGATTGAGAAATGGAGTGTTCAGTGATGACAGAGAGAAATAGGGAATAAATTTGAGGCTACAAATTAGAAGTATGGAACAATTTTAGAATTTGTTAAATTCTATCTATTACAAAATAAAATTTTGAAGGTGGACAATTTTAAGATTTTAAATTATATATATACAAAAAGCAAATAAAAAACGAGCGAGAAATAGAGAGGGTTGATTAGGTCACATCCAAAAATATCAGTGGCCAGATTTATTATATATTGAGATTTTTTTCATGATTTATTTTTGGGGCACGTTCAAAATCTTACAAAATTCACTGATATATAATACAAATAAAATATAAAAAAATTCTCGAATCCTCAAATGTTGGCTTAATTAGAAAAGACTTTATATAATACAAATATATATATCTATCTATCAAACTCTAAACAATTGGCTTAGTTGGAAAAAACATTGAGTCGCGTAATGCTTCACGAAACATTTAAGTTTCAGGTTCAATACCTTAGGGGTGACGTTCTTGGACACAATCCGATCTGTAGGGAGGAGCAGGTCGGTGGATTAGTTGGGGCTTTCACCTGTTGCCTTGCTACATATATAATTTTTGGAATAGTTACAGATATAACTTTTTGTATTGAATATTTCAGCAGATTTTACTAACCAATATATATGCGTGTGTGTGATATATTTGGGTAGATGGTCACTGATTGCTGGTAGACTTCCGGGGAGGACGGGAAATGATGTGAAGAATTACTGGAACAGCCGCCTGCGGATTAAGCCTGTGGCTAGTGGCAAAAAAGCAATACCCAAAGCCGAGAAGACCACCACATCATCAACCAAAGTCATAAAGCCTCAACCTCGGAGATTTTCAACCAGTCTAGTTTGGTTCAGTGGAAACACTACCACTACCACTACCACTACCACAACCAATAATGTAGACAACAACATTCAATCTGGAGACACTCTCACCAATCCTTCTTACAGTGATCTACAGGATGTTGATGAGATTATGTGGTGGGATAATATGGAATTAATTGATAATGGAGTCACATGGTCCATGGGTGGTGGCTCACCCGAGGACCTCATTACAGGGCTCTGGAGTACCCATGAAACAGCTGCTACTGGAGTTGATGAAAATGGCAGTTTTGTCCAAGATGGCAAGATTAATATTGGTGTGAATGATACGGGATGGGACCTTTGGGATCATCTGTGAAAAGGAAGTAATTAATTATTGCATCTTGATATATTTTTCATCTTTCTTGTATTTCTACAAAGATATGGGTTACTAATTAATTTCAAGTGTAAAAAAAATATATATATATATTTCCCTACCAGTGGGTGGTTCCACATTTTGCATTTTAAAGTTTAAATTTTAGAAAGAGTAATGCTATTCAAAGTGCATAGTGAGTTGTGTCGGGTATGTCACTCCAAATTTGTATGTGTGTATTAGTTTTCTTTTTTTTTTTTGGAATAATGAAGACTTGGGAAAGAAATTATGGTGTATTATATTTTTATTTTAGAGTTGAAAGCTTATATGGTAGCTCTTTCTAAGTAAGTTAAGAAATACTTGTCTAACAAAAAATTTGGATTTGAAGACTTTATAAATAGAGATAAATTTGGGTAGAAATGGAGATAATAGATAAAAGATGTAAGAGGTTTAAGGACGAGTGATATGAGGAGTGATATGAGGAGTGGGGAAAATATATGTAATTTCTGAGTACATACATGTAGCCTCAAAAGAGACAATGAGTAAGTGAGTGGGGTTTTGACATGTGGTTAGGGGCGGAGCCAGAAATTAAATTCAGAGAAAAAATCAATAAACATAACAACAAATATAGATTTTTCAAATTAATAGACAAAGAAGAAAAATTATTGCAAAATAATATGTAGTATAAGAAACATAAATAGTTGGAAAAAAAAAAAAAATAAGAGAACTTTGAAAGAGAAAAACTATTAGAGTTTGATTCAAATAGAAAATTTTGACTTTTTTTAAGGAAATTAAACGAATTCAAAGAATAAAAGAGAAAAGAAATAAAAACTTAAAAAGATAATTTAAAAAAATAAAAATTTTAGGAAAGGCATTATATGAATTTTTTCATATATATATATATATATATAAAAACATAAAATAATTATATATATTATAGTAAGGGGAGTCGGGCCAAGGGGACATGTGCCCCTTATGGACATTAACTAGCTCCACCCTTACATATGGTTGTATATTGTATTTTTTGATTCATAATAGTAAAAATCTCTTTTCATGTAGTCTTAAAGTTGGGTGAACCATGTAAAATATTATATTATACATGAATGTGTATGATTGTTATCTCTATTTGTACTTATGATGACATGAACAACAAGGTGGAATAGTCTAATATAATTAATTGTTAGTATATATATAATTATGTTGAGTCGACTTTACAGTGGATATAGCTTGTGTCCGAGTCAATAAAGTTTAATTTTGACTTGATGTGATGATGGATAATTGAACTTGTTGGAAACTTGAAATTTGAATTCCAATTTGAATTTGTAACTCATTTTCTATCTTTAAATCATCTCCAATTTTATCTTCAACTCCTGTTCTTTTTTCTCCTAAATATCTTCAACTCCTATTCTATCTTCTTTAAACTTTGAGCCCATTTGAAAATTTGAATTTTATAACTCTTTTTCTATCACCTAATCTTCCTTTGAATTATTTTCATTTCTCCTATTTGAACTTTAAGGGTCAGTTTGGTGCAATGGCAAATGAAGAAAAGGAAAGGGAAGGTGATAGAGGGGGATTAAAAAGGTGTGTTTGCATAAATGGTGGGAAGGAAAGTGAAGGTGATGGATGGTTTTGGAAGGATAACTCAAGGCATGAATAGTATTTTTCTTAACCTCCCAAAAATGGGAGGAAATGGAAGGAAAGGGAAGGCTAGGGTTGATGTATTAGTTCTGATGCCAAAGTTGCCCTTACACAAAATCAGGATTTAGTTTGCAAAACAAGAATTACAGACCTTGATTAGTTGATTTAGAAACAAAATTAAAACAAAACCCATACATATATACAAGTTAGAAGTTGCAGCGAGAGAGGGGGCAAGCTTGAAGAGTTGAGAGACAGCGGATGAAGCTTGCGAATGACGAACGATGACCCCGAGCTGGAACAGCGGGCGATGGAAACCAAAAGATATGGGTTTTGATTTTTTGAACAATCTGAAATGATATGCTGATATGGGTTTTGATTTTGTAGATTTTGTAGTTTCCAGTTACAGAGAGAGAGAGAGAGAGAGGGCAAGTATAGAGTTGAGAACGAGATTTACAGATAGAGGCAGAGGTTGAATTGATTTGTAGAGGCTGAAATTTTTTTTTTGTGGGCCTAGAGACACTATATATATATATATATATATATATATATAAGGGTATAATGGTCAATTTATTAAAATAATTCCCTTTCTTTTCTTTCCCCTTCTTTTCCCAAACATGATTATTGTCCTTCCATTTCTTTTCCTTCATTAATCAACCAAACACAATACCAAATTAAAATTATCATTCCCTTCCCTTTCCCTCATAACTAAAGTTATCATTCCCCTTCAAACCCACCCTACCAAACATAGCCTAAGGCAAATTTGAAATTTGTAATTTATCCTATAACAGGAAAAAGAAATTTGCAACCAAAAACTTAAAATTACACAAAGACATATTTATTAAATAAAATACTAACAAATATAATTTTGGAGATCAATTGTACATATTATGCACATATCAGCAAGTAAAGTTTAAGAGATGACACTGGGAAAACCAACTTGAGGAAAATCACTAAGACTTTTACAATCTCGAACAAAACGACCCATTATCTCAAAGCAAAATACAACAAACTATTGCTTGGGCACACACACTCCAGTTTACCAAGAACTAGTCGTTGGACACCTTTGGCTTTGCGACTCCTCTTCCAAATACTCTCGACTTCAGGCTTACTCCTCAATTCTTGTAAAATGGTAGCTGGTAGAACACGAATACTCCTTGAATGCTCTGCTCACTTCGTAATAGGACCGAATCCTTCTTTCAATGATATGAAGAATTAGAAAGGAATTCTACTATTCAAATTAAACTCTGTAATCTGAAGGAGACTCTGAAGATCCAGTTGATCAAATGAAGAACATCACTATAAATCACTCACATGTTTAAATGTGTTCTCTCAAAAAGATAATAATATATTTTACCCAAATTCTTTCTCAAAAAGCTTCAGTGATGATGTAGAAGATAATTCTCAGGTTTACCAATTGAAGCATCAGTCTTATTAGGGTTGGAGTTTTGAGATGCATTTATATCCAAGAGAGTCCTGAAAATGGTTTAAAAAATGTTTTAAAATTGTATTAGGGCATCTCAATGAGTTCGGTACCGAAAAAAAAAAAAAAAAAAAAAAAGTTACCAAAAACTGAAATCTCGCATATATCAGCAAAGTGCGACCGGTTGCGCTTAACCAGACTTAAAGAACATTGAATTCGACAAGTGTTATTGTTTGCACTTAAGTAGACTTGAGAAAATTCACTGAAGCTCAATCTAATGAAATGCAACTGTTTAGAAGTTGGTTTGACTTTTAAGACTTTGAATTTTGTAATAAAAACTCAATTTTCCTAACTCCTACCGCACAAAACACGAAATATAAAGTGTACTCACTCACTTACCTATTTAAAGTGATGTTTCATCCAGTCGAAAGGTACGAGACACTTGCAATTCAGCTTCAAAAGACCAAGACTCGAGAGAACGAAAATTACAACTCGATCAACAAGTTTTGACGCCAAAATTTGCCAACATAAAAACCTATATGTCAAACTAGGTTGTGAGTTGAGACTAATGAGAAAGAGAGACGCGTAACCCTAATTTTATAGTGGCGGATTGTAGTATTAGTGAAGGGTGGTAGTCTCATGCGGGATTTGATGGGCAGGAATAGTTATGGGTTTGATATTGTGAACGCTAATGGCGAGAAAAAGTCTCGTAGAGTATACAACAAAAACTCTAGGATAAGAGTTTATGTATATGGTCTGTTGTTGAAAATTCTCTACTCTTGTAATATCTCTACATAATTTTAATATAGCTTTTCTCGTTCTAAACATAGGCTAGGTTTAGCCGAATCACATAAATATTGTGTATTGATTGCATGATTGTTTTATTTCTTTCATTGAATCTCTATGTTTTTGCGCCTCCATTATCCCAACACCGATTGGATTTAATGCAATGTGTGCAATTCGAATTGGTTTTTATTAATCTATCAGTTGCAAATGGTGTTTTGGTTTTATAAATAGGTAATCCGTAGATATATGTCATTTCATGGATTTGGATCTCAAAAAATCAATCCAATCCGTTACTTTTTTTTCTTTTTTCCTTTTTTTTTTTTTCGAGTTTTAACTTAATTAGTTGATTGTTTGGTTGAGAATGAAAATTCTCATGGTAAAATCAATTGATTCAATTCGATATTTCACGAATTGTATAAATTAGGCTTGAAACCCTTATCAATTCAGAGTGATTTCACTTTTTAAAAGAACGTTGAGATCGAACTCGTTTTAGTTTCATCCAAACCAATACGGTGTGCACTCCTATTTTTTTAACATCTCTGATATGAGTATAATTATTGTCGGCACAATTTTTATGGTTGCTACTTGGTAAATGAGGTGACACTATCATCACTCTTAATCTACGTACTATTGTCCTTGGTTTTACTGTTTGCTTAACTAGTTGCCTTGTTTTAAGGATTTTTTTGTGTGTGTTTTTTGGCTCTGCTCCTGTTCATGGTAGTTGATTTCTCCTGTTTGCTGGGACCAGTATGTAATTTGGAGAAATAAACTACCTAGAGATAAATTAATCATTAATTATGGAAGATCACTAAGTTTAATTGTCAACAACTATTGGATCCACATATCATGTTTTTAATGTGTTAAATTTTTCCATCATTATTATTATATTCGTCTTCACATATACAAGATTGTACAACATAAATCTTTCAATAGTAACTAAATTCCGTGAACATACCAGGAAAATTATGTGTCACTAACTAATTCAAATTTTTTTGATGATTAGGTCCCATGTTGATAAAGACATGTTGCTTCATAGTACTCCATATATCTGGCATTACTATGTATGTGGAGAAAAAAGTCTCAATCAATCGAAACACAACACATGTGCGCAGAGAAAAACTGAGTAATAGCCTAACACATGGCATGACCCATCTCCGCAAATGACAAGCTAATTCAAAATTCAACAAATTAGTGAGAAATTATTAAATGATTCTAAACTATTTAATACGTAATAAATGTAACAAAAGTTAATTGTTTCACATTGAATTTGGATAAAAAAGTGATTAGGTATAAATGAATGGGTACTGCAATAGTTTGAGCTTTTGGGTAAATAAGCAAGCGTCCACCAGTTACAGTTGGGTATTAAATGTAGACCCAATTCTTGATTCAATGTTACGCCAAGCGCCCGACTCGAAGGACGTCCGAATTTTTACCACGGATATGCAGAATGGTCCGACCGTAACGGAAGCGTTGCGTGGATTTGGATGGAGGAGAATGTAACAAAAGTCATTTGTCTAATATCAAATCCACATAAAAAAAGTAATAGCACCATCCAACATTTTGAATTTTTTATTAAATGAACAAGCGTCTAGCCATTACAATAGACACAATTTGATATTTCTTTGTAATATATAAAGGCACCCTGGTGAGATCATTTCTTAATCGAAAAGCCTGTATTAAATTGGTTCCCCAGTGTCCATGGACTAGGAAAGAAATTAGCATAGTAGTTGTTATAATTTGAATATGAATAAGTGAAAAAAGACAAAAGAGAGAAGAGGAAATGGTACTGAGAATATTTTAGCTTTGGAGGCTTTGCCTAAGCAATAATAAAATTCTGAGTATATTCTCTGAGTGTGTACATTGATACAGTAACTTAAAAACAAAAACAAAAAAAAAAAAAAAAAATCTTATTGCAGTAATTATTTCAGGCACGGTGGATTGATGTAAACCATTTGGAAAGGAAGAGAAAAAAAAAAAAAAAAAATTATGGGTAACAAAACATAACCAAATCACAACTGTGTGTGTGTTGGGGAGGGATGAAAACCCCTGATCCATCTGTTTATATTGAAAGTGTCTCCAAGGTTACCTACAATGAGCCAAAAAACATATTACCTCCAAGGACATATCATTACTGTTTATACATGGTTTAGTAGAAACAAAAGCACTACAACGCCTTCAAATAAGTTAAAAATAAAAAATTTCATTCACATTTGGTATTCACTACAATTACAGGTGCTCTAACACTATCTAACCAAGAAACAAGAAAGTAAATCTAGGAAAACAAAGATTCTCCACAAGAGAGAGAATATGTATCAAATAAAAAATAAAAAGCAATGATCCAACTTTTCTTTTTACTCCTAAATTGGTTCAAATCATGTAATGGCAACAGATGGAAAAACCTGCAACAAACAAGACTGCAGAAACACCTACCAATGACCATACTGTGCAAGATATAGCTGCAGAGAACAGAAATGTCCCAACATTTTAGAAACCAACCAGAAGATCAGTCTGGCTACTGGAGTTTGGGTGCATATTTTTCACCACCCATGAAAACTAGAAACAATAATAAAACTTAAATAGCAGTACAGCCTCAAAATAGGAGTCCACCCATTGAAACAGCAAACAACAACAACAAAAATAAATATGCTTAAACCAAACAGTAATTCTGTCCTCAAGCTCATCAACAGTTCATCAGAAGTTAGAACCGCTACCAAATATACAACATCGTTGCATGAACTTCCTACAATTAACATAAATAAATAAATGAAAATTGTAAATTATACCTATAACCAAAATGGAACAACAGTGGTAATGAGCTGCATAAAGAACACGCAATGGTAAAGGCAGCATGTGCTCTATATTTCAGGAAGGGCTCAAGATTTTGCCATGATTCTGTTCCGCCCTTGAATTGCAATAGTGAAGAGACAGAATATCAATAAAAATGGTACCAATAACCTCATTTAGACAAAGGCGAATTTACAATCTAACACAACCACCAAAAGAAAAAAGGGGAGAGCAGAAGACTCAGAATCACTTAGAAAGGTAAGCAACAAGAAAAATCAAATTCCAAAAAAGAAAGAAAAATATCACTAAACATGACATCAATAATCTAAATGTAAACAAATGCAAATTTTCAATCTTACACAAACAGCAAAAGGAACAAGAGGAGAGCAGGAGACTCTACATCACTTAAAAAGGTAAGTAACAAGAAAAAAACAAATTTCAGGTAAAAAAATGCAATTTGTTTGGATCACAGACAAATGCAAATTGAAAACCAACACGAACGCCAGAATGACATAATGCTACAAATAGCAATGATTTTTTGGTCTTTTTTATTTTTTATTTTTCCCTAAGGGGTTCTTTGGTCTTTACTATTAACCAACATATTCTATAATGAAATTTCGAAGCACAATCCTCTGAAACCATAATCACCGATCATCTCATCCAACAAGCAATTCATCCCTCAATGATACCAGCAATATTTTCCAAAAACATCGTTATTGTATACACATACAAGGGCAGAAAGTTAACAGCTGGACTTGACAGCATCAAACGGTATCCAACTGACAAGAAATTCTGTCTGATACCTACAAGATAACCCAACACGAATACCAAGATGGTGTTGACAGGACCTATGGAGACTTGCAACGAAAAAACGAAAAGCATGATTTCAACCCCCTTCACAGCCTCCCTTTGCTTTCAAGTCTAAATAGTATCTGAGCAACATAGTAAGATTGATTGCTAGTTGCATTACACATTAGCTAATGTAAAAGAAGGCAGAAACAGGATAGAATGCTCTCCTTGTACTCTCAAAAATGAATATAAACAAATATATCACACATAAAAACTAAAATAAACAAATTGCACATATAAATGAGTACACTAGTATCAGAGTTTGCAGGATCGATATAGACAAATAACAGTTCGTTGTTCCGGCTGCGAGTGCTCAATTAGTGTATTTGAAACCCATGACCTCAAGATTATGAGCCTTGCGAGCTACCAAACAGCTCTACCCTGCGCTGAAGATTGAATGTGCCCTTCTACTTCTATATCTACACAAGAATAGCCTATTTATGCACAAATGAATTTTTATTGATTACACGAGGTGATGGAGAAACTTTGGAAGTAAATGGCTTATAAAACCAACATTAACTAGGAAAAATGAGAATAACAAAAAAAATTAGAATAAGATACTTAAAAAAAGTGAGAATAAAGAAATCTATAATATATATGTATATATAATAAGATCTTTACAACAAGGTAACACAAAATCATTAAAAAAAATAATAATAATAATAACTAAAAATCTATACCCACAACCTTGGGTATATAAAAACTGCTTTTAGCTTCACTGTTGGGATTTGGAGGCTGTTAAGATTCTTTTAATAACAAGTCTTTTAGCTTCACTATTGGGTTCACAAATTTCTTCTAGAGTACATCAGTTCCAGTTTTTCTTCTCCACCTTCACCTTCACCTTGATCAATCAAATTCAAACAGATTTCTTATTCTTTCTAAGTCATCAATAGGCTCTATTACACACAATTCCACAATGAGAACACTTCGCCACATAAATTGCTCGTATGTTCAGTAGATGTTGTCGTACCTCTCTTTTATTCAGAAGTCTCAAAGCAAGTAGTCTTCACAAAATGTTTCAAAGTTTGCTTCAACTTGTCTTCCTCTGAGTGCCATTTGATAGGATTCTTCATGGATTGATAGCTTCAAGAGAACTTTGGTGAAGGAACATAATCTCATCATAACTTCAGCCCACTCTAGTACATCAATGCCAATTGATCATCCGTCCCTTGGAAAATTAGGTATTTAGAATGGCATTCCCCCTACATACAATGGAAACAAAAGAAAGTGAAGGTGGAGAAATACTCTATATACATCTTCCGATGAGGATAAAAAAAATTTCAAAACCAAAACATAATCATAGAACAAAAGACCAACAGCGGCCAAGGAAACTCAATATAGCAACTAAGGAGGAACACAGATTCAAAAAAAGGATTATGGCAGCTTCAACTCCCTTTGAATTGATGGTCATAATATTTTTGTTCACACTGAGTGTAGGATAGGCCTCCACACATATCCTAGTCCATAATCTAGTCCTGCAATCTTGTAGGAAAGTTCTGCAAATCTATGGACACATTAGGATCCAATATATGCTTCAATCACCACTCAAAATCAGTCAAATGTAAAAATAGACTGAGATACCCATTAATGCCCCCGCTAAGTCCATGTGCCTGGATAACTTGATCTGATAATTTCCTATCAGTCTATTTTAGACTAAAAAAAAAATTTATAAGATTTTAGACTAAAACTTTTGAAAGCTGTAAAGCAAGTAACAGTGTTAAAAAAGAAGAGTTTAGCATTCAAATTATCACTATTTGTGAAAGAGGGGTTAGGACAACAATTTTGTTCGCAAAATTTTGGCCTAGTCCATTTAGGTGAGGGAAGACTCACCAAACCTGTTCTGGTTGCTTCAGAGTTACTGCAGAGGCTGAAACAAGCATATATGGTCTCACCTGGAAGAGAAAACAAAGGCAAGAAAATTTACAATTTTACCAATGATGCTTTACATAATCAAAAACCTCAACAAGAAATTGACAAACTTAAGTGAGATTTAAGGATTTCTGCAAGCTCAGTACCTTTTTTGCTGTTTTCCCATGCTTAACTAAAAAATTTGGTTAAATGGTATCAGAGCTTCCCACCACTGTTACTTCCCTTTGAGGAGAGAAAAAAAATTAATAATTAATAAGGATGAGGTTGTAAAGAGATATCAGTGCAGGTAGGAAGACAAATCAGTTCTACCTGTGTCACCAATAGCCCTTTAATTGGATTTGTTTGTAGCCATTGAAGACAAGAAAGAAATTGCCCCATTTCAATATCTTCAAATATTCCCTCCATGCAACTGATATGGAAAGACTGAATACATTCGCGTTTGTTCAGTGTTTCACCTAAATGCAACTGGTAGACAACCTCTAATGATTTTTCTCAGGCTCTATGGAGAATGGGAATCATTGAGGGGTTTCTGCCAAATGCCTGTGTTCTAGGAAACAAATAACAGGCGACTGTCTTTCCAATTACTACTTTAAATGGTTAGTATAGCGACTCAATAATCAAACATCAACCTAGGTTTCTCTGTTGCCCTAAAAGTAACCCACAAATAAAACCTATTTCACAGATAAGGAAGCCAGATATATGAAGAAACCCTGATGATACCCTGTTTATGCTTAACAAAAAAGGTAAGCAGGTTAGACAGTCCAACTAGTCTTGACTATTCCTCTGCCCAGTGACCAGTAATTAAACCCCAATCAGGTTCTTCAATTAACCAGCATTGCTCTATGGTGCCAGCAGGTTTGGGGAAACTGAAATTATCAGATATAGAATAAGCCTGAAAAACCAGAAAAGAGAAGCGTCCCTAATTTAAAAATCCTTTTCAGAAAAAGAAATCGTTTTTCAGATTCAGCAGCCCACATTGACACTTGAAGTTTTTAACTGCCTTTTGACTTAAGACCTTGCGATGCCTTGCCGAAACATAAATTTTCAAACCACAAACTTAGATTTCTTTTGTACATGATATTTTATTGTTCAGATTCTATGGCCTGCAATTTGGGCGATTTCATAATGTTTTAGCTAACTCACCAAAAATCCGAATTGTATCAGCATTAAAAGCTCTGCAATGCTAATATGCTACCCAGCTGCATCCAGCTTCCTTATTTAATCCACCCATAACCAGATTCTCCCTCACCAGTCCCTTGTCTTCCCACAATCCCCTGTCAGCATACATGTTGGCTAACAAAACATAAGGCCCGTGCTTCTCTGGTTGTAACTCGATAATCTTTTTCACTGACTTTTCTGCCAACCCCATATCTCCATGAAGCCTACAAGCACCAAGCAATGTTTCCCACACAAAGACATCTGATTCAATTCCCATCTCTTCAATAAATCTCTCTGCCTCGTTTAACCTCCCAGCACGGCCAAGCATGTCAACAATGCAAGAAAAATGTTCCCTTCTAGGCTTAAGATTATGAACATCAATCATAATCCTAAAGACCCAAATCCCTTCATCCACATAACCACCATGGCTACATGCAGAAAGACACCCAAGAAATGTAATATCGTCAGGATTTAATCCTTGCTTTGTCATTTTGTCAAGAATTTCAAGTGCCTCTCTTCCCTTGCCATGCTGCCCAAAACCTGTAATCATTGTTGTGCAAGAAACCTTGTCATGTTTCTCCATTGTCCTGAAGACCAAGTGAGCTTCTTTCAGGCTGCCACACTTGGAATACATATCTATAAGAGCATTGTTCACAGAGAGATCCGCGCCATACCATGACTTCACGATCCTAGCATGAATTTGCCTTCCATGCTCAAGGTTTCCCAAATTACTGTACACTGGAAGTATACAAGAAAAGCTGAAATCATTCTCTTTCATGCCTACTCTAAGCATATTCTGATAAAACACAATCGCTTCCAGATTTTCCCCATTCTGCATAAACCCAGACATCATCGCAGTCCAAGAAATAATATTAGGGGCTAAAACTCCTCCAAATAATTTTGTGGCAGACACCATTCCTTCTTCACATCTAGAATACATCGTTATGAGAGCATTGCTGACAGGTGTTTCATGACTAAAACCAGATTTTATAGCACAACCATGGAGCAGCATCCCACGGTTCAAATCCTTTGGTTCTGAACATGTTTTTATAATGCTTGTAACTGTGAACCCGTCAAAACCCAAATTCTCTTGTAGCATCCAAGAAAACATCCTCAGGGCATGTTCTTTACTATTGTTTCGCACACACCCATCAATCATAATATTCCATGAAACCAAATCTAACTCAGAAATATCACCAAATGCTCTAATAGCATCTTCTAATCTCATTTGTTTTGAGTACCCATCAACCAAAGAGCTCCCGACGTATTCATTAGAACATAACCCATACCGAATTGCTTGTGCATGAAATACCTCTCTCAATTGCACAGCTCCTAAACCCTCACAAGCCCCAATTAATCGAGCTAAAGTGATATGATTGGGCATAGCATTATCATCTCTCATTCTGGAATAAAGACAAATTGCTTCAAAAGCAGAATTATTACGAACACAAGCTGAAATCATAATATTAAACGAAACAACATCTCTTTCAGGCATTGTATCAAACAAATGGCGGGCAATTCCACACTGGCCACACTTGTTGTACAGATTGAGCAGTTTGTTCCACAAAGATGTAAACCCATTATAGAACAACTTCATAAGAAGTGTATGGACTGACATGCCAGCTCTGAAATCCCCAGAATCAGCACATTCCTGTAAGACATTGCTTAAATGGTGGAACTCTAAAGAATTGTTGTGTTTCAGTTCAGATTTGGCAAGTGGGTGTCTTTGAATTGGATTGTTCAAGGTAGAAAAAGTTGTGAAACTCCCAAACAAGGAGAGGTGGCTATTGTGGTACCTCCATGAATCTTTTGCTGGTTTGCATTGCCTCAACTTAGCAACAACTTTATGCATTTTACAAAGCCTTTGCAAATAACGATTGATTAGAATGGTGACAATAGTCAAAACTGACTCAAACATAAGCGTTTTACAAAGCTTCGGGCCCCACAATAGACACACCGTTCAAGTTTTTAGCCATAGTTAATTATAAAAATATATTTAGGATTTAGGTAAAATATACTAAAACAGTGTTTGAGTCTCCAAAAAAAGGAAAATGTTTGTGTGAATTTCTTAACACCATAAATATCTTGTTAATCGGTTATTTTATAATTACTCTTTCCTTTCCGGAAATAATGTTATTTTTGAGTAAATGAAGGGTCGGGAAGGGCACATGCCCCTCCTGGCCTGCCCCATCCTTTATAATATATATAATAATTTTTTATATATATGAAAAAATTTATACATAGCCCCCATGGATTTATTCTCTCTTTAAATTCCTTAAATTTTCTTAAAATAAAAAGTTAAACTCTTAATTTTTTTCCTTTTAAAGTTCATCTTTTTCACGTGTATATTTAATTTGAGTCACATCTCCAAACAAGACAAAATTTAACAAAATAAAATACTTGTGAATCACACAATTTTTCGGACAAATTTTTTTTTTTCAAAACTAATTTGTTGAAGTAATATGTATTATTGCCATTGTCCTTGCCAATGTAGAGCCCATTTTGGGCCCACATGATAACAGTCAACAGCCATGTTAGTGGATCCAAGGGCAAAGCGGAGCCCACAAGTTTCAACAGCCATTTTATCACTGATGTTACTTTGTGATTCAGTTGAATCAAGAAATTAGACTGAACCACGCCACAAATGGTCCAAAAGGACCAAAACCAATGTGTGCAATTCAACAAGTACCATCATTCCAGATAACCAAAAAAAACAACTAAACATTATGAAAAGGAAAAGGAAAAGGAAAAACGCGTTTCAATGCCAAACAGATTGGAATTGCGTGATCAAGCCACAATTTCGTGTACCACACTCCACATCATCCATACGCGTGAAGCCGCGTAATAAAGCAACTTTCTTTTCCATTCACGAACCACTCACAATAATCAAACCTTCTTCTAACTTCATTAACTAACAACCCAATAATAAAAATAAAATAAAATAAAAATATATATTTTCCCAATTCGATCATATTAAAATATATCCAATTTGATCATATTAGCTAGCTAATTGAGACCTAACCTAACATCGTCTGATTCTCCATAGAATCAAATCGAGAAATCAAGACCTAGTCATCATCTTCTTGAACTCCTCGAAGTTAACGCTGCCATCACCGTCCATATCGACGGAGCTGATCATCCGCGAGCAGTCCTTCAACGTGCACTTCTCTCCCAAGCTCTTCAACACCGCGTGCAACTCACTCGCCGTGATCACGCCGTTCTTGTCAGTGTCGTACATGTCGAACGCGTCCCGGAGCTCTTTGGTGTTGCATCCGTTTCCTCCGCCGTGGAAGGCGGCGAACTCCTCGAAATCGATGAAGCCGTCCCCGTCCTTGTCGATCTCCGCCATTATCCGCTGCAGCTCCTCCGGCGACGTCTCCGTGCCGAGCGCTTTCAGTATCGCTTCCAGCTCGGACACCGAGATCCTCCCGTCGCCATTCGCGTCGAACTTCTTGAATACCTTCTCCACGTCGTCCATGTCACCCAACGAGCCTCTCTGCTTCGAGTCACCATTACTCTTCGCCGCCGCCATTGCAACGAGAGAAAGAGATCTAGTCTAGTCTCTTCTAGAGAGAGAAACTAGGTCTTGTGTGACTGAAATTTCAAGGAGTACTGCATGAATAGCGTATATATACACTGCAATGACGCGTTAACGCGTTTGAGTGAATCGCGTAGTTTTTGTGTAACGCGGGATTCCTAATAAGTCTAGAAGTATACTTTTTTGGTAATGGGTACTGATCGAGTGTAATAAGCTTCACTGTAAAGTTGTTACGTGTCATTGTTTGGAGGATGTAAATGGTTGTTTAAGGAATACTGAATGACACGTTTGGGTAAGGAGTGAGGTTAGAGATGGCTTTTCGTTGAAGATTGCACAAAGTTATTCTAGGTGCTGGCGTACAAGGAAGGTTACGAATATACTGTATCGTGCTGAATCGGTTGCCTACGATAGTGACTTGTACCTGTCAATGCGGTGGGTACAGTGAGAGCAGCCTGGCCTTGCCACTAATTATGTAGGATTAATTAATTTTTGAAGACTGAAAATAATAATAATAATTTATGAATACTTGGATCCAAACACATGTAATATTGTTTATTTGATTAATGATATGGAATTCGACGATATGTGACAAATTTGAAAGTGTCAGTGTGACCGAGTCGTTGACACTATTATTTTCAAAGGCCGAACAAATCTAAAAAGATGGTTGAACAAATCCGAACCGCGTCAGATACAATTATAAGTGTAGTTTGAATTTTTTTTCTAATTTGAACATGGTTTAGTGAAGTAGAAAAGGTGGTTGATGGTTATGGATCCCCATTTGGACCTCCAACGGAGTAGGTTGACATAGTTGTTTTGATCTGACAAGACCTTACTTTGATTGAAAACGATCTAACTTGCAAAATTCAGCAACGAAATCACAAAATTCAACATCTTCATTGCTAATGTAAGTTGTTTTTAGCCAAATTCCATCATTTAGAATTTGATAATTGGCGTTTTATCAATTTTAAATATTTCAAAATTTTTGTTAGAAGTGATTCAATTTCCTTGTGCGACTAGTTTCCTCACTTTTTTTTAGTTTCCTTTTGGTGAGGTTTTGAACATTCATAATTTCCACTTCGTGGACACAACAGGATAAATTTGGAATACTTTAAGGATGCAACCAGGTAGTTTTGTAATTACTTTCCTTAGGAGTGTGATTCAATGCAATTTTAAAATATATTAAGGGTTAATGAGAAAAATGATATAAAGACAATAACAAATTTCCAACTCTAAACTCCAAATTTGTGATTTCATCCATCATAATAATGCAAATAAAATGAGTATATTTCTATACAGTACTGTTTTTTCTTTTTTCTTTCCTTCTTTTTTTTTTTTTTTTTTTTCATCTCTATTGTATTTTTGTCTTAATTTTTTTGTTATTTGATATAGTCATATTTATATCATGTCGTATACTTGTCTATGGTTGTATCTATACTTCCTGTAGTATACAACGCAGTGTGATGTATATTAGTATATACATAAATTAATTATTTATATAAAAAGGGAAAAAAAATTACAAGAATTCCTTACTTTTCATATTATTGAACCATCAACTCTTATTAATGAATAAAAATATAGTAGATGCGTCCACTGATAGCAGTAGGTGGCAAAATTCAACAGGAGTGGGGCTGCTAGCCTGCTATGGACCTAATGTTCCTATAATATGAAAAAGAATAGTTCTTAAAAACAAATGAAATTTCTTATTATCTTTTAGTGCCATTGCATTTCACTATTTATTTTTTTTATTTTTTTTGCTGTGATACTTGAGTTCTTCTTAGAGCCCGTTTGGGGTGGTTGTTGAAATTTAAAAACCGTTTTTATTCGGTCAAAAAATTACACCTTGGGTGTTTGGTGACACAATATAATAAATATCTTTTATAGTTAAATTATTTTTTTTATTAATTTGGTAACAATTTTTTTTAAAACACTTCTATTGCTATTATAGCAGTAACTTTATTAAAGGAGTGTAATTGTCTTTGTAAAAAATTAAAATGATAAAATTGTCTAATGAAAAAGAGTTACCTAAAATATTTAACCTCTTTTCAGAACACAATTTTAAAAGCTCCAAATTATAACTTAATTTAAACGCTTTACTGAACTAAATTTAATAACCATTCAAAACACTTATAATGATTGCTAAATATTTAAACATAATTTTTTAAAATAAAAATACTTTTAAATAATAGAGAAACAATTCCAAACGACTCTAATCTTACTTCTTAGCCTTTCCAGGAAGTGATAAATGTATCAATAAAGAGGATCCAAGAGACAGGAGATTACAAAGAATTTCTAGATGTGATATATTTGCAATAAGGAAAGAAGGTATAATGGTGCTTTACTAGTTTTATTTTCTAAAGAAAAATGGTATTTTGTACTCTACTTTTGTCCACTTATATCACTAAACAATTTTTTAATTAATGACCGGTAACATTATCCATAGAATGCAAAAGTATATTTTTGGATTATTGTGTAGTAAAGGCACTTATGCCATTTTATTAATTAAAAATAAAAAAGTTGAATACAAATAGAAATAATTGAAGTGTAAATGTCAATATTCTTTTATAAATGAAAAGGCATAATGCAAACAATTCTCTTCAGCTTTCTTAAATTTGAAAATAATCACTCGAAATAAGGGTGCAACTTGGGCGGACTAGCCCAGCCCAACTTGAATTCAGCCTATGAATTTTAAAATCTGAACATATAAATTCACAATTCGAGTTTCAGTCAGATTGAATTTTTTCAAAACCCAACCTTATTCGGTTTGACAACCCAAAATTCCAAATTAAACATTTCATAAAATAAAAAAAATAAATAAATAAATAAATCATGATAAAACAAAACCCTAACTTTCTCTCTCCTCATCCTTCTCTTCTCTCTCTATATCTAGATTTCAATTAATATATGGCCACCATTTTTAGAATAAAAAACAACTGACAGCCTCAATTCATAGGGCAGGAACAAGCTTCCACAAGACTTGAATCCAGAAATCAAGAACTGCTACCTTGTGAAACCCAGTTCATATTGACGAACAAACTGCAATTCCGGCGAGATCTGAGCTTAAATCGGAGGGACTCGGACGGAACGACAAGATCCTCTTTTTTTGAGAGATGGGTTTCGTTGGATCAAGAACAAGTGCTCCCAGATCGTCCATGGTTTCTAGGTCGGACCAAGTCACAGCCAGCGATAGAGTAAGGAAAGGACCAGAGCGATCAAAAAGAACACACACAGTGAGATTTTTTTTGTTCTGAGTTTGGGAATTTTGCAAACCGGGTGGTTATGCCTCTTTTGTTTCAAATTAATTACCGGTTATTATTAATATTTTCTATTTATTTAATTCGGGAAACATATAATAGTGATACTAATGACTTTTGTTAATTCAAGAAGTACTCGAAACTTCTTCCTTGCTTCAACTTTCGAACTATTATACCAATCATGGACTAAATCAATAAATTTATTTCTTCAAATTTCAATAATTATTGTGGATAAATACTATTTAGAAGAAATGGTAGAAAAATTATAAGGCTGTGGAAAAAAAAAAAAAAAAATCAACCCGTGAACCCGACCCGCCCCGTCCGAAAATATTTAATCCGGATTGTAACTCAAATCATGTTAGATGCAATTCGAGTTGGTCCAACCTGACCCAAATTTGAGTTAAGGTTGGGTTGGAATTTGGCTGGATTGAGCCAGCCCAACTTGCACCCCCGCCGAAGTATCAATTTGAAAAATAATCTCCTATATTATTGTAAAACCTCACAAATTGCCCTTATCAATCTATCATTGTTTTCTTTCATTAAGAATGGAAGAAAATGGAGTCTACTTACAAATATGCCCTTTTTCTCGAACAAATTACTCGCATACAAAGCATATAAAGGAATCCATTTTTGGCACTAGAACAAGCAAAGGAGAAATAAATAATTTTATTTCAATAATAGATCCTAGGATCTTAGCTCAAATTTGGATAATTTTGTTATTTCAAAGGTTTTTTTTTTTAATTAATTTTTTCATTCTCATTTTTAAATGGTAGTTATACAATTATATCACTTTATTAACAATTGAATAATGAAAAACGTATAATTTGCAAAACATCTGTATCAATTTATGTTGATCCAAACAAATGTGAATGCTATATGAGCACATTCATTGAATTGAACTAAAATCTTTTGGGGGAATTCAAGTTCTGTACTTCAATGGTGAGTTTTCAATAGTGCTACACCGCTGGTTCACGTGAAATTGTTACCGGAGATAATTCGTATCTGGGGTGTCACATTTAAATTCCTAAAATGCACTTTAAACAAATTAAGTTTTCCCACAACTATATATATATTTTTTCTCTTTTATGTCATCCAAATTAATATAATCATGTTTTCCCACAATTTTTGTTTTTTAAAAAATCAAGCTAACCGTAAATCTGTTAGAATACTTATTTTAATTTAATTTTATTTTTATTTCACTTTGATTATTAATTTCAATATGACCAAATGGACCCTCCCTTATGGCCTGCTTGGTAGGCATTTTATTTTTGGTGTTTTTGTTAGAAAAATATATTTGGTAAAAATTGTTTTGTTTTGCACAGTGTCAAAACATTTTGTGAATAGTAGTAAAAAACTGAAACACCAATTTAATATTTTTATATATTTTCACACCGTAACTTTTGGTACTGTACTAGTGATGATTAGCAATTTTTTTTTTTAAAAACACTTAAATAACATTTTTAAATTAATCATTATATTTTTCGAACTTGTAACACTTTTTTACCGAATATATTTTATATTTTTGCTTCCAAAAGTTTTAAAATAAATAAATGGAGAAATTAGGGAGATAAAGAAGGATAGTCAAAATCTCTTCAATTTGTTTTGTTTTGTTTTGTTTTGAGTGCGTCACATTTAAATTCCCAAAATGCCCTTTAAATAATGGAGAATGATATTTTCAATGTGGCAAAAGCAATCGAGGACTAAGTTCGTTGGCTGTCCAAAACCAGAGTGACACTTGGCAACCTCCCAGACTACAAACTGCCACTCTTCGCTTCTCACTCTCTTAGCTTTCTCCGCTGCCCTCCTTCACTCAGCTACCCATCAACCCAACTGTTGGTAACTGACAAATCACAAAAAAAAAAAAAAATTTAGGGTTTCTTTTTCTCAATTTCAACGATTCATCCAATGCGAATCCAACTTCGAATCAAACCCACATTCCTATCTTCCACCACAAACCATCAATTCTAACGCCTCTCCGTAGGATAACACTAACAACTTTGTAGTCCATTTGATTACTTGCTAGGTTTCTTGAAAATCAGTAAGAACTGTTTGTGATATATAAATATATATATATATATATATATATATATATATATATATATATATAATAAGTTGTATTTATGGCTCTTCAATCAACTGCTTTGTGCTTCAGTGGTGTCTCAACGCATCATGGATCTTTTCTGTCAAATGGGTTCTCGGGTTCTGTTGTTTTCGGGCGGTGTGGCATCAGAGCATCGCTGTCTTCTTCTTCTTCATCGCTCACTTCGCTTTCTCGGTGTCGACTTCGAGGTATTAGATTTTTGTCTGTGATTTTATATTTGTTAATTTGAGCTCAAATTTTATTAAATTTATTTTTTGTTGAAACTGACACCAATTAGTTTCTTGTTTGCGCATCATTTTTTTGTTTTAATTGCTTGAATTCGTTTGCTTTGCTCTATTCTTTTTTATTATTATTATTGTGTTTATGGTCTGGAGCTGTTAGAGCTTTTTGGGGTGTTCATTAGTGTTCTATGAAAATTCCCAAAATTCTGTTGGGCTTCATGAAGCATTCTTTTCCGTTTTATTTATTTTCAACCAATCTGAGTTTGAAAATTTTATTATCCGCATAATATAATTATAGCTCAATTCTTGATTGCTTTCCAGAACTTTTGGTTGCTATCAATTTGGCAAAATGCATATAATGCTTTTGGAGTCAAATTGGTTGCAAATTCTGGTTTACCGAGATCGGCGATATGGCGATTTGTTATAACTTATATCTTGATGAGACTCAATGACTTACAGTTGAAAATGTGAAATCAAAAGTACATTTTTTGGTTTTATTTTGATGGTGTAAAATAGGTAAAATAGATTGTTTGGCTTTCCGGGAATGTTTGAAATGGTAAATGATGCTACCATGGAACTTTTTAGAATTCGGGGACATCCATTAGGCATGGAGGCTCAAACCCAGATAGCATAATCCTAAAGCTAATAAACTCTAGTTCTGAAACTCAAAATGCTCTCTTTGTTATTCCTTTTATGCCTCTTTCCTGAAATTGTGTTGTTCAATGATTCCAACTGCAATAAACACTCAACTGATTTCTGGTACTCCCGCAACTACATATCATATAGTGCGGTCTAATAGGCAAAAGACATTTTTAAAATGTAATTCATACATTTTTCTTTTTCCAGAACTGATTTTTTCATTGTCACTTGTATTTGTTTTAGGAAAGGCATTTCCAAGTGACAATGGGTTACCTGAAACAAATGAATCACCACTTGTGGTTTGCTTTGGGGAAATGCTAATTGATTTTGTTCCAACTATAAGTGGGCTCTCATTGGCTGATGCGCCTGCATTTAAAAAAGCTCCTGGAGGTGCACCTGCTAATGTTGCTGTTGGTATTGCTCGCCTTGGTGGTTCATCAGCTTTTATTGGAAAGGTATCGTTTGTAATATATAAAGATTGAAACAACAAGCATTGTCATTTCATTTCCTTGTGATTATTATATATTGGTCACAGCGTGGCTGGTATGCATTGAATGTGGTTACCTTATTGTATTTCCTCTGTTGATAGTGAAGTTACATCACTTTTCATCCCCTCTCCATGTTCAAACATCCTAAAATAAAACTAGATAAAAATAAATAAAAAATAAAAATAATAATAAAAAAAATCATCTGGATGTCATTTGTTTTATATTGATCCAAAACCACCAAAATAGGACGAAACAGGTGTGAAATATATATATATATATATATAAGAACTAGAATTGAGAGCAAATGAAATAAGACCTTGCCTGCTTCAGTATTTGACAAAGCCGGAACAAACTGGATAGGAAAGAATTTTATTACACTACCAGGATCTAGTGCTAACCCTGTACTATGGATCAGAAAACTAACCATGTACTCAATTGATGTTCTAATTATATCTATCATCTTCTTCACTGCTCGAACCTAGTTTTCAGAACTGGCAATTAGCAAGAATGATAATTGCAGAATAGAAAAGGAAAAGGATATGCTTCATTTATCCTTTACTCTGGTCATTTGTGTTTTGTCAATGCACGCAGGTTGGCGAAGATGAATTCGGGTACATGCTTGCAAATATTTTAAAGGAAAATAATGTGAACAATGAAGGGATGCGATTTGATACTGGTGCTCGAACTGCTTTAGCATTTGTGACGCTGAGAGATGATGGGGAACGTGAGTTCATGTTTTTCCGAAATCCTAGTGCTGATATGCTCCTTCAAGAAGATGAACTTGACCTTGATTTAATTAAGAAGGTATGTTTGGAATATTTTAGTAAATAAGTAAAAGACTTAGCTCTGAGGATTAAAAGGAAAATAATTTAACGATTAAGAAATTGTATTTAATTATGTTATTTTCTAGTTCGTTTAAAAAGCAGTACTAACTAAGACCAGATTTTATTTCAATGCTCTATACTTGTGAATTCAAATTTTAAATTAGTGCTAGTTTCATCTTAAAGGAAGTCGTTTACCTTAATTGAAACTTAATCTGTATTATTTTGGATTTAGAACTCCAAAAGTCATTCACAAATATGCATGAATAATACCTGCATATCAAAAATAAAAAATTTACCAGATCATGTTTATTTTTGCATGAATAACACATTTTGCTAAACAAATTCAAATGTTTTAGTATTCTTCCAACTAATAACAAGGATATCAGACCTTTGCTTACACTTTGTAGTGTCCTTGTCATAAAAGAAACTCAGTTTTCAGGCTTATGCAGTTTATCAACTCACAGTATTTGCTATTAGTTTCTTGATATATCTAATTATTTTCTAATGTTATATTTGATTTGATTCAAATATCTAGTGATATGATATATTCTCTGCAGGCAAAAATTTTTCATTACGGTTCTATAAGTTTGATTACAGAACCTTGCAAATCAGCCCACATTGCTGCAGCAAAAGCTGCAAAGGATGCTGGTGTGATTTTGTCTTATGATCCCAATCTGAGGCTTCCATTATGGCCTTCTGTAGATAGTGCCAGAGAAGGAATCTTGAGCATATGGGAGACTGCTGATATTATTAAGGTAGCTCTACTTATAAATGGAGAATATTGGCTTGGCTCTCCAAATAATTTTTTCTATTGTCCTTTTCTGGAGAATAGGTTTACTACAAAATGCAAAAAAAATAAGTAAAAATACAATGATAATTTTGTTTAAATTAAATACAGATAAGTGAAGAGGAGATTAGTTTTCTTACAAAAGGAGAGGATCCATACGATGATGCTGTTGTTCGTAAATTGTATCACCCGAATCTTAAATTGCTCCTTGTAACTGAAGGACCAGATGGTTGCAGGTATTACACTGAGGTAAGCCCTCAAAAATATTGTATTTATAGATAAAATCATTCTAAATCACTGAACTTTTTGGTTTCAGCCTCTCAGGCTCTCTCACCGAGGTAAGCCCTCAAAAATATTGTATTTATAGATAAAATCATTCTAAATCACTGAACTTTTTGGTTTCAGCCTCTCAGGCTCTCTCTCTCTCTCCCCCTCCCTACCTCGTTCCTACACACACATAATATAATATAATGTGTGCATGTCAAATGTATTGAATAGATGTCATATCACTGGTTGTTAATGTTTATTTGATTTGCCTGGTTCCATTTTATAAGTAACATAACTGACTGAAACTATAATAGGAAGAAACTAGATATGATTTCTTGTTTGGCAAACTTTCCTCACTTGTGGGATCAATACTAAACGATATCTTCTCTTGAAAATGAGAATTGGGACACTTAAGGGTTCAAGTTACCAGGTTGGCCGGACATAGTGCAGACCTAACTTTAGCATTATTTGTACAAATAGCCGCTCTCAGACTCGAAAATGCATTATGACATATTTTCATATTGAATATCTAGTTTTAAGATTGATAAATAGCCATTTCCAAAATGCTAACAAAAAGAATGTTATGATATCATACGTAAACTCCACTTCTATCATAAAGCTAAATGGAATATTAAAACTTGGGAGCTGAATTTGCAATAGTTGGCAGATTGGGGCTCAAAGAGGTCTATATTATCGAATTTTATCATCAAACTTCACTTCCATATCCACGGAGATTTATTGCTTCATTATGTGGTATTTGTTTGAAGATCTTTCATTTTCCGGTTCCTTGCAGAAATGAAATGCACAAAGCTTTTGCTGAAGGGCCATCCTTCTCTTATCAACTATTCCATAAATGGCGGAGTCCCTATGTACCTTCATAATATTGAATATTCAGGGTAATCCTTTAACGGGCCCTGGAGAAATTTTGGCTGAATCTCTGAAGGGCCTCTTCAATCTGTCAACTATCGTCATCATCATCAACCTTGCCTTTATCCCATATGAATGGGGTCGGCCACATGAATTCTCTCTCTCCAAGCTTTTCTATTGCATGCTAATTCATTTAGTATATTTAACTTTTTAAAATCATTTTTAATAACCTCAATCCCATGTTATTTTTGGCCACCCTCTTTCCTTCTATTATAACTAGTATACCTCGTTTGACCGGTGCATCACTAGGTCTCTTTGTGTTCAATCTGTTGACTGTAGCTGTTTATTTTGAGAAAATATGCTTTTTATAAGTCAAATATGAAAAACCTTTTTACCTGGTGAGCATAATGTTTTTACATTTTTTTGCATTACTGAAAAAAGAGAATGTTTTACGGCAAGACTAATAAACTCCAAGCTCCTACTTCTCAAAGATAGGTCAGGGGTTCGAGCCTCAGTGGAGGCATGTGTGTGTGAGTACCAACTAGGAAAAAAAAAAAAAAAAGACTAGATGATAATCATTTTCCCTTCTAACGACTGGTTCTGAAACTGCTTGGAGTTTTACGTTTTTTCAGGAGTTCAGTGGGAGAGTTAAGGGTATAAAAGTGGATGCTGTGGACACCACAGGTGCAGGTGATGCTTTTGTTGCTGGAGTATTATCAAAACTAGCTGTTGATGATTCATTGATTCAGGTATTGCAGAGAAACACTTCAATAATTTTTTTTTTCCCTTTCTTTTGGGGTAAGTAAAACACTTAATAGTGCTTGTTAATGTTATGTCTTAAATATTTCTAGTGAATATTCTCTTTTAAAGAACCCTTTACTGTTTTGTGTTGAACAATATTCCATTATCTTTGCCATCAAACAAGATGTTTTTCTATAGTGGAGCTACCTTTGCAGTATCTTCCTTAATACATGTAAATGTTTTGTGCTGATGCAACAAGGACTGTGACGTGGTTCTATTGCTTGATGGCCAAAACTTCCTATTTTGTGCCTGATTTTGTTACTTGATAAGAAATGTTTGCTAAGACTATATTACTAGGATGATGTCTGTAATGTCTGTGTGCATGCTAGAGTCCGATGCCTTGTGGTATATCGAATTGATTAAACAGTTCTCTATTTAGCAGCATAGCACTACTCTTTTTTTTTTTTTTTCTTTGCATGGCAATTTGCCTCGTAATTAATGGTCTACATTTATTTGTGATAATATTACGATATTTAGTTATAGATGTAATAAAAGAAAAGAAGGAATATTATGATATTTAATTATAGATGAAATAAAAGAAAAGAAGGAATATTATGATATTTACTAATAGATGAAATAAAAGAAAACAAGGGTATTTAGGAAGGAACAAACAAAATTATTAAGGCTTATGCAATCTTCTCCACCATTAACCATGAACATATATTCTCTGGAGTCTGGAGTGGACCGAGTACACATTCTGCTCAACGGTTCAACCTGAGATCCATATCGGTCACCTTTGCATGCAAACAAGGATACACCTATCCTAAAGAGTAGTTCCTGACAGGGATGGCGGCAACTAATGCCCACAGGGGGCAGCTGCCCCTCTGACATTTTTTTTTTCTTTTTATTTATATATATACTTTCTTATAATAGCACAAAATACTATATATATCTTTTGTAATATCACAGAATGCCCCCAAGGTTTGTTATTAGCCTTTGTATATATAGGTGCATATACAAGCCAAGAGTTGTGCCCCTCCTGAGCCCAAATCCTGGCTCTGTCCCTGGTTACTGCTATGGGTGATAAACAATGTTTTTAGCTGAGTTTGATATATAACAAACCAATAGTGTGACAAAGATCGCTCAAAGTTTCTTGTGTGAGTAATAAATTATGATGACCTAGTGTTTGATATATAACCAGTAATGGCATGGTGATGATTTCCGGAGCAGTTCAGTATGGGACTAAATAGTCTAAATGGTACCTGATCTCTTTTAGTAAACATTCATAATCAAATTTTATCACTCACTACACATTTACCCAATTATTTTATTGTAAAATACGCGTGAGAATCTCAAGTTGTTTCATATGATTCAGGAACACGTGATTCCCTTTCTCTGTGAATATTTTACATGCATTTCTGTTGAATCCCAAGTTCATTCTTTGAATATTTATCAAACTAGTTATATATTTTTAACACAATTCCCAAACTTTCGGGTAATTCATGCAGTAATTAATTTTTTGGACTAAGAGTTGCTCATTTTTGTTATGAACAATTCAGGGCCTTTTCTTTTAGTTTTTTGTTTCTTTTTATTTAATCTCCTTGACAAAGTGGTGATAAGTCTTCTCCGCTGTGTAGAACGAGGACCGATTGAGAGATGCTCTCAGATTCGCCAATGCTTGTGGTGCATTGACTGTGATGGAGAGAGGTGCAATTCCAGCATTGCCAACCAGAGAAGCTGTTCTCGATACCCTGCTTAAGTCGGTAGCGTAGGGTTTCATATGATATTCTGTAATCATATGAACCCTCTCAATTTTTTAGACTGGTGATGATGTTGCACAAGGTCCTGCTCACACGTTAACCGATTTACATAAATTCAGTTGACACTGTCTGAGTTTTTTTTTTAATGAACTCCAATATCATTTTATTAAGCATAATAATTTACAGTTTCAGTGGGACTTGTTCTTTTGCAATCTGTTTTCTTTCCTCATGCAATATCATCTCTTTGTTATCCTTCTTTTCTTGTTTGTTCCTTAAGCTGGACAAAAGTTTCAGCTCACTGCAACAGCCTTGCCTAGGCCAATGTCATGATCATGCAGAGCTTGATTTGGACTTCTGATGCTACACGTCGGGCTCGGCTCACCGTGGCCTGGTCTAATGTATAATCGACCTTTCAAAGCAGAATTGTCATGTCTATCAACTGCACACACTCAAAATTTGGTCGCTGTGTGTGTTTTTAGGTGATTGTACCTGAAAATTGGGGGACCAACTTTTTGTTATTTAGAAGTTTGCGTGTTTTGAATGCACATTCTTTATTGTTAGGTGACCTGAAAAACAAGAGGAGATGCTAAGTAGATAAGTTATTCTATGTTTCGGAGATCAACTGGTATGTCACTATAGCATGATTGATATGTTTGTTGATCATGCCAAAATTTATTTTCAATAACCCAATTTATCTAGGGAAACTCCTAAGTTATTCACATTTTGGACCCATTTTCTCGTGGGCCGTGGACCTAGGTATATAAGCGCGTTTACAGTTTGTGGTGTGGGATGGGAGAACACTGAAAGCCGAGCGTGAGAAGACAGAGAAGGGGTTGGGGGATTGAGACTTGTAATTTCCTATTTTTCGCAAATCTTTCATTGGATCTTTATTGTGGGTGTAGACAGCAATTACGTAGGGTGTGTGCATGTTTTATTTTATTTTTAACAAGTTTCAATGCCTTAAAATGGTTTAGAGGTATATAACTTTTATGTCTCTGCCATTTGTAAAAGTATTGTCCATTGCTTCAAATAACGGTTAGACAGTTAAAAACTGTAATCCTTGGGCAATCCGTTGGTGTTATTCCGAGTCCAAGGGACAGCCATAACCTTTTTCCTTCATAACCAAATCTCTCAAATCTTAAATTCAGTACAAAACCAAATTCACCAAGAAAACTAAGCAACACAACAACAATCAAAATAATGGCTGATGAAACTGCCGAAAGGGAACGGCTCTTCAAGCACTTCGACGCCAATGGCGACGGCAAGATCTCCGCGGTGGAGCTCGGGGATGCCCTGAAAGCGCTTGGCTCCGTTTCAGCGGCAGAAATCAAGGGTATGATGGATGAGATCGATACCGACGGTGATGGGCACATTTCATTCCAGGAATTCACTGAGTTCCACAAGGCGAACAGGGGCTTAATGAAGGACGTTGCTAAGATATTCTAATCTTCATTTTCATTTCATTCCATTCATATTCATCCTAGTCACTTTATAATTGTTTCACATACTAGAGTAGCCATTTTTTTTTTTTTTTTTTCCCGGTTAAAGTGTAAAAGTATGACCTCTTAATTCACTTCTACAAATGTGCTGTTTTTTATATTCAAAACATCAATTATATATGTTTGTGTTCCTTTGGAAGCTGTTATGATCACTCTTTACACAATATTGACCAAAAGATTGATTTTTTTTTGTTCGTGATTATTGTTCAACTATAGATCAATTACTTTCTTATTTGTTCCAAAAGATTGATTAATGTCCATTGGTAGTTGTATCAAAAATCCCAGATCAATCCATGAAAAAGAAAAGGAAGACAACAATAATGGTGCACAAGTTACAAGTTCACTTATTTTCTAATGGGGTGGAGCCAAACCCGCCCCAACTCCGCCCGTTGCCATCCCTACGTACAACTCCTTTACGTATATACAATTTCAACACTCATTTGAGTTCTTGATTTAACCGTCACTCTCTTTGAGCAAGCAAGATAGCAGGAAAAAAAAAAAAAAAAATCAGATTGTGAAGTGTTTGTGTTTCATCGACAGTAAAGGTGATCATGGCCTTCAAATTCTGGAACTCCTAGCATGGCCAAAGCTAAATGACTCCTCATTTGGCTTCTCGTCTGTGGCAATTGGGAGTAACTATAAATAACACTATTGTTAGCAGGGAAACTGAACTTCTTCCCATTGGAGAAATCGAATTCTCCTCTCAGTATTGCAATAATATCATCAATGCTCGGCCTCTGGAATTCCTCGCTGTTTATACAGGCTGATGCAGCTTGTACCATCCGCGCTATCTGAATATAGTTTCGTGGATTGAATTTTTGTCGTGGTTCAATCAACCGGTCAATCTCTCCTTGCTGCAATAATGGCCTTGCCTGCAAAAATAAGGTACACTTCATGTTTAGTGTTTCCATTTCAAGAATTATATTCAGGAGAAGCTTAAGACTAGTAAGCATCAAAATGTGTCTTTCAAGCATTGTTGCTCTTGATTTCCATAGCTGAAGAGTCGAGTGTGGTTGGTTTATTCTCTCCTAACCGGTCAAGACAATAACAGTGCATAAAGCCCTCTTAAGTTACTGGATTTGCCTTCATCTCTCCCAAATCATCTTTATATTCAGAAATTAACCGGTTAACATTCGCCATCAATGATTTTATTTCTCCGGTCAAAGTTTGTATCAAGTCTCGAGGGCATGAAATTACAACATAACAGGAAGGGAACTCAAAAGATTCAGAACCCACTATGTTAAGTCCTTCATTCCTCATCAATGAGCCGTTGGTCCAAAGGTATTTGACTGAAGCTCGAAGACTTCTCTTTGGTGATAAAGGAGCTAAAAGAAAAGGCTCCTTATTAGTGATACCAATCACTCCTGCATGTTGATGAAGGAACATGACAGGTATAGGAACCACTGAAGTCACTAAAGAAACAAGAACAACTACTAATTCATCAGCTAATATATTCCCGAAAAGTCAAACACTAGGTGATGACGGTTTTGTGAAATCTTCTAAGATGGTAATGGGTAAAAAGGATTCGAGTTGGTTGAATTTATGTCCCGATAGAACCTAATCCTTGGTTGGAAAGCCAACACCAAGTACTCAGAGAACTAACAACAGAGTAGAGGAAAACAAAACACTTGCCTCTCTGTTAAGGCCTCATTTGTTTTGGTAAAAGTATAATCAAAGCCAAAGACACATCAATTCAGAATTTCAGACTTGTCAAATTATATTTATGGTACATGCAGAGTATGATAGCGTAAAAGCAGCATTCAAGAAAAATTGACGAAGCTTCTTCCATTCTTTTTGGAGAACTGTTAATCCCTGATGCCAACGCTCGCGATTTGTTGATTTTGTGTCCAGAATAAAACATCACAGTTGAATTAATTTATTGTTTCGAACAACCATATAACTAAGACTATTCCAATGTTTCTAATAGCATTTGAAGGCACATATAAACTTAATGATTATGTGTAATCTATAAGTAAAAACTCTGTAGTGAAACATGCTATACACACATTTCCAACTATTCCTTACAAGCCAAAGGAATTTATTGAACAATAGGATAGACTGATTGAATGCCATATCCTGATCTACCATTAAGTATTTTAAGTTTATAGATCATTGCCTTGAAAAGGTTCGTTGATCGGATTTTCGTGAAACTGTATATCTCTTGGTCATTCAGGTTATAATCAAGATTTTGTTGCAGAACAAAATTTTTTCTTTACTAGAAGGTAATTAGGGGACCACTGGTTTCGACTGTAAAAAAATTAATGGAAATGAAGGCAAGTTAAACAAGAATTAAAACGGCGACCTACCCACAGGACCAAGTTCTCCTCCCCTGCTCCTCTCTTTGCTTCAATTGGCTTCCGCCCGCTTATAAGCTCCAAGAGGACCACACCAAAAGCATAAACATCGGTTTTGTTGGATACTTTCCCATGCTGGAAATATTCAGGAGCCAAATAACTGCACAATTAATTTAAATTTCAATTAAATCTCTGGAAGAAAAATAAATCTCTACTGAATAATAAATCATAGATGGTTATTTCTCTTATGCTACTACTGAACTTCTTGAGAAATTGAAGTCATACCCAAATGTTCCTTTGACTGTTTTGCAAAGGAAAGGCACTGAAGGTGCAGGAGTCCATGCAGCCAATCCAAAGTCACATAGCTGCAAATTTCATTGAAAATTCATTCAAAACAACTAAATCTGGTTAAAATGTGTTGTCCAATATATATGTTCATAAAATCATTTAAACAAGAAACAAAATTAAATAAAATTAGACTAAAATAGAAAGGAAAAAAAAAAAAAAAACCCTCTCACACCTTGGGTGTTTTCTTAGAAGAGAGAAGGATGTTTGAGGGCTTTATGTCTCTATGAACAACACATCTTTCAGTTCCATTGTGTAGATAACCAATGGCCTCTGCTATTCCAACTGCAACCTTATACCTCATGGACCAAGGAAGTGATGAACCACCCTTTACTCCTCTCTTCTTCTCTGCATATGGGTAAATTATGTCACTCAAGTTCATCAAAATTGAAGCAAATTTTCCAAAAATGTATTAAAAATGAAAATAAAAAAATCATACCATGCAAATGTTGTTCTAAACTTCCACCAGAGACGTACTTGTACACCAAAAACAAACCCTCCTCAGGATCAATACAGAAACCCAATAGAGGAACAATGTTTGGGTTATGGAGAGAACTAGCAATCATCAACTCTCTACAAAATGCCTTTGAAGACTCCTTATCTTCCTTATCCAACCTCTTAATTGCCACACAAGTCCTCAAAAACCCAACCCTGCCTCTAAAAACACAGCTCAAAGCACCTCTTCCCAAAACTCTGCCTACCCAACACAAAAAAGTTTAATCAGAACCACAGGCAAAGAATCACAAAATGATCTACAATTGACTGCCGAAGCCTACATGACCCGTTTGGAGCACTGGAAGGCCAAACCGGCATGCTGATACATTTTTTCGGCACAATTTTCACGAGCCTGTTTTGACCAGAAAAGACCCCTACGCAGTATGGAAGGGGGTCTTTTCGGGTCAAAATGGGCTCATCCGAAACACACTGTATCTATTGGTTTCTTTCATTTGACGGTTCAAACGGGTCATATAAGCTTCGACAGTCAGTTATGCGTCACAAAATGATTTAAATTCTAAAACAACAAAAACCAAATTGACTACCTTTGGAAAAATTGTGAGTTGAGGAAAGAATTTGATTATAGCTGAACCTAATCAATGTATTGGCCACAGGAGAAATAGTCCTTTCAAGTGACGCAATTCTACGCCATTCAAGCTCTTGGGATCGTGATTTGGTCAATCCATTATCCAAATTCACCATCAAAATGGTTGCAGAAGAAGGGTTAGTCACATCTATGGATTCAAGTTCAACCTGAGAGCAGAAACTGAACCTGAAAGAGGAGTGAACCGATTGTGGCTCAGCATTTGACAACTCTCCACCACACCCACCTGACTCTGCAAGCAACCAAGCCTTGTTCTGCTCTAAATTAGAGGGACTCTTCTCACTCTCTCTCTCATCTTCGCCGGTGGCGCTTCGCCGCCGACGAGTTGGACCAACACAGGCCAACCCAAAATCCCAAATCATCTTATTCCATATGTTCTTGATTCTTAGCTCATCATGGACACTGTTCTGATCAGTAGCTGAACAAGAAGTATCTGAAGAAATTGGGTCACTTAGAGGCTTTCTAGAGTTATTTGAATTGTTTTGAGAAAACCCCATTATGAAGCAGAAATATATGAAAGCATCAAGAGAAACTCAGAAAGCAAAAGGAGAGATAGAGAGCAAAAGAGAAGTAAAGTTAGAGAGAGAAAGTTTTAGCTTCTTTGCTTGAAGAAGGGAATATTTCTCAACAGGAGAGAGAGACAGAGGGGGGTTATTGGGCATTGAATTAGTATATAAGATTACGAGAATGAAAGAGACCCATGTCAATGAATGGGCTGATAGTTGATGGCACTATTATTTAACAGAGGAAAGTAGAACTAATGGAGAGAGAGAGAGAGAGACAGAGGAATGAGACTCTTGCTGCCGAGGCTTAACAAGACAACCAGAACCCACGAAGAAACAGTAAACGAATAATTTTGGTAACTAACTGCTTAAGGGTGTGTGTGTGTGTGTGTGTGAGAGAGAGAGAGAGAGAGAGAGAGAGAGAGAGAGGAGTACTAACTGCTAAAGGGTGTGTGTGTGTGTGTGTGTGTGTGTGTGTGAGAGAGAGAGAGAGAGAGAGAGAGGATTCATGTAAGTTGAGGAAAAGGAGAAGCTTGTGGTTTAATGGGATTTGGCAATAATTAAAGAATAATTAATGGCATGGTCCAAATCAGACAAAGAATATTTATGCAGTTTGGTGACCATCCAACACCTTCCCACCGCCCAACCACCACTATTTACAGCCAAGCTAGGCTTGCTTTGTTAATGGGCTGCTCTGAAGCTTTGATAGAATGGTCATCATCAATGGTGGTTACTGGTTTTCATTTATTTCTAAAAGTTTCATCCGTGCCTTCAATGAAGTTTTTTGCAGTTGGATTGGATGGGATTGATTTGATATAAGGGGTGAAAGGAGTTGGCTTCGCCTGGCTTGGCTAGTATCACATTTGGTATATAATTAATTAGCAATTTTTAAATTCAAATTTATTTATTTATTTATATTTTTTACCATAATTCAAATTTAATAATGCATACCACAATCTTGGCAAGGGACTACAATTGTGTGAAATTCACAAAATATCTTGAGTAACTGAATTCAAATAGGAAATCAATATTTAAGAACTAGAACATTTTAACCGTGTTTATTAATTTTTTAAAGTTCATTTTGGTAAGTAATAATTCACACTCAACTTCACACATTCCAACACGCATTATACATCCCAAATTGATATCTCATTCTACACGCAAATTTTAAAAGAAAAATAATAATAGATTAAGAATCTTTGTCCAGCATTCGGTGAAGTCACATCAAAATTCCATATTTAATTTTAACATCACTCCTCCTAAAAATAGTGGGAGAAATGAAAGTTTTTTTTTTTTGGACACGTTGCATGTATATTGAAGTCAAAGCAATATCATTCAAGTTTGATCCATGATAATTTGATCAATATTCTTTTACAACAAAGCAGCCACAGACCTAGGATATTATGTGAACGGGAAATTTTTTAATAATTTTAAGGGGGCAATAGTAGTTTGTAAAGGTATATAATTAAAGAAAATAAATTAGTAAGAGTTTATTATTGAGAAAGAAAAAAAAAAATTCAAGTTTGATCCATGATAATTTGATCAATATTCATTTACAAAGAAGAGTCCTCAATGCTAACCAAACCTAGACTTGTTTTGAGGGTTTGGCTATTTCCCAATCTAAATTTTCTTGTTAAATACTTAAAACCTATGGCGTTTCCTTGTTATGCTTGGTTTATTCCTAACTTTCATCTTTTAGTGTGAAAAGATATTGTTCATTCTTAAGAAAAAGATAAAAGAAAGAAAACAAACAATTTTCCACTTATTAATTTCAAATGACTTAGCATGGTGGTATGCAATTTTGATTTCTTGCGCAGAGTATTTGATGCCTATGTATATATATATATATATATATATATATAGATATAGATTGCAAATATGCCATACCAAATAAACGTGTGTTGCCACCATATAACCTCTCATTAATTTCATTCTTCAGGCATACAAATTACCAGTGAAAGTAAAATAAGGCAAGAAAACTAAAGAGAGAATAACATGAAGTTATCTCTAAATAAAGGCGTCATACAATGTTTTGTAGATGTAGTTTAGTACGCAAAATTTTTGAAATTGCAAAATTTAAGAAGGGTCAAATGATAATAATTTTATATATATGTAGAGAGGTTATTTTCAATTTTAAATAACAATTGAACAATTTTACTTGAATTAAGACTCATCTAATAAAAGCATATACCTAAAGCATTAGGAGGCACAAAGGATCACATATGGTGACAATCATTGTAATCTAAACAAGATTTGAAGACTCGTGAAGCACTTACCAATTGACCTAAAAACCATTATTGAACTTGCTTAATGGAGAGCTATCAAATCATGAACTACCTAGGTAAAAGCTAAGCCAAGCCAAAGCTTGGTATGACCCATACTAATTATATGAGAATCAAATTGGGTGACCCTACATTGGAGATTGTGGTGTCAAAATGGACCATCGGTTGGAGGTAGCAGTAGTAGTAGAATTCTGGTATGTTAGGTCCATTCTAATTAGTCAAAATAATGGTGGGGCCATTGGATAATTAAGGATTTTGGCCCTTCCACGTGCGACAAATGTCGGTACCCAATTGGGGACCCAACAAAAATTGGGTGAAGTGTATAACGGATATGGGTTTTTTTTTGTAGTTATACACGTGGCACACAGAGTCTTGGTTGTTGTGTGATCATGTCATTAGGGGTTTACTAACATTAATCCAAAAGGATGTCGTGATAATTGTATTTTTTATCTTTTGAGTATCATTATCTTCATTTGCTTATAATCACATATTCATAGTGACAATATGCTTTTTATCCAAAATTAAGAATCATTATGTCGGGTGATATTGATTTTACAATCTGATATAAAAAAATAAAAAATAAAAAGTAGTATGTTAAAAAATAAATAAATAAAGTAGTATGTCAACTCAAAAGATTGGATACAAAAATTTAAGTTATTTTAGGTTTAATCATGTCGTATGAGTTAATAATACAAAAATTTAAGTTATTTTAGGTTTAATCATGTCGTATGAGTTAATAATAATTTAAAAATACAAAACCGTTTTCAACTTTTGCACGATTATGTAACTTATAATAAGTAATTTTTTTTTTTTTCGTATAATAGCATCACTATTTGTTTGGTAAAATATAGGGGTGGTAAATTACAACATGACAACAAGACACGAGTTAAAAGGGTTTGGGTTTGGCATAAACGGGGTTAGATCATAAAAGGGTCGACACAATTAATCCCGTTTACTTGACCGTGTCGGGTTAGGGTTGAGGAATTCAACCTATGTAACCCGTTTACGACTCATTTAACTCAATATGTTATAATGATGAATATTACTTATGTAATATGTTACCTATTTAAACCCAATTATTTTGGATAGTTAAGTCATTTTAACATAAATCTTGTCTATCCTTTATAATTTTTCTTTATATTTTTAATATTTGGGTTAATTAGACAAATTTTTTCTATTATTTAGTATTTGATTAAATATTAAATGTCAAACGGGTTAACACTTTTACCTGTTTAATAAACGGGTTGAGTTAGTGTTGAGGATTCTTGACACGATTATTAAATGGGCTGGGTTTGGGTTTACCTATTTAGTATAATACCTTACCTCGACACAACACGAATACAATCCACGAACACGAATTGCCACCCCTAGTAAAATGGGATGTAAAAATAACACGAATACGATTCACAAACACGAATTGCCACCCTTAGTAAAATGGGATGTAAAAAATATATATATATATATATATATATATATATATTTCCCCTCATATATATACACTCTTTTTGTGTGTCTATAGATATATATTATCTCTCCTTGCTAAAAGCTCTAAATTTTAATTTGATTAAAAGTTTTACTGAGTCAAAATATCCTCGATTAGAAGGCGGTTTTTTTTTTTTTTTTTCACCAAACTCATTTGAAAGATTTTTTTTTAAATAAAAAGCATTTTTAGTCTCTCCAAAAGCAACGTCAAACGGTAATGATTTATAACGAAATCCCAATTAGAAAATGCAGTATCTAGTACAGTAATTTAAAGCTGTCATGAAACAAATTCCAGAATTAAACACCTATTAGGTATTAGTTTATTATATGTGCATGTTTTACATGTGTGTGAATCAATATAAAGGAAGATCTTGATACGAATTGTCCAAACCAGATATTTTATTATTCGAATAGTTTTTGTTTTTACGTTAATTGGATGTTACCGTGAAATGATACTGGTGATTGTCTGTTTCTGTTTCTCAACAAACTTTCAACTAATGAACGGTTAGCCAACTTAGCCTACTATATGGTTGGATGATAACACATTAAAAATAAGTTATTGTTTGTGGTTAAATTGAGTAATTGTTGAAAAAGATCTAAAATTTGTGAAAAATATAATGAAATGAGGAGGGGCAACTCGGGTGAGAATTCAGGCTTTGATATCTCCCACATGAAGTATCAAGTCTCATATTTGATTTTTTGAATAAAATAATTTTTATGCGAGTACCTACATGGGTTAAATTATAATCGGGCTAAACCTGAACTTATTGAGTACATGTGATTTATAAAATGTTATTTCAATGTACCGCGATAGCTACTCTTTGAGGACGAATAAAAAAGACAGAATAAAAAAAACAAAAAAACTCTGAATGTATTTGGATTGTGACCCCTCTATGTCCCCTCAACTGTCCTATATGTATTTGAGACACGGATATCTTAACAAAAAGAATCTGTCCATCTTCCAAATTTCCAAGATAAAAGCAAACAGACAAATCAAAAAAGGTTGTACTAAATTGTGTAAAGGAATAAATTGATGAATATATATTATTTAACTGTGTGGTAATCTCGTGCTACTGTCTCACCTGTTAAGGTAAAAGTTATACTCAATTCCAAGAAAAAAAAGAAAAAAACACTCAATTCCCGACGAAGTGGGTGTGTAAATTTCTTATCGTAAAAATAAATGGAAGTATTATATATATATATATAAATTGGGTAAAATACAGTCACACCCTCTGAAGTTTGGTAAAAGAACACTCAAAGAAAACTCTAAAAAACACCCCCTGAAGATTCAAAAATGGACAAAGACACCCCTTTACATGAAAAATTGACCAAATTACCCTTTGACCGTTTAGAAGACTTTTTTTAACTTTACAATTTAATAAATTGGACCAATCTACCCTCATGAATAATTTATACATAAAAAAAGTAAAAAAAAAAAAAACTTTATATTGTTCATTTTTTTTTTATTTACTTTATAAATGTCACAACTTTTTAAAAATGTAGACGCTAAAATGATTTTTTGATTCAATACATATGTTTTAAATAGATTATATTTTGTTATTACTTCTTTTCTTTTTCTTTTTATTTTTAAATTAAATGTTTAATTCTTTCATTTAAAAAAATTAAACCAATCTCTTTTCTTTAAAAATAAAAAATATGGTACCAGTATAATTTTATGTATCTTAATTTTATGCATGCCTTTGTTTTTTTTTTTCCCCCTTTGTTTTATTATTATTTTTTTCCCTTTGTTTTATTATTATTTTTCCTTTGTTTTATTATTATTATTTTTTCCCTTTTATGTTGGGAAATGTATAGTATTTGATATATGATTTAAGATGCATAAAGTTATACTGGTACTATATTTTTTATTTTTAAGGAAAAGAGATTGGTTTAATTTTTTTAAATGAAAGAATTAAACATGTTAATTTAAAAAAGAAAAAGAAAAAGAAAAGAAGTAATAACAAAATATAATTTATTTGAAAGATATGTATTGGATCAAAAAATTATTTTAGACGTCTACATTTTTAAGAAGTTGGGACATTTATAAAATAAATAACCAAAAAAAAAAAAAGTTTTTTTTTTTTTTTTTTTTATGTATAAATTGTTCATGAGGGTAGATTGGTCCAATTTATTAAATTGTAAAGTTAATAAAGTTTCCTAAACGGTCAAAGGGTAATTTGGTCAATTTCTTATGTAAAGGGGTGTCTTTGTCCATTTTTGAATCTTCAAATGGTGTCTTTGTCCAAAAAATAGGTAAGTTTTATCTGAATATTCTTTTGTCAAACCTCAAGGGGTGTGACTGTACTTTACTCATTAAAATTCAAGCAATCGACTCTTGTCATAAAACTATAAAACTCCTCTGTAAAACAGAAGTGGATCGTTTTGACCAACAGGTCCTGTGCTAACCCTAGTCCTGAGCCTAGAAGGGCACCTGATGCTCCCTGAGCATATATACCCTTAGTGGAGATAGACATCATCAGCTTGGCCTTCTTCTAGTCTTCTACGCAACCCTTGTTAAGGACCACTGTCCCAGAAATGATAATCATGTTGAATATGCTTTTCTCTATACATGAATTGGAATATCTCATCCCAAGTCAACCCTACAAAATATACTATAAGAAAATTATATATCCACACACTAAAAGGAATATAATCTCAGCAGAACTCAAATCAATCCAACAAAGCCCTATTAGTCCTAGAAGAAGAATAAAAAGAATAAGATTGTAGAAGCAGATAAATTAGCATATCCAGGTGACAGAACATTCAAAGCAGCCTATAACACAGTTTACAAATGTGATCTTAAAGCCAGCTAATTATACAAATTCATTGCACGGTATACAACGTTCGGAAAACACCTGAGAGCCAGTAAATATTGTACACCCCGAGGACGATATTGAGATATAAAAGTTGCAATGATGCTTCTGTTCATAAAGAATACGAAAAGAAGAAGACCAATTTAAGCACTTGATGAACATACATTCTAAACAAACTCCCAACTTGCATAACAAGTTTACCACTTCCTCGCATATTTATCCAATAACAGCCTTATTATATGGGCATGAATAAGAATTATACCAGTCTTAGTTCTTTCAATATGTGCAGGGCTAGTACTGGCTATATTTACACTTTACAGAATAATTGGCCTTAGCCTTGACAAAGCATCACCAATCCATCTGCTCCTACCTAATAGAAACAGATGCAACATCAACATCATGTTATTTTATTAGAAGCTCGGCTCTTGGAACACCCTCTATTTTCTGAATCAGATATAAGCTTTTGTGGTGGCAAAAATAGTTGTGAATGGTCCAGAAAAACAGAAGACGCATTTTCTAATTTTCTTCATCAAAATTTCATCAACTGCATTCACAATGCCTACGCAAACGGTTAACAGTGACTTTAATTAACAGGGACAGATGAACAACCCTCCATTGGCAAAAGTTTGAGAAGTTTCTTCACCGAGTACCCTTCTCAATTTCCACTCTTCATTTTGCTTGTAACCTGCTCTCGAGACATTCTCATGTGCTGATGTTCTTCGATTCTCCTTTTGAAGTCATGGTGCGCTACTTGCAGTATGCTCCTGATTCAACTACTTCATATTTCCATCCCAATCATTATCTTGCTTCAGAAGAACGTTATATTTCCTTGAGTTGCACACCGCAGAACAGATCTTATCCTTTTTTAAAAGTCATCAATCCTGCATTTGCAGATATATATGGGCCTACAGACATCTCTGGATTATCTCCTTAATAGGGGAAATCATAAGCGAAATCACAAAATTGTGGATGAAAAATTTAGGAATACATGAAAGGAAGCCTGAAATATGTAAAATCAGTTTGAGCTTAAGAACCCAAGCTTGTTGTATGCTTGCCAAAAGTTTCTGCAATAATGGCCGGCACCACTTTCTTACACTAAAACATAAAAATTCTTCAACTATATACTTGCCAAAACTCTTACTGTATGGAGCCTAGGGTTTTGACTCTCGAAGGTCAAGCCAGAGGCCACTGATTTCAGCCTTAAGTCGAGAAAGAAAGAATGAAAGGCTGAATTAAATGCTCTTTGCCTGAGCTTATGACATCTGAAGCTTTTTCAATCATCATCTGCAAACATAGACATGCAAAGGATCAAACCCAACTAATGAATCATGGTGAAGGGACAGGTTCATTGGTTGGAAAGACTGAATACAGCATTGACATGGTCAATCACATGCACAAAATTCTATATCAGACTTCGTTCATGTACTATTTTTATTCATTTTTTTAGGCATATACACTATAGCTTCTAAAGGCTATCTTTGATTCTTAGTTAATCTTTCTTAATTAGTGCATCAATTAGAACAAAGTTCTAATCTTAAGTTTTGACCAGAACTTACATAGCCCAAAACTTAAGAGAAGTTCAACTTCAACAGAGTTTATTCATGATACAATACCAACATAATTGTCTGCTCAGGAGTCCTAAAATCCATTGTCCCAAACCTAAATGAATCCCTTGACAATTATTAGTCATGATTTTTTGCTTCCCAGTTTTACCAAATATTTTGGCAGCTTTACACCATTTCAATGTTCCTCCAAATTTTAACTAGGTTAGAGTTCTATGTCACCACGTTTAATTTACAAGCTGGGAAGCTGTTTTGCCCATGTCTACATATCTGAGCACCTGTCCCAATGTCAATTGATTTCTTTAATTTTCAATCTTGTATATCGGATACCGACTTCTTAAAATTCAGGATTGCACATTACATATTTTGGAAGCTAAGTTTCATTGATAGGATAGTTCCATGTAAATGGCAAAAACTAGCAACCCACCCACTGACCATCTCAGGCTCCTTATTTCAAGAGAATCAAGACAATATATTTCTGTCATTTATAAAATTCCACGGCAACCCAGTTGAACATTTAAAGCCACCTTTTAATTTAGTTGTTCAATGCTCAAAGGGACAGCTCTTATCTATCACTTCCGAAGCATGGAGATTCAATTGTTCCTTTGTATATTTTCACTACAATGCCAAGGTTTAAGAAAGGTAAAGGTCAAATTTGATGATAGATTACTTTGCACTTTCATTTCAGACTATCACTGCCTTGTCTAGGCCTTTGGGAAAATGCAACTAATGTGGAGTTAATTGCCATTCTGATGCATCCTAAAGAAGCTGGAAACCTTGAGTTTTCAATAATTTAGTGCCATAGTAATTATAGAGAACATATACAACATCTCATGTCTCCTGGTGTCTCACTTTGACTATCTCTTATCCTTGGTTTCTTTTGTGCCTAATGCTCCGTTTGGTAGGATGGAAGAAAATTGGATGGAAGGGAGAGGAGGATGGATGACTGAGACATCCCTAGGGAAGAGATTGTGCCATACTCTCTTTTTGTTTGGTTGGATGGAAGAGAAGAGAATGAGAGAGTGATAATGATAAGGATAGTTTTGTAATTTAAAAACTTCTATAATAGTCTTGCCTTTCTTCCTTCGTGTCTTCTGTCCATATTTGGCGGGATGAAAATTTGTGTAAGAAGAAGGATGACTCATCCATTCTCTTTTCTCTTCCCTCCTTGCATCCTCTCAACCAAACGAAATAAATTTTTTTCTTCCTTCCTATCTTCCCTCCACTCCTCTTCCTTCCTTCTTACTAAACGGAGCATAAATGTTGCATTAGTTGGCAGAGATAAAAGTGAACACTTCAGGTAACTATAAATAAGGTGTGAAATTCTAGAAAATCAAGAAAAAAACACATTTACCATCATTCATAATTTGAAAATGATATTCAGATGTATGAATGAGACTTCTAAGAAAAAGAGAACCAGGAAACAATCAATTCTCGGCTCCATAAAACCTTATCCGAATAATTTGTGAAAATTATTTGCAAAAACAAAAAAAATAAAAGAGAGAGAGAGAGAGAGACAACACTTCATTCAAAACTTCTCTATTCATCCTCCTCAAAACTTACATCACCAGGATGAATATAAGGGAAGAAAGAGGATCATCCTTCTACAACCTTCTATAATTCGCAAAGAATTTAAAATTTCTTCTTAAAATATATGGTCTCAATTCTCTTGAAACCTTCTATCAAGCCTCAGGTACATGATGAATAACCACATAATGTAAGCAATAATAAATACTTATCCTAATAAGATGGGTACACAATTAAGAAGTACTGCTTGAGACAGAAAGGGGACAGTAACTAAAGTTTCATTTGGAATGAAAAATGGAAAAGTGAGTGGAAGGGAAAGTAAGAAGGATGGATGAGGGGTGAAGCATCCTAGGGAAGAGAAGGTGTCCTTCGTTTTTGTTTTGAGTGGAAGGGAGTCGAAGGAGGTGACACTTTCCACTTTTGGTAAGAAGGAAGGAAGGAGTGGGGTTGCACTTTTTTTCACACCTATACCCTCATAATATAATTTTGCAAATATTGATGATGGATAATAATGTCAATTTACATCATATAGCGTACTTATCCTTCTTTTCCTTCCTCTCTTTTGTCCAATTTTGGAAGGATGATAAATGGTGGGTTAGGAGGCATGCCTCATTTTTCCCTCCTTTCCTTCTCTCCAACTTTCCCTTGTACCAAAGGATAGAGACTCCCTCCTTCGCTCCCTCCTCCTTCCTTCCATCCTACCAAACAATGTATAAGAAATAAGACCACACTACAACTAAATTTCTACATATATGAAAAAACTTGTAATCAAATGATGTAGGACAGTTTTATCTACTTTTTCCTCATATTAGTAGTTTTTAGTATTTAGGTTTTTTTATTGTATTTTTTCGTAATTTTTAGAGAAAGTTTAATTTTGGGCAGTTTCTTATAGTTTCCTTATGCTTTTAGTTTCTTTATGGTGTTAAGCTATGAAGCACATACACAAGTACAATACGATATGATATGGACACGGAGATACGACAAATTTTTTAAAAAATAGGACCCGCGGTAGGGACACAGCAATAAAATAATATATATATTTTTATGGCAGCTGATATTGGCGCTCCACCAATATCCGATGGCACTCTACTCTTCTTCCTTGTTAATTAAAATTACCCAAAAGTCCCTAGACTACACTGTTATATTTTTTATGTCTTAATTGCCCTTATTTGATTAGAATGGGACTCTGTAAAATTCACCCATTATTCTCTCTAACTAAAACATCCTTGTATTTCATTTTCTTTGGACTCCCATGAAATTCATCAATCGTGATTCAGAGCGCCCTCATCATCTCATCTTACGAACTCTATATGAATTCAGTCTGACCGACTTCAGTTCCAACCAAAAACAAATTAGCAAAAATGTTTCAGAAAGTAATTCAACTCAAAACAACCACAAAAACACTCTCCAACAATGACTTCAGTCTCCTCATACCCCAATACAAACTCGAACGCAATCCAAGACACCAATCTCATCATTTCAACAAAGATAAGACGGTGAGGAAGCAAAACTCTAACTGCAATGGATGTTTTTGTTACTAATCTCTTCACAATATTTTGCCAATGCAACCATTAGATTGAAAGATTTCATCGTAGTTCTCCGCTACGCGATTAGATCTAAACCAAGCTTCGTTAAGGTGATGATTCATGAAATGGAGTCTGCGAATTGGGACAAGGATCCAGCAGCTAGTGCGATTGAGCCTCAAATGCGTTTGAATCATTCGTGCGTGGAGAAATGTTTCAAAGGTTTTGATCGTCCTTGTTTTTTTCTCTGGAACAATGTTCACCTCAATTTCACATAGAGATACTGTCATCAAATTTCAATCCAAGAATGCAAGAGATGAAGGAATTCGTTTCACTGGAGTCCTAAACTAGTAACCATAATAGAGAAGGACAATTATGGAATTAAAAAGGGAAGAATCCAACATCGTTTGACGGAAGGACTTTTTTTGTAATTTTATTTTTGCAAAAATAGAAGAGTGGAGCGCCTAAGGATATTGGTGGAGTGCCAATATCAGCTGCCTATTTTTATTATACATAAATTTTAAATTTTTACTAAATTTATAATCTATATTCATTAAAAAAAAAAAAAAAAATTAGGTCCACCAAAGAGGCCATACTTCTCCTGAAAAGCCTAAAAGTCCATTGGCCCAAATTCTATTACGTAATATCTTTTTTTGGAGATGTTTGGTAACAAAGATAACAATTCTACTTTTGGATACAAACGTGTATATTCTACTTTTGGATACAAATGTTTATATCCAAAAGTAGAATTGTTTTCTTTGTTACCAAACATCTCCAAAAAAAGATAAGATTGCAATCTTATCTCCTCTCTCTCTTCTCCACATTCATTCACAGATTATCAAGTTCTCTCTCCTCACTCTATATTTCATTCATGACTCTTGCTCCATTCTCTCTCTTCTGACTGTTGTTCTCACATCTCCTCCCTTTCTTCACATAATTAGATCTCCAGGTCTGTTATCTCAATTCATATTACTCACTTTAAATGAAAATACACACACACACAGATATGTATATATCCCTTCAACCTCTCTTTCTTTTTTCCAAAAAAAAAAATCGAACTGTCCTCCGGCGTGTCCCCATGCATCCTCCAGCATGTCTGACTTGTGAAAAAACATATATAAAGAAAAAAGAGAACACTTCTACGGAGTGTCGGACACAGGTGCGGCAACCCTCTTGGGCATGTCCATGCAAAAGTTAAGGGTTCTTTTATTATAAATACATGTACTACTGAGAGCAAAATTCAGAGGTTGATTAATGATATTTCACAGATTTTCTCTCAACTTTGTGGATTCAAAGTTGTTCATTGTTCTTTGTGAACATTAATAGCTTCCGCTTCGTCGCCAAAGGACTTAGACTGACAACACCTTGGTTTCTGACTGTGTTTCCGGGCCCAACCTTCCGATTTAAGTTAAAAGTTTTCACTCATACCAAACACGGAAGGGCATCTAAAGTGGGGGAAAAAGGAACTTTATCATGCTAAATAATTGCAACAATGCTTCCATATGAGACCCTTCTGTTATCTCCTGAAACTACATTATTCAACTCAACCCACGAAACCATTTTTCTCTCTGCCCAACAATTAAGTACATACCTAACCTGACAAATGCCAAGAAGCCAGTAAATTCACAGCATGCGCAATATAATGTATGAACCACACTTGGTTATAAAAAGTAAAAACACTGCCAAACACACATGAGATTTTGTTAATCATTCTTCTTTCGCACGACAGAATTATATAGTTCTGCACCTAAACTTTTGAAGCAAAGTTAAACCTCATACAATAATTGTTGTTAAAAGTCTAATATTTGAATTATATATGGAATAACTTATAGCATAATAGGCAACTATTAAACAAGCAAATCATAAAAAGAACCTTTTTCGTTCCCCAAGCACTTATGAATCCAGAAGTATAGATTGTTCAATTAGATAAATAATTGCACAAAAATTACAGTAATATGCAACTTAGACAACCATTTAACATATGCATTCTAATTGTTCTCCGGCTAGAAATGTTGGGCATGTCATATATAAGGAAGGGAAAAGGCACTAAATTTATGCACATACCAAAAGACATAATTTACATAAGCTCCAACCAACCTAATGAGTTTTCCACTTTCTCAATAGCTCATCATAAGCGAAAGCCTTCCCAGCTTTTGAGAGGCTCTGTCTCAATTTTGACAGTGTGGAAGAATTCAACTTGATACCTCTATCAATCATATCCTCAGCATACTTAACAGCTTCTGGAACCCTATTAAACACACGAAGTCCCAAAACCAACAAATTTCCCGTTTCCTCCAAGTCGGAATCGTAATTCTCAATCATCCATTTCCAAACCTTTATGGCCATGTAAGGTTCCCCACTATCCATATATCCCCTAACTGCTGCCTTGCAATTTGTGTGGTTTGGAACACACTCATTTTTAATCATCTCAGTAAATATTGGTGAAGCATCCCGAAACCGCTTGCTCTTAATCAAGAACTGAAGAAGTACATTGTAAGTCTGTGAATCCGGGAAAACACCATGACAAATCATCTCATCCAGCAACTCCTTAGCTGCATCAATATCATTAAGATAACAATGCAAAGCAATCATGGAAGTATACATCCCTGTATCAGGTCTGAAACCGTTCCTTACAGCCATTCCATCCCAAAGCAACCGAGCACCCTTTACGTCACCTTTCTTCACACAATCATCAAGTGCAATCTTGAAGAATTTCATCCCCGGAAAACACCTCCTCTCCTGCATTGTCTCAAAGGACCTTATCACCTCTAGCATCCCATCCGGCCCCTTGAGCAAAGTAGTCAAAAATGAATCATATGCAGCCACATTCCTCGGGTCCCACCCGATCTCACTCACCATCTCTGCGAAAGTTCTCCTGGCACTAACAACATCACCTTCATTCTCCCATCCCTCCAACAAAATTGCATACGTGTCTGCATCCGGCCTAATCATGTTCTTCACAACACCCAAAAACTCATTTGCCTTTTCTGTCCTCCCCTCCCTACAAATTGCACTAAAAAGTGAATTCAAAGCCACAATGTCCCGCGGACAACCATATTGATCCATAACATCAAAGGTCATAATTGCTTCTTTAACGCGATCAGCAATCACATAACTACTAAAAACAGAAGCAAATGTAGCCAAAGAAAGCAACCCTTCTTTCTTCATTGACTTAATAGCATCCCACATTGCTTCAAACAAACCATTCTTACCCAACAAATCAACAACCAAGTTCCAAGCATAGGGACTATGGTTGTCATTGAGTTGACGCCCGGACCACCGGAAGAACTTCCCGGCGGGACCGGGAAACCCATAAGACAATTTTAGGACTTCTTCAACTTCTGGTTGAGAAAGTCGAACACCCATATCGTCGAGAACTTTCTCGACATGTAAAGAGCGAGTATTGGCAATGATTTCACAGAGTAACTTAATTTTGGGGGGCAAATTGGGGGTTTCAAGGTATGAAGAGAAATTTGGACGCTTACCCATTTGTTGTTGTTGAATTTGAGCTGAGCTTGTTGGAGGTTTTGAAGTTGATGAAGAGTGGGGCTTCTTGTTGTGGTCAACGTTCGACGAAGACGATGAAGAATCTTCACCGCGAGGCCGTTTCTTGTGCTTGTCCATGATTTCTTGGTAGAATTGTAACAAAGAAATTTGGAGAATGTGATATGGAGGGTTTGGTGAAGGAGCATCAGAAACCCCTAGCTAGGCATTGGGAGTGAGAGAGATTGATAGTGTTTTCCTTTTCCTTTCTTTCCTTTGGTTTCTTTCTTTTCCCCTCCTGTTTTTTTCCCTCCTCTCTCTCTCTCTCCCTTCTTTTCCTTGCAAGAAAACAAAATTGTTATTTTGCTTATTTCTTCCATCCAATAACACCAAAGAATAACGAGACAACATTATTATTATTATTTTTTTATACAAGACAAAAAGTGTTAAAGTTAAATTAATAAATAGAGAGACTTGCATTTTAAAATCCACCAAAAATACTAACCAATTAAACTATCAAAGCATCGAACAACCATACAACATTGGACATCTCATTCATCTCTTCCAATCTTCCTTTCATTCATTTTTTTGAAAGTAAAATTATTTTTTAATGTATTTGTAGAATTTATATATGCAAATTATATCCGAAAAAATTATCATGTTTATTTTCTATCACAAACTTAATAACGTATTGTACAACATTATAAAACCAATTTGGCCCCCACCCCCCCCCCCCAAAAAAACAAAAAAAAAAATCTCTTTTAGAAAAAGTTACAGTATTTAGATATCTCGATGACTAAGTGGGTTAGTGTCTAATAGATTTTGAAGTGCCAGACTTCAACTCTCTATATTTATTAATTGAACTTCTAAGAATGCATATTTTATAATTCTTAAGAAAACAATTTATTGTTTTATGAAAATTTCAAAAGTGCTTTTAAACAAAACTAAACCAAACAAAATGGCAACGTTAAGCCATTCTGTAACAAATGGATGCACGGGCTTATTCCCATTTTCTCAAATTATTCAAACTTGTACCAAAAGTGGAATAAAGGAATGCTTTGGAGTACTTCCAAGTTCCAACTGCATCTGTTGTAAACTTGTACCAAACGAGTTTTACATGACCTTTACCATTCTGTTATACATCTCGCAAAAAAAAAAAATCACAAAGTAGGTTTCACTCTATTGCTCTCCAATTCTCCATGAAAAAATGATTTTTTTTTTCTAACAATGTCTCTCTTTTATCCCATGTAAATCAAATGTTTTTTCATATCGAGATTTCTCCTTTCAAATTGGTCAATGTCGTAATTATTATTATTATTATTATTATTATTTATTTATTTTGTCTATGTCCTAAATTTGAGACCCTTCCAAATTCAAGATAACAGAGCACATGAATTTAACATGTCAAGGAAATATTGTCCCACATTGGTTCTAAATAAAAAAATGAGCGGGTGTATAGGGGCACGTATGTAATATCCTTCAACAGCTTAAACATTCGAAGGATAGGCATCCGACCCACTATAATTTTAGATTAAATAAATCAATAATTTAAAACAAATTATCATTAATTCTCTTACTTTTTTATATTTTTATGTGACAATTTTAATGATCATTAATTATCTTACTCATTTTTTTTAAAAAAAACTTATCATTTCACTTTAATTATTCACATTTAAAATACTAATACTTGCCTCTAAACATCCCTCTTCACCATTGATGTGACCATATAAATGATTAAACGGCCATTAATTCTTTTACTTTTTTTATTTTAAGATAATCCGTTTATCATTTCTCTTTAATTCTTCACATTTAAAATAGTATTACTTGCCTCTTCACCCACTACTATGATCATATTAATTCTCTTACTTTTTTTTTATATTTTTTTTTTCAAGGTAACTCAGCTTACGTTTTCTTTTTAATTATTCACATTTTAAAAAGTAATACTTATCACTTAAGTGGCAAAAATTACAATCACATGTGTCCATTTAATTTTAAATTATATAAATAACAAAAAAAAAATTAAAAATTAAAAAGATCATAATTTTCTCTCTTTTAAAATTTCAATCAGTGTTCCTTTAATTCAAAGTGTTCTATAATTAAATGTTATTTTTTAGACTATATTTAATATATTTATGATAATGCCAATATATTCATATTTTCCTAGACATCCAAATTCATTTTATCATTTTTCCATAGTTCTAATACAAGTATATAGACTATATTTAAATTATTATTTCATTCACCGGTGATAAATTCACCATCACATAAAACGGACCGGGGAGGATCTTAGTCACTTTTGGGAATAAGTTATATATACACATATATATGTATATTTGAATATATATACAGACATACACAAGTGAAGCCCTAGCTTTTTATAGTTTATTGTTTGGGGTGTCTTCAGTTCAGGTGATGTCTGAAAAGGGTATGCTTCAGTTGCCCGAGCCCCAACCCAACACGTCAGAACCAGAGAAAATGGACCTTGCTGCTCCATCCAACGCCAATGCCAGTGAGTGATTCTTTATCTATAAGCTCATCGATTCCTTTGTTTTGTTTGGTTGCTCAGAAAATGGAGCAAGAGAAAGTGAATTTTTGCATCTTATGTGTTTTTTTTTTTTTTGGCTGTTCTGGGTGTTGTTAACCCAATTAAGTGGTTGATCATCTTCTTACTTAGCTCTGATCTCTCTAGAGTTTTTTTGTTTTTTTATTTTTTAATTCCCGGTAAGTATCTCTCTACAGTTTTTTCTTTGTGCGTTTGTAATTGGAGATGCAATTTCGGTGATTAACTTAATAGATTGCTCTTTCATTTTTTGGTAGTGTGTGAAAATGGTGCTTTTGTTAACGTGGGTTTGCAATTTTTACTCGATTTTACTTGACTGCTTCTTTCCATTTTTATTTTATTTTATTTATGGATTTATTGTTTCTACTGCACATTTATCCTCTCATTGAAGTTACTTATCTTTGTTCACGGTATATGTTTGTAACTCTGTGTATTATTGTTATTTTTTGGGTAAATAACTTTGTGTACTTCTTTGCGAAAGTTCAGTCCCTCTCAATTTGTCATATAGTTTCTTGAAATGTATCTGTTGGAAGGACATTTAGAAACTGTATTTTTTTTTGTTTTTTGTTTTTTTTTTGTGTGTATTTTGTCCATTCATGATTTCCTATCTCATGGATTGGGTGACTTTCCTCTTATGTTGTTAAATGTGGATGGTGAAATATAATGTCACATGGTGTGCTTGTTATGTTACAATTAAGTGCTCATTTCTTGGTGCTTTACGTGTTGTAAATGGTTTGAGTTGAAGATGCATGATCATTCCGCATTGTTAATTGCAGTTGAGAACTGATCAATTTGTGTTTATCGACCTTTTAGTCTCTATAAGGAATGGCCACAGCGATTGCACGAGTTTATTCTTTTTGCATATTTGACATTGTATGTATCGGACGATGATGCATCAGTTACCTTGACAATTTATTTCCTTGATTTGCTTAGATATACCAGAGAGCTTGTTGTACAAAAACCGCTTACAAGAGTACACACAACGTTCAGCAATATCACTCCCAATATATCAAACCGCCAATACAGGAGTTCCGCATGCTCCAAACTTTACGTCTACCGTCTTCGTGGACGGTTCATACTACACATCTTCAACCGCATTTTCAAATCGAAAGGCAGCAGAGCAGGATGCTGCCAAAGTTGCATTGATTGGCATATCAAAAAAATTAAAGGATGAAGGGTGTCCTCTTATCAGCGAGGTTTGTCAATGATTCCAGATCAAAACTTACTAATTTAGATTCTGCTTAATTTAAGTAAGGAATTAATTTATTAGGCAACAAATTATTAGTTTATGCACATTAAAAATTTTATTTTTTTTGCAACTTGCTTCTTTGGTATTGATACTTATTTTTTTCTAGTGTCAATGGTTTCTCATCAAATTCTAATTGTTACTTTCATTGGCTTGTTTGGGACATGTTCTTTTCTCTGTACTGTTAGGCACAAGATTTAAAGTTCAAAAGGGGCCTGTAGTTGGGTTAAGTAGCTAGAGTCAGAGACCTTGGTCCCTGCCTCTCCCTGAATTATTATTAATTTTTTTTGGAAATGCTGAGTCAACGTTCTTTTTCCCCTCTGCAAACATCATGTTAAAGGTATATTGTAATATTGTATTTGACCCCTATGTTTGTTTTACAAAAAACTGTTAGTCCTAGATGCAAGTTATTATTTACTTATTCTCAAGAAAACATCAATAAAAGAAAATTGAAAGACCATGTTAGGAACTTTGCTTCTCTTGATTTACAATATATTAGAGAAAAAAGTGATACTTCTATAGGTTACAAATATCCGGGAGTTTGTTGGAAATAGTCAAGTTACCTTAGGAATTGTGAGCGTGAGAATTATGGTTATTATTGCAACATATCAGTTATCCAAATACCTTTTAATCTCACATTAATCAGCTACTATCAATTTTCACAGTATCTGCACTTCACTGTTTCTCCAGTTCCTGAAAAAAGTATTTATGTTGCTTTTGTTTTTTGTTACAATTATATGGAAGTCGGTTTTGACTTTTGATACATCTTTGTAGAGTTATTTAAGATAAATGAGGATTGAATGTGTGTTTTTATTGTTTCTGTATTATTATATATTTTTTTATGTTGTGTGATTTTGAGATAGAAGTGCTTTAATATCATGAGGTTACTACTGCAAACAACCAAAAACACTAGTAAGTCAGGACTGATATCTTACATCAACTGCATAGGTTCTCTTTGATTAATAGAAATTTTCTACCTGCTCTTCTGCCACCTAATTGCTTTCTAGTTCTTCTTTATTCTGGTAATTGCTTCATTTTTGAAACCATGACTTGTTATATTCCTTGAATACAGTTATATTTAGGTTTTGCCGTTCATAGTATTCTTGCTTTCTTACAAAAGCTTGTTAAACACTGCATGTAAAGCATACCTGTTCCTTTGTATGATGAGTTACAACACTTGAAAGCACTGTGTTTCTTTTTAGCCTTGTCTTTCAATTTTTAAATTTGCATTTTTCTTTGCAATGATATATGGAATGAATGTGCTCCTTCCTTTTGTTAATTCACTTCTCCTTTTGGCCCTATGGTAAGGTTTTTTAATGGGTCTTGTGTTCAACCTCTTTGGCTGCCAAAAGCTTCGGCTTTCAATTAAAGTCAGTCTGGAATTTGGATGAGTTTACATTTTCATTACTGGTTGCCAAAAAGCATACTCAAAATTTTCTTTCTCTCTGTTGCTTATCCAGGATACAGTTTTTTGCAAGCAAATCCTGAATGAATATGCAATGAAGAAGAATCTGAAAAAACCAACTTATGATACAGTTCAATCGGAGGGGTTGCTTCCAGTGTTTGTTTCTTCTTTGGTCTTCAATGGTGTTACCTACACTGGCGTGGCAGGTAGAAACAAGAAGGAAGCTGAACAATTGGCAGCACGTGCTGTTATCCTATCAATTTTGGGTATCTATTTCTATCTTCTTAGTTACAAGATAACTTTTTGGATCTGCTCACCTGACGCAAATCTCTCTCTTTGCTGGTGTGGTTGACTTACTGAAAAAATTATTTGACAGGGGATCTTGTTTCAGCAACCTATATGTCTGAAATTATTAAGTCCAAGTTGAAGCTGTATGCTGCATTGGGTAAAGTTACAGACTCACACAATACCCACAATGTCAGCATGCCTGTCATTGTAAATACAGGTAACAGTTCTGTCTTGCCTTTAAATAAAGAGAAAGAAGCTGAAGTTTCCCAGGGCACTGGTAGGATGCCTGTTTTAATAAAATCAAAACCATCCTCTGGGCCAATTCCTCCAATTGCATGCGCGCCTTCAGTTTTGCAAGCTGAAGTTGCTGGGGGCATTGATAATATGCCTGTTAGAATCAAATCAGAACCATCATCTGTGCCAATCATTCTACCAATTGCATCTGGATCTTCAGTTTTGCCACAGCCTCTAGTTGCTGGTTCAACTGTTGGTAGAAAACGGAGTAAGAACAAGAAGAAGACAGATAAGAGAATGCGAGGGTATGACGAGTCTAAATTACTTTCCTGTTTATAATATTAATAGTAGAATTAGCGTCATCATCGACAACGATCATCATCATCATCTCTTTCATTATCCTTGCTATTGTTATTGTTTTTTTTTTTTTTTTGGTTATTATATTCTTATCATTGTTATTGTTACTAGTATTATTCTTTTGATGTGATCTGATACTCTCTTAATTGCTTGGGTTTTATTGTTTGTGATATTTGACAACTTCTCTGTGCCCTTTTGCACTTTTTATGCTAGTCTGCTTGAAATTTCATGCAAGAATGCATTTTGCCTTCTTAAAATTTTGAAGAGTAAATTTGAGTGTATACAATATATAATTGAGCAATTATTTTGTAACATGCTCTGCATTGAATTTGTTCGATTTTCTTATGATTGAAAGAACAACAATTAAGTAACCTGAACTGCAGAATGCTTCCTTATGTGTTGTTTTACGATGTGAATCTTTTGTATATAGCTATTTTCTTTTCCCCATTATTGCTTAAGATTGAGTATTTTGTATTGATTCCTAACTGCTGCATGTTGCTTGCGGTTAGGGAGATGATGTCCTAACGAGTAACATCTTTCAGCTCAATTCAGTATCTCTCTCTGAGTGGTCTTCTCCATAGTCTATAGCATAGTGTCGTGCACGCATGCATTTGTACTCTTGACCTCTCTTTGGAAAAAAGGAATATCTGTCAGTCCTCGAGACTTTTTGTTCAAGGCACTGTATTTTACTTAATTGGGGTATGTTGTTGTGTTTGGGAGTGTGTATAGAATTGTATGTCAAACTGCTTGAGGTAAAACAAGATAATGAATTAGTAACTAGATTGGTTTGTGGTACATCAGTGGCATGTCTTGCTATAGATTGACATTTGAAACCATCGTAGGTCATCCAGTGTTTAGGCTGGAGTGCAGTTCTCTTTTCAAGAAAGCGGATGGAGGGAAAGTGTGTGTTCAAGTACCAATATTTTAAACTTTAATAAAATAATATGTGATTCTATACTTTACATAAAGGCAGGGCGTGTGATTTTCATTGTGCAAACAAAAGGACTCTGGGCAATGTGCATCTTATGGTGGTTGCATGGCTCTCCTTTCCTTTCCTCCTAAATCTTTATGGGATAAACTTTTTTTTTTTTTTTTTTTTGGTGGGGCTTGGTTGTTAACACTACTTGGTTTAAGTAGTTGGAAAAGGACTCTGACAATTATTATCCCTTCTAACCTGTATTGGATACTATATTTTTCTCAGCACCTGTCTCTTCCTTTAACAACTTCCCATCACAATAAGGGTGGGGTAGGGCATTGCTTTTGGGTTGGATTATGATCCTCATCTCCATCATCTGTGTAGAGGTATATTTGTTAAGAGAAGCTGCCCTATTTTTGCAGAAGCAGAGGGTACCTGGAGATTGCAAGTTTTAGCATCCATAGGCACTAAATGAAAGTCTCTGGAAGTCATAATTGTGATTAAGAGTTTTGATATTTGTCCACTTTAGGTCGGGTCGGTCCTATGGATGTCAGTGGAGGTGGTGGTTAGTATCAGGATGTTTTATCGGTGACGGTGATGATCTATGCAGCAATGGAAATTAGAGGTTTTGCAGTAGACTGAAATATTGCTGGACGGTAGAATTGCAATACCCCAAGCTATGTTAGTTTTGGATATGAACAAGTATATTTATTATTGGAGGGTAAAATTGTGAAACCCCAAGATCCATTATTGTCCATAAGCTGACAGGTCAAGATGGACTATGGGAGTGCAAGTGAAAGTGTAATTACAGAAACCATTATGGTGGTTCCTCTAATAGTCACATACCAAAACTAAGTTTTCATGCTTCTCAATATGTGAATGTGATACTCGAAAAATTGCTAATAAAATTTAGCAAATCCATAAATGAAGCATGCCCAAGTTAATGTCACCTCATAATCTACTGGCCCAATCTTTCTTCAACTATGACTGTTGAGATCTCCTTTTTAACCTTGCAGATTGCGAAACCATTGGTTTCTCCAAATTAGAGCCCTGATGTCAGCTACTATGACTATTGAGATCTCCTTTCTAACCTTATATACACACATATACCCTTGGTTTCTCCTTTCTAACCTTGTATTTTTTTCTTGTCTTCTCTCTTCGTCTTTTAGCTAAGTCCGTTTTTGATTCGAAAAACAGGCGTTTTCGAAAACTTCACTGTCGCAGCCAGCCCCATTACGATCGTTCGCAAATTCTACTATCGGTCGCTGATGGGTTGTGATAGATCGTGGGGCACCTTTTTGGCTTCTGTTCATCGTTCGCAAACTTTGCGATCGATCGCACTACCCATCGTTCGTAGGTTTTGCGATCGATTGCACCATCTACGATCGATCGCATCTGTGTTTATTTTTATCATTTTTTTTCAAAACTTCGGAAATTCATAACTTATTCGTTTCAACTCCAAATCAAGTGATTTTTGAGTCTAAATTTATTAATTTTTTGTTGTCTATCCAATGGTATGCACGGCAGCATCCATTTCAGTTTGAAAAGACCATTTTACCCCTTATGGTTCACTTTGTCCGTTTTAAAAACCTAGCTTCCGCATTGTTTTCCTTTGAGTTCTGTGACTTCTAGAAAATCACTCTGGCGTCTTAGAGATGATATCATCTCTAGAGACCGCATCTCTTTCATTGCTTCCGCATTTGGGATTCGTTATCGGATCAGTTTCGAGTTAATCGCTGACGCAACGGGTTCTTCGAAATTCGGGCCGTCACAAGTGGTATCAGAGCTTAAAGTTCGAAAACCTTAGGACGACGGGTTTGGGTTCATTTCATACTTCTTGCTGACATGCTTTGATGTGTTCACATGTTTACATGCTTAAATGCTTAAGTGTTTAAAAGCGTTACTTAACTGTTTTAGCATGACTGTATGTTGCATACATCTTCGTGCTTCGTGATTTATGCATTCATTGAGTGAGTTGCATTCAGTCGTAATAACTTGTATTGTTATTGACCTTGTTCTTCGTGTATATAGCATCATGGTTGTCACACGTGGAGAGTCTTCACGTCAGGCTGTTGAGGAGCAGGTCGATGACACTGAGCTCACAAGGGGTCCGGGGAGGCCTAAAGCTCAACTTCGGGGTGTGGATGCTAATCCACCACGGGCACCTACGTATGAGGAGCAGATTCCAGCACTGGCACCGGCACCGGCACCAGTAGTTAATGAGCCGTTGGACTACTTCATGAAGCTACAGAGGGTTAAGATTGATCAGTTCGCAGGGAGTTCGGATCCGTTGATTTCAGAGGCATGGCTTGACCTCATGGTTCGTAAGTTGGACAGTATGGCAGTACCAACGGACAGGTTGAGGATCTCTTTGACCTCTTCCATGTTCATGGGTGACGCAGATAGTTGGTGGAGGTCTATCTCCAATGTTCATAATGTGGAGACGATGACTTGGGTTGAATTCAGAGAGCATTTCTTCGAGCGCTTCTTTCCGAGGGCTATGAGACAAGAGATGAGGATTCAGTTCGCAGGTCTTTATCAGGGCACTATGAGTGTCATTGAGTACGAGACACGATTCACTTCTCTTTCCCGCTATGCCGAGGAGATGGTAGCGACAGACGAGACCAGGGCCAAGAAGTTTCAGGATGGGCTTCATCTTGATATCAGGCCACGGGTTTCACTTCTTGATTTGAGGACCTACAGGGAGGTGGTTCAGAGGGCTATGTTAGTTGAGGCAGAGGATCGAGATCAATTGAGGATCAGAGGTTCACGTAAGCAGTTTCGTGGCGAGGCTTTATCTTCTTCAGGGAGTCCGTGGAAGAAGGCTAAGGCCGGGGACAGTACTCACACTCAGGGGCCGCCACAACAGGCTCGTTCTGCACCCACGGTTCCTGTATCTTCGGGGTCAGCCCGGGGAGTGATTTGTCATCATTGCCAGCAGCTGGGGCACATCAAGCCTCGCTGCCCACAGCTTCATCCATGGGCTAGTCAGCCTACGGCTTCTACGAAGGGAGGACAGGGAATTTGTCATTACTGCAAGCAGCCAGGGCACATTAAGAAAGAGTGTCCAAAGTTGCAGCGCAAGGCAGCCAGTGGCACAGGTTCACAGGCCCCACCGGCACAGTCCACAGTGGTTTAGTTAGGGTTTAGAGTTCCTCAGGCACCGCAGCCAGTTGCCTCAGTTGGCACTTATCTAGCCAGAGGCTCTACGCCTAACACTTCCACATATCAGTCAGGCCATCAGGACAGTTCACAGCAGAGTTCAGATGCTCACCATCCCTAGCTTGGCTTGGTTGCATTTGAATACCATTTTGTGTACATTTCACATGCAAGTGTTAGCATGTTTTTGGTTTATCTTTTATTGTTGTAAAGTATAACTTGTTTAGAAGCATGATATGCTTCCTTTTGGTGCTGTAATATAAACTCAAATGTCTTACTTTGACTTTACTTCAACATATATGTAATGAGGCCAAGGGCCAATCTCTTTTGATGAATAAAATGTGTGGTTAATTTTAGCTTGTTTTTACTTTTTCAACCGATTTAATCTCAGGGGCATTTTGGGCATTTTAGGTTGCATATTATTTTTGGTTCGGACCATAGTTGGTTAGAAAATTCATTTTTGGTGGGGGTTTCTTCACAAACATTTTCCAAAAAAGTCCGTTTTTGATTTGAAAAACAGGCGTTTTTGAAAACTTCACGGTCGCAGCCAACCCCATCACGATCGTTCGCAAATTTTGCGATCGGTCGCTGATGGTTGCGATCGATTGTGGGGCACCTTTTTGGCTTCTTTTCATCGTTCGCAAACTTTGCGATCGATCGCAAAGGTTACGATCGATCGCACAGGTTACGATAGATCGCATTGGGCACTTCACCTTTTTAAAATTCGAGATTTAGCTATTGTCCATCGTTCGTAGATTCTGTGATCGATCGCACCATCTACGATCAATCGTATTTGTGCTTATTTTTATCATTTTTTTTCAAAACTTCGGAAATTCATAACTTATTCGTTTCAACTCCAAATCAAGTGATTTTTGAGTCTAAATTTATTAATTTTTCGTTGTTTATCCAATGGTATGCACGACAGTATCCATTTCAGTTTGAAAAGATCATTTTACCCCTTGTGGTTCACTTTGTCCGTTTTAAAAACCTAGCTTCGGCATTGTTTTCCTTTGAATTCTAGGAGTGTCACTTTGGCGTCTTAGAGATGATATTCATCTTTAGATAGCGCATCTCTTTCATTGCTTCCGCATTTGAGATTCGTTATCGGATTAGTTTTCGGTTATTCTCTGATGCTCTGGGTTCTTAGAAATTTGGGCCGTCACAGCTTGAGGTAAAACATGATAATGAATTAGTAACTAGATTGGTTTGTGGTATGTCTTGCCATAGATTGACAATTGAAACCATCGTAGGTCATCCAGTGTTGAGGTTGGAGTGCAGTTCTCTTTTCAAGAAAGCGGATGGAGGGAAAGTGTGTGTTCAAGTACCAATATTTTAAACTTTAATAAAATAATATGTGATTCTATACTTTACATAAAGTCAGGGCATGTGATTTTCATTGTGCAAACAAAATGACTCTGGCAATGTGCATCTTATGGTGGTTGCATGGCTTTCCTTTCCTCCTAAATCTTTATGGGATAATTTTTTTTTTTTTTTTTTGTTTGGTGGGGCTTGGTTGTTAACACTACTTGGTTTAAGTAGTTGGAAATGACTCTGATAATTATCATCCCTTCTAACCTGTATTGGATGCTATATTTTTCTCAGCACCTGTCTCTTCCTTTAACAACTTCCCATCACAATAAGGGTGGGATAGGGCATTGCTTTTGGGTTGGATTATGATCCTCATCTCCATCATCTGTGTAGAGGTATATTTGTTAAGAGAAGCTGCCCTATTTTTGCAGAAGCAGAGGGTACCTGGAGATTGCAAGTTTTAGCATCCATAGGCACTAAATTAAAGTCTCCAGAAGTCATAATTGTGATTAAGAGTTTTGATATTTGTCCACTTGAGGTCGGGTCGGTCATATGGATGTCAGTGGAGGTGGGGGTTAGTATCAGGATGTTTTTATCAGTGACGGTGATGATCTATGCAGCAATGGAAATTAGAGGTTTTGCAGTAGACTGAAATATTGCTGGACGGTAGAATTGCAATACCCCAAGCTATGTTAGTTTTGGATATGAAAAAGTATATTTATTATTGGAGGGTAAAATTGTGAAACCCCAAGATCCATTATTGTCCATAAGCTGACGGGTCATGATGGACTATATAGGAGTGCAAGTGAAAGTGTAATTACAGAAACCATTATGGTGGTTCCTCTAATGGTCACATACCAAAACTAAGTGTGCATGCTTCTCAATATGTGAATGTGATGCTCCAAAAATTGCTAATAAAATTTAGCAAATTCATAAATGAAGCATGTCCAAGTTGATGTCACCTCATAATCTACTGACCCAATCTTTCTTCAACTATGACTGTTGAGATCTCCTTTCTAACCTTGCAGATTGCGAAACCATTTCTCCAAATTAGAGCCCTGATGTCAGCATCATATGATTGGGCAATATTGAGAAGCACTAACCTTTGGAACAGTTGGGGAAAAAATTGAATGCAGAATAGTGTTTGTTTCTGTTTTATGAAACTAAGTTTTCATGCTTGTGCTTGGTCAAGATGATTTTTTTTTAAAAAGAATTGAAGGAAATTTCTAATGCTATCCAAACCCTAAAGAGTGATTTTGTTCTTTTCCTGTAGTTGAACTTCCCTCTAAACAGACAAAGCTTAAGGTTGGTTCCAGTTTGTTCTTTTCAAAACCAGTCTGACATTGTTTCAAGTACTAATGATTATTAGTTTGATACTGTGCAATCTTGTTGGATTAATTGAAAACATGAAACTTTTGGCTGCAGTGTCAATTTTGCAAACTTCTTTGAATTCTTTTGGTGCACAAGCACAAAATCAACTTCTCTTCATGCCACACACACAACATAAATGAAAAAGTTGCTCCCACATTTGTGTTTACAATTTCTCATTAGAGTAGTTGGTGGTTCTGCTTCATTTGAAGAGTATATATTTTGCTTAATTCGGACATTGTTTTCAAAAATACAGGTTACCAGTTGCTGTGGTGCCTTCGGATCAAGCTACTTCTTGTTCAGTTGCTTTGGTGCCTCGGGACAAACCTGCTTCTTGTTCAGTTGCTTTGGTGCCTCGGGATCAACCTACTTCTTGTTCAATTGCTGTGGTGCCTCCGGATCAAGCTCCTCCATGTTCAGTCGCCCAATGAGCGGTTCAGGTGTCTGTATTTCCTTATTAGGTGAAACATCATTGTGCTTGTTAGATGGTTGTATTATGATGTTTCTAGTTAGAAGTGGATTAGACCTTCTGTTGGTTGTACTTTGAACTCTCTTTTGAAGATATATGATCTTCAGCAGACCTTATTCACAAACAGTGTGTTTGTGTGTGTGTGTTTTTGGGTTGTTGCTGTTTATGTAGTACAGCACAGTGGCAATAGAGTTCTATGTTTGCCCCTTGGTTTATGCTGCAAAGTGCTACCTATAGTTTCCGAGGAGAGAAAATGGAAGGATTGATTTGTCGGAAAACAGGTGGTTTTTATTAGCAGAGTTTCAAAAAACAGTTTATGGTAGTTTATAGTTTATACTGTTCTTTGATTTTGGTAAAATCTGACCCAAGTAGGCCAAAGATTCTGATTATATGTTTTCAGCTTCTAATATTTGTTTTGTGACTTTGTCTACGAAACAACCACAAATTTACTCTTATTATATTAGGTTAAAGTACTGACCTCCCTTGACAGTTGTCAAAATTACAAGCAGTTCCCTTATGTTTTTGAAAATTACCCTGCACTCGACAAAAAATGTTTTTTTTAAATTCTAGCAGTTTAGAAAGAATTACTTATTACTATTATTATAATTATATATTTACGGTGTCTAGAAATTCACATCTACCAAGAATTGCATGCGTTATCATAAATTGAAATGTTAGGAAATCGATATACACGTGTCCTCTTTTTTGTTAGATCAATGGTTGTGGTGCCGAAATAATTTTTATGAATAATCAGATACACGCTTATTTTTATATTTTGAAATGTGAGGAAGTACTATTGAACAGTAAAAAATTACTGATAAAAATTACTTATTGTATCACTTGACACATGATTGAGATAACAAAAGCAAAAACCAATATGTTGAAAAGGAAGGTTTTTTTATTTTATTATTCAAATAAAAATTTGAAGTTACTAAAAGTAAAATAAAGACAAAATTTTCTAGGGCCCTCCTTTTTCGGTTTTTCCAGAGATTATTAGGTCATCACCGACACAAAATAAAAGTATCCTAGTTTTTAATAGTTATTTCTTTTACTTTTAGATGTAATTATATAAAAACTGCCCTAACCAACATGAAGCAATGAAGTTATATGATTACAAACAACTATCCACACATAAAAAGATAAGATATATATATATATATATATATATATATGGAATTGATGATGATAACAAAGGTAAGAAACTTCTCTTATAAAAAGGAGGTCATTGGTGGAAAACGCTTGAAGTCCAAGGAAGGAATTAAAACACATTTTTTTTTTCTTTCCTTTTTTAGTTTATGTTTCAATGAAATAGTTTAATGCATGCAAAGCTTACAATCTGAGATCTAAAATGTGGCTAATGTGCAACAAGAAGGACCCACTTTCTCTACTTTTCACCAACTATATATATATATATACACACACATACATATAAAAACATACCTATATACAGGTTGCATATTCAATCATATTGCAAGCTTGGATGTTTAATTAATTCATGATTTTAACATGCTAAATGAGGGTCTTTATATAAATATATATACACACAAACTTTGTAAGATGGTCTTTATTTATATATATTTATATATATATATATATGCAAACACTGAAACACACACACTTTGTAAGATATTCTTGAATTTAAATAAGACGTGATGCAAAAGACAAAGAAGGAAACCAACAAAAACAAACTAAATAAAGAAAAAAGTGGGTGATCCACATGGGCTTTGAAGCAACTTGATAGAAAACAAAAATTATCAAAATAAAAAAAAATAAATAAACTTTATAGAGTTAATAGAGGTTATATTATGACAGTTTTAATCTATAAAACAACTCGATTTAATTTACTAAAGTTGTATCCAAATTATTAGGAGCCGATTGTTGTCATTCTATGTTACTTTATTAAATCAGACACTCATATCATCTGTGACCAAATTATATATATATATTTATTAATGCGTTACATATATTCACTGTAGATCTCGTGGTTGAGATTTGGTCACTATTCAAAGCCACCGACGAATCCACTGCATGCCCCGGTGCACCTGCCCCTGTTTTTTATTTATTTATTTATTTATTTATTTATATATATAATACGGTGTGTGTGAAATTTTATAAAATACCCCTTCAATTTGTAAAATTATTAATCAGGCTCCCACCTTTTTATTTTTTTGCCAGCATCCGTACTGGCACTCCTCTCTCATCTTTAAAGATGAAAGGTTATATCATTAGGGCTATATTGACTTTGTAAGTATGATTACTGAAGTCTAAACCCGTGGTAGTCTTAACGATAAAAATTTGGAATTATTACGTATAAATGGTACTGATGGCTCATATTAACTATTTCATGGAGTCAAACTTTCACAGTTTCGAAAAAATAAAGACATAAAAAAATACTATTTACCCTCATTGAGGTACCACTTTTAGGCAAATAGGTAACATTTTTTCTACATGCAGGTACCATTTTTTGTCATTAGGTATCACTTTTTGGGTTGCACAAAAAAATAGAATCTGATACACAAAAATTGATACCTATGTGCACAAAAGTGGTATCTCTATACCCAAAACAAAAGTGGTACCTGATGCACAAAAAGTGATACCTCCATGCACAAAAAAGTGGTTCCTCGATAAAGGTAAACAGTGTTTTTTCATATTCACGTCAATATTTTGGTCAATTTCATTTTTTCAAAATTATGAGACTTTGATTTTATTAAATAATAAATATGAGTCGTTAATACTATTTATTTGTAATAATCCGTGACAACACTTTTACCTCATAATTTGGATGTCCAGATTTTTTTTTAAGTAGTTACTGGGTGCAGATGGTAAATTATGAAGTTATGATTATTTCTGTAAAAATAATTTCCCACAAAGTTTGGTTCATAGGCAAAGTCAATTTATGCTAACTTCCGGAAAAAACAGAAAGAAAAAAGTCAATATATGCTCAAATTTGGCGGGACAGAGATAAAATTACTACTTTGCAGTAATTTTTATGAATGTTTATTCAAAATTGAGTCATTATTGAAAAGAAGATTTCTATTAAACACTATATTTATGGGTGTTTATTCCAATTGATGGAAAATTTAAGTTATTATTCACTATATTTTTTTCCTGTCTTCTCTCTTTGTCTTTTAGCTAAGGAATCAAGTTTGTGCAAGATGTATGGTATTAAATAAAAGTCACTACGTTATTTGAAAAAAAAAAAAAAAAAAAAAACTACCATGTGCAAAGCACGTTATACTCATCCTATGAAATTATTAATTTACCCTTTTATTGATTAAAATCATTTGAATTAATAAAGCAAATTGTAACAAACTTCCTCGACTGTTATATTTAATTAGTAATAGTTTTAGCAAAAAAAAGGTTCTCTTGATCATTATTGAAACCTTACAAATTACTCCCTTTGTTGGTTGAGTGTTAAAATAAAAGAACGGAAGTATATTATTTTTATTTCATGAAATTGCATATATATATATATATATATATTTCAGAATTAAAAATTATTGTAATACAGTTATATCATGTTACAAAATGATTTATTTATTTAATTTACATAAAATAACATGATTAATTTTTTCATTTCACAATTTTCAAAATATAGATGAGCTTTAAAATCATCCAAATCCAATACCATGTTGATCGTAATCCAAATTGTTTACTCAAAAATATAAAAACTAAAAATTCATTGGTAAAATTTAGTATTCAAATAATTAACAGATTAAGAAAAAAAAAAAATTAACAGGGGTATAACCGTAAATTGGTAATCCCCACTCGGATTAGGAGGTTTCACCAACCAAAAACCCCAACTGTCGAGTCGAGTTAAAGGTACCCGTTGAAAAGCTCCCTCTGACTCTCTCTCTAACTTTCTCTCTCTAAATCCTCTAACTTTCTCTCTCTTAACTGTTGCTTAACGCCACGGCAGACTCCCTGCGTTTCATTTCCACCTTACGTTTCTCCCTCTCACTAGCTTTCTCTCTCTAAAACTCCCCACCTCTTTGGTTTTAAGTACAGTGCCCCACCCCAGATACTTTCTCTCTCTACACTCCTCAATCTGCAATTCCAAACCAACGATGGACTCCACAGAGACCCAATTCACTACCGGCACAGACATCGATAATACGGACACTCCCCGAGCTTCGTCCACCGTCCATCAAGCCCTCCAGCTCATCCAATCCGACGACTCGGATTCGAAAATCCAGGCGGCGAGAGAGATCAGACGGCTCACCAAGACCTCCCACCGGTGTCGCCGTCAGTTCTCCGCCGCCGTCAAGCCACTCGTCGACATGCTCCGTTCCGACTCCGTCGACTCCAACGAGGCGGCCCTTCTCGCCCTCCTCAACCTCGCCGTCAAAGACGAAACGTAAGTCGAATATATATATATAGAGACACACACACATACTTATTAAATTTCTCAAAATTCAAGTCGATGGACTGTAATTAGTTCAATTCTTGATTGTTTGTTGATTATTGTGCCTTGAATCATATTTTTCTATGTGGGTATATGTTTTAATTTTCTCAGAATTGAAGTGGTTGGACTATAATTAGTTCAATTCTTGATTGTTTGTTGATTATTGTGCTTTTAATTCAGATGTTTCTCTGTTCGCTTTCACTTTTTGTTTTTTATTTTATTTTTTTTATGTTCGTTCCTACTTTTTCCTCGGATTCAGCAATTTGGGGGAAAGAGAATTGTGTTCTGTTGTCTCTTCTTTTTGTTTAATTGCTCATAAAAGTAAAGAAGAAAAAGAATATTGTTATTATTATTATTTTTTAAAATTTAGTTTAGGTTTCAATATAGTGGGAGTTTTAGGAGGAAAAGAAAGATTACATATTTTTTTTTGTTTAAATTTCATTATAATAAGAGGTTTACTTAACTAATCCAAATAATTGCATTAAGATGATCTGAGTGTGGTTTTATTCTTGGGCCCCAAAGTGTAAAATATATATGAAACTTTCTCTGCAGCCAAACAAGCATAATTTTGTTTAAAATTTGGATGAATATTGGAATTTTCAAAGAAATTAGTGGAGTTTAGGGACATCAGAAAGGAAAATGTTGATTCTGTTACTGTTAAAATGGATTTTAGTTTATATGCTCGGGTCAACCTTCTATTCTAAAAATATAATCTGTATGTTTATCCGAATGTTCTGTTATGGTTGGAGACATCTTTAAAGAAAATGCTTTCCAAAGCTTGGCATCAATTCCTTTATGGTTGGGGTTGGTTAGCTTTGTTCTTTGCTCACATGTTACTCTTTCCTTTTCTTTCATTGGGTTCCTTTCTTTTTATCTACTCTTTGAAGCTATCACATCTAAAGAAAGATTTTATTATTATTATTATTTTTTTTTTTTTTAAAAAAGCATATTTGATAGAAAATTTGAAAAGTAAGGAAGATAATTAATGTGTTTCTAAAATTACTGTCATCATTATTCAGTGTCTTAATCTAAATATAGTACTTTGGATTTCTAGGAGTAAGCAAGAAGAGTTTATACTATTGATTTGAAAATCTAATTCTGCTATTTGTGTCAATGTGGATGAGCAAACAAGCTTGACACTTAGACTTAGTCTGGCCTATAATGGTGGCCATTGGGGAGAAAGAAAGCAGTCTGTAGACATGAGGCTGGTGGAGTAATTTGTTTCTGTAGATTTTAGTAGAGGACTAATTCTCCCACTTGTGGGTTTCGCTATTTCATTTTGTCAATTCCGTCATCCATCTCGTAGGGGATTACTGTATGGATGACTGGCTTTTGTCAATTATGGTCAGATTTACAGAGTATACTGAGAGAGAAAACAGTCACTCATCCCAATTATCTTCGCATATGACGCAGATTTTTTTATTTTTTTATTTTATTTTATTTTATTTTATTTTATTATAGCTAGTTTTTAAATATGCAGTTCCGTGCATAAATTTAAGAATCCGGCGCTCAATGGAATGTCTTAAAAGAGTCGGGCTATGTGTTGGTTCTTTGTATAAATTTTTTCCATTTATTGGTTAAAAAATATATCTGGATTTGATTGTATTTTCATTTGAAGCCCCATTCAGTGTATGGTCTGATTGGAGCTACAAGAAGGCACACCTTCAAGGAAGGGAGAGAACTGTATATCGCTTATTTTTTAAAATAACCTAGAAAGTTCTTTATTTTGGTACTTTGGCTATGAGTTGTCATAATTTCTTATATTTTAAGTCTATCATTGAGTCCCTTGCATGCTAATTTCGCAGGATATGTATATTGGCAGTTGCGAGGAAATGGCTAAATTACTAATTTTCTGATAAGAGGATATATAATTTCTGATAGAGTTGAATGGCAGTTATGGTTGATAGAATTGACCGGAATAGCTATGTTAGCTCCCCGTTGGTTCTATTTTCTGTCTCTTTCCTCATTTTTTGAAAAAAAATTGTCAAGCGCTTTAGAATTGAAAACTGAACCTTTCATTTTCATCTGTTTAGAAGCAGATTTTTGAACAATACTTTTCCTTCCGTATGTGGTTGAAAATTTGAATAATGAAACTTGCTCACAATCTGTCTTGATTTTCATTTGATAATATGCAGGAATAAGATTAGTATTGTTGATGCTGGTGCCTTAGAACCAATCATCAGTTTTCTTCACTCGGAGAGTCCAACACTGCAAGAGCACGCCACTGCAGCCGTACTCACACTATCTGCTTCTTCAATTAACAAGCCAATCATAAGTGCTTCAGGCGCAATCCCTCTACTTGTTGAAGTCTTAAGGCATGGGAGCCCACAAGCCAAGGCCGACGCCATAAAGGCTCTTTACAACCTCTCCACGCTCCAAGACAACCTTAGCTTAATTCTTGAAGCGGAGTCTATTCCTTGTATAGTTAACTTGCTTAAAACCTGTAAAAAATCTTCAAATACAGCTGAAAAAAGTAGCGCTCTTTTAGAATCTTTAGTGGGTTTTGAGAAGGGTAGAACTGCACTGACATCTGAAGAAGGTGGAGTGCTTGCAGTAGTCGAAGTGCTTGAAAGTGGGTCTCTTCAAAGCCGAGAGCATGCAGTTGGGACCCTTCTGACAATGTGTCAGAGTGACCGATGTAAATACAGGGAACCAATTCTTAGGGAAGGTGTAATACCTGGTCTTCTGGAGCTCACCGTTCAAGGATCACCCAAGTCTCAGTCGAAAGCACAAACGCTGTTGCGGTTACTAAGAGAATCTCCTTACCCAAGATCTGAGTTTCAGCCCGACACGTTAGAGAACATAGTGTGCAACATTATATCTCAGATTGATGGCGAGGAGCAATCTGGGAAAGCAAAGCAGATGCTAGCTGATATGGTACAGGTTAGCATGGAACAGAGCCTGAGACATTTACAACAAAGAGCTCTGGTATGCACCCCAACCGATCTGCCTATTTCTAGTTGTGCTTCTGAAGTTCCTTCAAAATGATTGTTTCGGTGTTTCAGTTTTTGTTTCTCTTTTTCCCTTTTCTTCCCGTTTACGTATGGCTTTGTGATATCAAATTTCCAGAGTAGGAAAAAATAAGATATTAGTGAAGGATGCCAGTCCAGGCCTTTGTCGTGGTACCGAGTGACTGGTAAGTGTCAATAATCTTGAAATTGTACGTGTTTGAAAGCGTAGTTCTTTAGTTGGTTTTTGTAAAGTAACTGGTGTATTAAAAGTTCTATAATCAGTAAAGATTTTATTTCTCCTTTTTTTCTCCCATAGTTTCCATGTGATATTGTTGAGTTTATATATATCAGCTATGTTGCTATCTCCATTTTTGTATTTTTGGGGAAAATATGATCCTAAGACATAGGAAAAGTTGAACAGATACATTTGAAATGAATAGTCTCTTTGCAAGGTATGACTAAAATGATACTGGATACTTTGTGTGACATCCCTTGTCGAATTAGGGGAAAAATTTGGGGAAATGCCTCCTAACTCTGTCGATGTGTTTTGAAAAACGTACAAAACTGACAATATCTACGTACGTGGGGAAGAAGTTACTAGAATTTATTCAAAGCTGACAATATCTACAAGCTGCTGTTCCGACATTTTGGGTGCTTAGTATTACATTCTTTATATGATCATAATGGGAAAAGTTGAACAAATACATCTGAAATGAATGGTTGTCTTGCAAGACATGAGTGAAAAGTTTTGGTGGCCTTGGAGGATTTTGATGGGGGCAGCCTAGATATTTTGTCTGCAAACTGAAACCAATCTCCTCCTCCTATGCAGACTATTCTCAGCCATCAAAATATTTGACGTGAATGGAATAATTTATTGTTTTTAGGTTGTTGTGTATGGACTATGTGGTTACCCATATGGTGTTTTTTGAATTGTTCTTTGCTTCCGTGGCAGTTTCTGTTAATTCATGGAATGTTATTTTGGTATGATTATTCCTCAACAGACAATAAGGTTGGTAACCTAACTAACCTCAGTCAAAATTAGTGATTATTTGGCAATCTTAGAAAATTGTGCTAAATTTATAGTTGAATTTTTTTTTTTTTAAATTTAAATAAATTATTTCTGATTTTAATTTAAAGATGCCGATTCAATACTCTATGGGTTTAATTTGGCCACATCAGCAAATTTTCCCTGAAAATTGATGAGTCAAGAAAGTTCAGCTCACATTGGACCACAAAAGCACGAGGCAGTTCCATTCCAAGTCATAATCTGAATGAAGACGACGACCAAAGAAAAGAAAAGAGATGTTAGGCCTAAGTGCCTAACTATCAAAAAATTAGTAGATAGTCCATTTTTATGTTCTGTTTTTTTTTATTTTTTTTAATTTAGGCTATAATGGATTCACTATTTTTAGCGCTAGAGTTTGGAAAATTTTGAATGGACCATAATAGTCTCCTTTTAAAACAAGTGAGCCACTTCACCAGACAAGACAGAGACTGACCCCAATATGGTGGACCCCATAGCTCATCTCCTTGGTGAGTTGTGTGTCGTTTATGCATTTTTCCTTTACAAAAAGTTGTACTGATATATTAAGATTACAAATGAAAAGAAAAAAAAAAATTTGTTTACCCTTCCTTTTTATTTATTTATTTTTTCCACTTTTAAAAGGAAAAAAAAGTTTGGCGAACTAGGAGGAGTATCACGAGAAGGGCTTCTCTCTCTTTTACTTTTGAATTCTCTTTTTCTTTTGAATTTTTGTGGATTGGGCTCTTAACGAAGGATATTTTTTTTCCTTATCTTTTTGGTGAAATACACGCACACCCACCTTTATCCTTACGAGAACTTGAATCTTTTAACCTTTTATTTTAAAAGACGAAAAAAAAAAAAAAAAAAAAAACCGCACTAAATTGTTAATCAAAGCTCTTGATAGGAAAGGCATTTCATTCCTCCTTTTCTTCCTCACTCTTAGCCTAAGTGCCCGTTAGGCCCATTTTTATGCAAATTGGGCTGCTAATCAAGTAGCCCAATTGCTTTTTTTCAGCAATGCCTTTGCCTAGAGCCCAAGGCAAATCATTAAGGACTGCCACCTATGCCACCGCGTGTTCTTCTACCAATGTCACTCCGCCATGTGGATGCATATTTTCGGGTTAAACATGTCTACCCTTTCTTGAGAAATTATTACGTAATCCTCAGCCAATTCCCATGTAAGGCATCAACAAATTCGTTAGTGATGTGTAAGTTTTATTCAACTTTTTGCTAATGTGTTACATGACGATTAGTCTCACCACTACTTATGAGATGTGAGAAACGCTGTTTTTTAGAATGAAAAAAATGTTTTTGTCTATCCAAAAATTATAGTATATAATTTTAAATGAAACGTCACTTATTTATTTTTTAATTACCAATTTACCATTTGAAAGCTCAGTACTTAAAATTCAGTCCATAAAGTCTTCACTATATGGTTGTTGATCAAGTAATTTAATTTGGATTGTTAAATTTTTTCTTTACTTTTTCTTTTTAGAAGTGTTATTATTATTATTATTATTATTTTTTAGTTTTTATATTTATTTAGTTACTTTGGATTGTAATTTTTTCCTTCAGTTTTTATTATTTTTTTTATTTTTGGTTCATTCTTAATTTATTAGTTTGAGTCAGCGTTTCAATGTTTTTTATGTTTGGGTTGGACTTGATTTTGAATTGAATTTGTTGCTGAAAGTTTTTTGATATGTTAAATTTCTTCTAGTTTTTATTTTTATTTTTGGTTCATTCTTATTTTATTAGTTTGAGTCAGGGTTTTAATGTTTTTTGTTTTAGGGTTGGACTTGATTTTGAATTGAATTTGTTGCTCAAAATTTTTGATATGTTATTTTTTTTTTAGTTTCTATTTTTGATTCAATCTTAATTTTTATTGTTTTGAGTTATACGTCGGGTTTCAATGCTTTTGGTGTTTGGGTTATACTTAATTTTGAATTGAACTTGTTTTATATGTAAAAGTTTTGATATTTTCTTTAAATTTATTTATTTATTTTCAAAAGCATCATGATATTTTCTTTTAATATATAGTTTTATTACTTAATTAAATTGGTGTATTATAATCATCTAAATCAAGAGAAATAGTAGTTTCAAATTTTGGATTTACAATTTGGGTTGCTAAGTTGTTAGTATGTAAAAATTTTGATTTTTTTTTTCATTTTTTAACTTTAATTTTTGGTGCATTCTAAATTTATTATATTGAGTCATATAATGGGTTTCAATATTGGGCCTTACAATTTGGGTAGCTAAGTTCTTGGTATGTAAATTTTTTTGAAAGTTTGAAATTTTTTAGTTCCATTTGATTTGTAACTATAAAAATAATTTTTTGTTCTCAGAAAATTTAAAATAGAAAACAGTACAAAAATTTCTGTTTGGTTTTAATTTCAGAAAAGTGTTTTCTAAAAACTCAGTTATAAAAATGTCTATTTTCAGATAATTATAAAATATTGTTCTTTGAGAGCTGTTTTATGTCCTCCGAATTCTTAAAAATTGTTTTCAAAATTACAAACCAAGTAATCCCTTTATTTTTGGTGCATTCTTAATTTATTATTTTGAGTTATATAACGGATTTCAATAATTTTGGTTTTTAGGATGGACTTGATTTTGAATTGAATTTGTGGGTGAAAGTAAGCATGACTTTAGGGCTCAAGCGCAAACAATCGCCTCATCTTTTTCTCCATTTGTGTGTGAATAGAGAGGGATCTGTGTCCTAAGTCAGAGGGGCGGGTGAAAATCCTTCTTCTGTTTAGAGCCTACAAAAGGACCAAAAGCAACCATAGGAAGGATTGAGTCTTGATTTTGATATTATTTTAGGAGTTTAAAAATTCACTTATCAAAAAGTTTAATTAATTTTTTTTATTTTTTTACCTTGTGTCAATTTTATGTTAATTGATCATTTTAGAGTTTTACAAATTATATTTTATAGAATAGTTTTCTAATTTATTATTGTAAATTATTTTCATTATTTAATTTTGTAATCCGTTTATCTTAAATAATATATTAAGATTTATCTTATTATTTTAAGAAATCTATTTTAATTACCATTTGTAAAAATAATTATTTATTTACTTTGTTGAATATTAATTTAAAATTAGATTTTAGGTGCACACATACCTCTCACATTAATTCTTCTCAAAAATAAATAATCCATTTCTTATTTCGTTTAAAATTACTATTCATAAATGATTAAATTAATTAAATCTTTCTTAATTAAATGATTAGTAAGGAGGGCTCATAACTCTTTGGTACAGAATATGTAACGCCCAAATCTCGTATATTAACTCTTGCTCTCTTTCTAATATTACCTCACAAGTCCAAAGCAATAATATAGCTTTCTATTCAATTTTTTTTTTTTTTTTTTTTTTTTTTGGCCAAGTAATTTTCTTTTTAGACTTTGAATCCATTTCTTTCCGAGCACTTTCTAACAACAATATTTTAAAAAAAAAAAAAAAATTTGAAATATATCAAAGACCCAACACAATTAGACAAATTTAGAAAATGATAGAAGCTGTGAAGTGGACCAGCTAAAATGACTGTCAATATTATTTGGATCCACTTAGATGAAACTAGTTGAATGCTATGTTAAGTAGTACTAGTATAATTCTAAAAATAAACAAATAAATTTTTTTTTGTTTTAGAAATTCAAGATAATACCATAATAAGAATTATTCAAATGAGTAATGGAGACGTGTATCAACACAATTACTTGGACAAAGTCAGAAACTATCAAAACTTGGTCATAATACTATGTTTCACACGTGGATGAAAAATCCAAGTATAGTAAATTCATAAAAATAGAAAAATTAGTTACTATAAAATCATTACTGATAGGGATAAGAAAATGCGAAGAATAATCTTCCAAGAGATAAAAGGAGAAACAACTCGTCAAACTCTGTTCTGATACATCCAAGGTTTATTATCCAAAAAAGGATTCCATTTAAGGGTTGTGTTCTCTATATTACCCTATTTATATCTACAAAACCACGAAATCTATATAATTCACAAAGGCTAGAGAGTGTGTAAGAGAGCAAAATTTCCAAACCAAACAAGCCTTTAGTCTTTCCTTTGCAACAATGGCGTCTAATGGAATCACAGAAGAAACTGCCTCGAGAATGGAAGAAGGTGCCACCACTTCCACCGCAAAAAAAACCCTAAAGGAGGACTTTGGTTTGTGCACATCAGCTGCATTTGTGACCACCACCCAAAAGGTCAGTCATTCAAATAAAAATGTTATATATATATATATGCATGAATGGTTTTTTGTTCTTAAATGTGTTTGTGTTTTCTCTATACAGTTGATTGCAGAGGTGATCGGAACATACTTTATAATCTTCGCCGGCTGCGGCTCGGTCGCCGTTAATAAGTTGTATGATGGTGTGGTCACATTTCCAGGGATTTGTGTGACATGGGGTCTCATTGTCATGGTCATGATTTACTCTGTGGGTCATATATCTGGGGCCCATTTCAATCCGGCGGTCACCATCACTTTCGCTGTCTTTCGGAGATTTCCATGGGTGGAAGTGAGCATTCTGGTTTTATTATTGTTGTTTGGTTTTCCTCCTCAATTGTTAGAAAAACTTTCAAAAGAACAAATAAATAAATAATTTGATCCACCATATTAAACAATATATTTATATGGAGTAACTTGTGTAGCATATGATAAAAAGATCTTGAAAAAGCCCTTTGGAAATGTAATTTGCATTTGAAATACACATTCCTTCTTTTTTTTCTTTTCATTTATTATTATTATCAAATGATAGGTAATGGAATTCAAAATTTCAAAATTTCAAAATCATTACCCTTGAAGCATGATATTTTTTTGAAATATTTTTTCTGGTGAAGATTATTCCAAACATATCACCTTCTTTATTTTGTTCACAAAAGTTTTTAGAATCAGATGAAGAATTGCGATACAATATTTCACTCGTTTACGTGAGTTGAAGATGACATCATTCCCACTCACATAAAATAGTCTCCTAGTCTAAGAGTCAGACTCTTTATCATTTACCTTAAATGAATATAATTCATGTACTGTTATACAAATTTGTTACACTCCATTTATATATATATATATATATATATCATGTTTTGTAGGTGCCCCTATACATAGCAGCCCAGGTAATGGGATCAATTCTTGGCAGTGGCACCTTATGTCTAATGTTTGATATAACTCCTCAAGCATACTTTGGAACTCTACCAGCTGGATCTGATATGCAATCTTTCACAATTGAAATCCTCACCTCTTTCCTCCTTATGTTTGTCATCTCTGGTGTTGCCACAGATAATAGAGCGGTATGTTAATTAATTTAGCATAAATTTATATTTTCCATGTCATTAATTTTCAATTTTACTTAAGTAAATTATATCTAGTTTTTCTCGAGAGCATGCCATTGGTTGCTTCAGTGCCCAAGTTTCCAAACCTACATGCAATACATATCGAGTCTGATTGAATGATCAAATTAGACTCGAGAGTGAACACGACAATGATTCAATTAATTATAGGCATAATGTGTGTTCAGGTTCAGGTTTTAGAATGAACAGAATATTCATTTAGCATAGAGCAAATGTTCTTTCTTTTTTATTTTTTGAAAATTTTTCATGTATAAAAGCTACTTTTTGCTCATTTATTTATTTATACTCTTTTGTAACAAAAACTTTTTTGTAATAATGTTTATTTGCAGATAGGAGAGCTGGCTGGTATTGCCGTTGGAATGACTATTGTAATAGATGTCTTTGTTGCTGGGTATGTTTCTCCTCTAACATAATGCCTTCTACAGTGCTCTAGAAAATTATCTATCTCAAACAGTAGGTTCATTTCTGTAATTTTACATTATAGAAAACTAAGCATCCCTCAATGGAATAACATAATATTTATTACTATTTGAAACCATTAAAATAATATTGAAAATTGTTTTGAGTAGGATTTGGCTTGAGTTTTTCGAAAGAGATTTGGTATTGTCCTTAATAATGCTTGAACACTAGCTTATTTTTTAAAACTCGAGCGCACTTTTTAAGCTAGAATGAGTCTTAATGTGTCAGAGTTACTTGTTTGTCTATTCTTTTTTTCAATGTTTAAACAAACATACACATCCACATCCATGATATTGTCCCTATATGCTACAGAGTAAGATTTAATGTGTCCGAGTCACTTCTTCGGCTAATTTTTAATTTTGAAAGTTCAAGCAAAAACATACACACATTAAGGCTGAATGCTCAACCTCCCTTTTAACGAGATTAAATCATACTAATGTCTATTAGTTCCTTGTTTGGCTACTCTCGAAACTCAAAATTAAATAACTTTTTTTTCACAATTGTAATGCAGGCCCATTTCTGGAGCATCTATGAATCCAGCAAGGAGTATTGGGCCAGCTATTGTTAGACATACTTACAAGGGACTGTGGATCTATATACTTGGCCCACTTGTAGGAGTCATGCTTGGAGGATTCGCTTATAACTTGATTAGATTTACAGACAAACCACTTCGGGAGATAACAAAGAGTGGCTCATTCCTCAGAAGCATCTCCAAAAATTGATTTATTCTATTTCTATTTCTCATTTGGTTTCTCTTATATGAGAGTCATTGCAATTTTTTTTTTTTCATTGTATTTTATTAGTTCTCATTTGATTCCTCTTATGAGAGAGAGAATGTATTTTTCTCAATGATGTTGGTATATATTTGAAAGTTTTATTTTGTTGTGATATTTGTTCATGTGTATTAATAAATATGCAATTTCTTGTCTAATGACTGATATGTGTGATTTGTGGTTTGCAAATTATTGGAGAGTTCAAAAATGACTAGTTGGTGGATTGATTCTTCTATGTCAAAATAAAGAAATATATATAAAGGTCACTCAATCTAAAATCCAAAATGTTAAGAAATATGCAATTGAATAGATCAAAAACCAACAAGAAATTCGATTAATGTGTTGAAAAAAAGTCACTTGATTAAAATATGTGTACATTTAATATATTTAATCAATATACTTGGCTTTTTTTTTTTGGGATAACCCGTGGTATCTAAGATTTTGCCCCGACTAATCCCCAAGGTCCCATGAAGGGCGCCTCTCCACCCCAGGCCAGGTAAGTCGTTGAGTATATCAGCGGAGGCGTGGCCCTAAGTTGTCATAAGCCCTTGGCACTAGTAAGCACCCAAGCCCAGATGATTTTACCACTAGACCAATCTTCTTTTAGGGTTCGGATACGATGAAAGTTGGATTGGTATTCTCTAACTCACTAAGCTATCAAGACATTTATATATGCAACTCCATTAAAAATATTAAAAAGTATTATCAATTGATTAAATTATATACATATATTTTTAGTTTAGAAACAATAAGAATCGACCTTTGGTGATGTGACTTAAAATTAATAAGCAGAATGACGATTATGAGAGACTATTCTTAGCAAAAATCTAGTTTAGATGTCCACGTGTATTGGAGAGGATAGTTTGAATACTCTTGGAAGGATAGCATAGACGTCGACTGTTTGGCAGGAAGGAAATAAAGTTGGAGCCCATTTTGTTTCTTTCCGAAATGGAATGGAGAGGAGAGAAAAAATATATATATATTTGTTTGAAAAAATTGTTGTTAACTTGTTAATTTAGATATTTAAAGGTAAAGAGTTAGAGGTTAAATTAGTAAAAATAGAGAGTCGAAGTTTAGTACTCTAAAACTCACCGAAAGTACTAACTACTAAACTATTAAGGCATCTACAAGGTATAGTGTTAAAATATTATTATTCATATTTTCTTCCCTTGAAGAAAAGGAATATAGAAACCTTTTAAGGTTGTGTCTCTTCTAACCTTTCAGGAAAAAAAAAAAAAATGGGTTGTTTCTTCTATTTACCCTTTTCACTTCCATCCTAATAGAAGAAAGGAAGATAGGAAGAGGGAATAGAAAATAGAAAATGGAACTAATCTATATCATATTCTATAATAAATTTAGGCAAAAGTATAAAAAACACTCTGAAATTTTACTGAGTGAGTATAATACTTTTGTGATATAAAAGTGAGCAAGTTAGCCCTTTGTAATTTCAAAAGTGAGCAACTTGGCCCTTACATTTCACCTCTGACCATTTTTCACCCGATATCATTGTGTATTTACCATACTACCCCCTATAACTAACTTTTTTTAATAAAGAAAAAAATAATAAAATGCAAAATATCTTAAATGCATGCCCTCTATAATAAGCTGAGATATTACATGGTCCTAAATTGACGTAAGTGTTGTAAATCCTCATGTGGGCCTCTACTTGATTTATGTGAACTCAGACTGAGTGAGTTTTCTACTCATTTTTTTTTTCTACAAAATTGGAGAACACGTGTGCATTAAATTTTTTCTCATCTGTAATTTTATTTATTTATTTTTGTAATGCTTCCTCATTTGTATTCATGGCCTAGTTCAGTGGAGAGAGTGAAAAGACGAAAAATCATTCAGAGTACAAAACTAACTAACAATTTATTAAAGTTTCAAGCAAATAAAATTTGAAAACTATTTTAAGGTGAACAATGAGGAAGGCTTTGAGACCAAAAAGGAATTTACACCCAAAACTCTTCTATCTAGCTAGTAGCTAGAAGTGACAGAAGTGAAATAAATACACATGAACATATATATATGGTTCAACGATAATTTATTTATATTACAACTTATTATAATAAAATACATAAATATATATATAAATGTTGTGATGACCCTGTGGGCGGGTGTGCCGTAGGTGGGTGCGAGAGACAGTGTCAAGCTACCACACTAGCGAGTTACGGGTGCACAAGTCCCACATCACTTGGGTAGAGGAAACGTGAAGTGCTTATATGTAAATGTGTCATCTCTAATCGGTATGAGGCTTTTTAGGGTGAAGCCCAAGAGCAAAACCGTGCGTGCTCAGGCCCAAAGCAGACAATATCATACCATGTGATGGAGTGGGTCGTTACAAATGGTATCAGAGCTCGACCCAGCCGGAAGTGTGCCGACGGGGACGTCGGGCCTCCAAGGGGGGTGGATTGTGATGACTCTGTGGGCGGGTGTGCCGTGGGCGAGTGCGAGAGGAAAGGTGAAGTGCTTATATGTAAATGCCTCATCTCTAATTAGTATGAGGCCTTTTGGGGTGAAACGCAAGAGCAAAACCGACAATATCATACCATGTGGTGGAATACGGAAAGAAAGTGGCCGGTTTAATTGAATAAAGTATCAATCATGTGCATCACAATACGGAAAGAAAGTGGCCGGAGGTAAAATGCAAAGGGGATAAATTGTTCATTTTTGAAACTATAAAGACTGACTTGCCTACTTTTATAACTTGGTGAAATTTAAGAGTAGTAATTTTTTTTTTTTTTTTTTTGGGCACTTTTGTCATAAATTTATAACTAAAATTAATTGATAAAATAAGATGTACTTTCTAGGGATAATTTTAAAAAAAATGGAGTTTTGTGGGTTAAAAGATAAAATAATAGAGTCAAAATTAAAATTTTCAAATTAATGGAATTTTATCAAACTTTGACGTTGAAATAAAAATCTACAGAATATTATATATTTTTTTAAAATTACCCTCTGGCCCTCTCTCATACGCAGAGAGAGAAAAACTAAAGACGTTTCGGGTCTCTCCTTCTAAATACAGACTGTTTTTTCTGTTGGGGGCAAGGACGCGTATGCAAGCGCCAGTCTCCTCGGACATTTTCTTGATGAGTTCACCTTTGCGGCCGATTAATGTATCAATTCTCGAGCTCCTCAGAATCGAAACAAGACCCACTGGAATTTGCACGTGAACTGTACGGACGTCATTAAATCCGGCGAGTAACCGGCACCGGAAATCACCGGTGCGGCACAGTTCCTGGCATTGATTTGGTAACCGGTGAGATTTATTCAAGTTCTCTGTTTCTCTTGGGAGAGAGAAACAACAGCATTGACTATGGAGTGTCTCTGTTGTTTTCAAGCCAGCTACAAAACCCTAGTGTGTACATGTGTTGTAACTTGTAATCTATTCTTACAATCTTGAAATTATAGGGATGATCCAGTGGGATGATTCAGTGAGTAGAGGATGATTCAGTGGTTCTTGTTTCGATACTGCTGCCGGAGTGGGCATTGTTTCTTCCGGTGCTGATCCGGACAGAGGATGATCATCTCCTACTGGCTCGCCGTGGCGGTTACAGTGGCAGCGTCAGTTGTCTCTGTTCGTTGATCAGATTCTGGGGCATTGGATGACCTGTTCTCGGCGACCTTGGTAGCAGCAGCAACAGTAGAAGACTTTGCATGGAGACGCTTCTCAGTTTTTCTCTCTACATTCGAGAGATGGGCAGTACCATAATTTCACAACAATAGAAAGGCAATTTGAAAAAAAATGAATAATATGATGTCGGTTTCTACGCACACGTCAGATTTTATTAAAATTTCATTAATTTAGAAAACTTGATTTTGACTCTATTGTTTTATCCTCTAACCCACAAAATTTTATTTATAAAAACCCTACTTTTTTAAATAGACTCAAATCACTTTTATTATATGCATTTACGTGGAGTTTTAATGGATACACTCAACGATAAATCAGGATAGGCTGGTGTTATTTTGTCATACTCAATTTAATTTAAAGCTATTAATTGTTGAGTGGTATTTGCACCGATTTGCTGTAGTGAAAGTTTTTGATTGGTTATTTATGCACCATATAAGTAATGGATTTGCTGTATTGAATTTTATGCACAATATAAGTAAATGGAGGGTCGATTCCCTTATTTGTTGTATAGATAAATCAATTAAAATAAGTAGGTCTGATAATTCACTGCAATAAATCCGTGCACAAATCATTTTCCTTAATTATTTCACTATGCTATTATAATTACATATGCATATACTATTAAACACTATATTCACAATGTTAAATTTATAATTTATATACTAAGCACTAAGCACAAAGCACACTTTAAAATATAATAAAATAAAACATTAATAAATAAAAAAATTTGTGTAAGAACGAGACTAGTAATGACAAAATTCGCCTGACTTAGGTGCTACACAACTCCAATTTACTAAATTTCAGAACCCTTGGGTTCAGACTTGACTCGATCACGGCTAAGTTGAACATGAACCATTGGTTAGACTCACTTGGTTTGGGCTGGGTTTGCAGAGAAAGGGAGAGAAGATTTGATTATAAAATTAAGACCAACCTCCATTAAAAAGTTTAATTCTTTCAACCCCTTGGTTTAGGACCAGCCTGTCGGGATAAGAAAAATTAGTTGCTATAAAATCATTAATGAAAGGGATAAGAAAATATGAGGAATAATCTTCCAAAATATAAAAGGAGAAACAATGTCTCAATAGGTCAAACTTTGATATATATGTTCTGATACATCCAAGATTGTATTATCCAAAAAAGATTCCATTTAAGGGTTGTGTTCTCTATCCTCACCCTATATATATATATATATATATATATATATATCTACAAAACCTCAAAAAAAAAAATCTATATAATTCAGAAAGGTTAGAGAGTGTGTGAGAGAGAGCAATATTTTCAAACCAAACAAGTCTTTAGTCTTTCCTTTGCAACAATGGCGTCTAATGGAATCACAGAAGAAACTGCCTCAAGAATGGAAGAAGGTGCCTCCACTTGCACTGCAAAAAAAACCCTAAAGGAGGGCTTTGGTTTGTGCACATCAGCTGTATTTGTGACCACCACCCAAAAGGTCAGTCATTAAAATAAAAATGTTATATATATATATATATATATATCTGCATGAATGGATTTTTGTTCTTAATGTGTGTGTTTTCTCTATATACAGTTGATTGCAGAGCTGATTGGCACATACTTTATAATCTTCTCCGGCTGCGGCTCAGTTGCCGTTAATAAGTTATATGATGGTGTGGTCACATTTCCAGGGATTTGTGTGACATGGGGTCTCATTGTCATGGTTATGATTTACTCTGTGGGTCATATATCCGGTGCCCATTTCAATCCGGCGGTCACCATCTCTTTCGCCGTCTTTCGAAAATTTCCATGGGCGGAAGTAAGCATTCTGGTTTTATTATTGTTGTTTGGTTTTCCTCCTCAATTGTTAGAAAAACTTTCAAAATAATAAATAAATAAATAATTTGATCCACCATGTTAAACGATACATTTATATGGAGTAATATGATAAAAAGATCTTGAAAAAGCCAATTCTGTAATCTCTAATTGATACAGAGGCGGCTTGATATTATTTGAGGCCCAAAGCAAAATTCTAAAATTAAGTCTTCTTTTGTTTAATATATGAATATAATATTAATAATTTTTAATCAAGGAAACTTAAAACATTAATTGGATTTTTAATTTTAGAAATAGTAATTTAATTTTGTAGGCAATTAATGTGTGAGGATCTGTGACCCCAAAAGAAATATAATGACAATTATTGACACGTAATAGACATAGTGTTTTGTTTTTGTAGGCAATTGATGTGTGAGAGAGTTCAAAATAAATATGATGTTAGAATAATTATTCAAAATGATTTTATTTTGTAAGCGCGTGAGGGTAATTTAAAAAATTACTCTTTAAAATTTTTCCAATTTTAAAGAAATATCAGTTATGTTTATTTTGTAATTAATAGAAACATAATTAATACATTAACAAAATTTTGTGGCCTCTTTTTTCATTGAAGCGCAACTTTGTATTTGTATTCGTCAATATAATAAAAATTGCATTATTTGATTATTAATATATTAAAGGAAGCATAATTAATTCTGTAAAAAACATATGGGGCCTCTTTCTTTAATTGGGGCCTTAGGCGCCCTCAGTCGCTTATGATTGAGCCGGCCCTATTATTGATATGACACATATTACTATCCAATTCCAAATCCATATAGTTGAAATATATTTTTATTGAGTTTTTACTTTTGATTTATTTGCTTTTTTTATTTTCTTTTTCAATGTATTATAAATCTAACTGCCTACCCAAATAGAGTCTTTCGAACTCATATAAATTTGGAAATCCTTTTTCAAATTTTATAATTGGAAATCTTCTTCTAATATATGAGCAAACAATTTTTAAGATAAGGAAATCATTAATTATTCATATAAGAATATCAGAATTTTTGAATTAAAATAAGAAAATAATTCTTGACAAGATAGGGAGACATTGCCCTTTGGAAATGTAATTTGCATTTGAACCTCCGTTTTTTTTCTTTTCTTTATCTTTTTCTTTTTTATTTATCAAATGATATAGGTAATGGAATTCAAAATTTCAAAATCATTACCCTTAAAGCATGATATTCTCAGTTATTCCAAACCTATCATCTCACAAAATAAAGAATTGTGATACTAGGTTCGACTACCTTAGATGAGACTGTTATACAAATTTGTTACACTCCATTTATATATATATATATATATATCATGTTTTGTAGGTGCCGCTATACATAGCAGCCCAGGTGTTGGGATCAATTCTTGCCAGTGGCACCTTATGTCTACTGTTTGATATAACTCCTAAAACTTACTTTGGAACTATACCAGCTGGATCTGATATGCAGTCTTTGATATTTGAAATCCTCATCTCTTTCCTCCTCATGTTTGTCATCTCTGGTGTTGCCACAGATAATAGAGCGGTATGTTAATTAATTTAGCACTAATTTATATTTTTCATGTCATTACTTTTCAATTTTACTTAAGTAATTATATCGAGCTTTTTCTGCTACTCAAACATTGGTTCCAGGCATTTTCTCTATCTCTTTTTACCCTGAAAATGGAGGACCACTTGGTGTGCTTGTACCGATAACCATCTTTTGACTAATCTAACCTCCTCCGTCTGTTGGGACTAACATGGGATAATACAAGATTATTCACATATCGTTTTGGAATGAACAAAATGTTCATTTTGTTTTGAGCTACTGTTCTTTCTTTTTTATTTTTTGAAATTTTTCTTCATGTATAAAAGCTACTTTTTGCTACATTTATTTATTTATTTATACTCTTTTGTAACAAAAACTTTTTTTGTAATAATGTTTATTTGCAGATTGGAGAGCTGGCTGGTATCGCCGTTGGAATGACAATACTATTAAATGTCTTTGTTGCTGGGTATGTTTCTACTCTAACATAATGCCATTTACAGTGCTCTTGAAAATTATCTATATCAAACAATAGGTTCATTTCTGTAATTTTACATTATAAAAAACTAAGCATCCCTCAATGGAATAACATGATATTTGGTATTGTGCTTAATAATGCTGGAACACTAGCTTATTTCTTAAAATACGAGCATACCCTCTAAGCTAGAATGAGCCTTGATGTGTCAGAGTCACTTGTTTATCTATTTTTTTTTTAAAGTTCAAACAAACATACACATCCACGATATTGTCCCTATACCTTATGAAATAAGGTTTAATGTGTCAGAATCACTTGTTCGGCTAATCTTTAATTTCAAAAGTTGAAGCAAAAACATGCACACATTCTCAACCTCCCTTCTAACAAAATGAAATCATACTAATGTCTATTAGTTCCTTGTTTGGCTACTTTTTTTTTTTGGTTTGGCTACTCTTGAAACTCAAAATTGATTCACTTTTTCACAATGGTAAATGCAGGCCCATTTCTGGAGCATCTATGAATCCAGCGAGGAGTATTGGGCCAGCTGTTATTAGACATACTTACAAGGGACTGTGGGTCTATATAGTTGGTCCACTTGTAGGTGTCATGCTTGGAGGATTTGCTTATAACTTGATTAGATTTACAGACAAACCACTTCGAGAGATAACAAGGAGTGGCTCATTCCTCAAAAGCATCTCTAAAAATTGATTTATTCTATTTCTATTTCTCTTATATGAGACTCATTGTGTATATTTTTTCAATGGATTTCATTAGTTCTCATTTGATTCCTCTTATGAGAGAGAATGTATTTTTCTCAATGATGTTAGTATTTATTTGAAATTTTCATTTTGTTGCTTATGTGTGTATTAATGAAGATGCACACTACCAATATATATATATATATATATATATATATATATATATATAAAGGTTCGTCAATCTCAAATCCAAAATTTAAAAAAATATATGCATTTGAATAGATAAAAAACCGAAATTTGATTCATGCGTGGCTGCACATAATTAGAGGTTTGGAATTAGAATTTGTGAAATTTGAAAAAAAAAATTAATTCAATTTGTGATTAGCTTTTCATCAATTTCAATTTCAAGACTCCAATTAATTTCATACCGCCGTCCATGTAGAATTGTTGAAAAGCAATTCAAAAAAATTGAACCAAATTTTTTTTCAATTCCATCAATTCTCACCTGACAAGACCATTAATAATTATGATTAATATGATCCGAATCTATGTACATTAAATATATTTTATCAACATACTTGCCTTTTCCTTTAGGGTTTGTAAATGATATGCCTCTATTAAGAATATAAAAAGTATCATCATTTGATTAAATTATATACATATATTTTTAGTTTAGAAACAATAAGAATTGAGCTTTGGTAATTTGACTTACTATTAATAAGCAGAATGATGATTATGGGAGACACTACTCTTATCAAAAATATAGTTTAGTGTGACTTTGACTATTTGGTAGGAAGGAAAGAAAAGTTGGAGTCCAATTTGTTTCTTTTCGAAACGGAATGAAGAGGAGAGAGAAATGATATGTATTTGTTTGATAAAATTCATCAGAAGTGATAATTCTTGTTTACTATATTATTATTGTTGTTGGTGTGTTAGTTTATACATTTAAGGGTATATTGTTAAAATAATAATAATATTATTATTATTCATATTTTCTTCCCTTGATTTTCCAGAAGAAAGGAAGATGGGAACAGGGAATAGAAAATGGAACTAATCCATATCATATTCAATAATAAAATTTTAATAAATTTATAATTAAAATTAATTGATAAAATAAGATGTACTTTCTAAACAGACTCAAACTAATTTCATTATATGCATTTATGTGTTAAATCAGGATAAGTTGGTGTTATAATTTTGTCATGCTCAATTTAATTAAAAACTTTTAATTATTTCACTATACTATTATAATTATAATATGCATATACTATTAAACATTATATTCACATGTTAAATTTATAATTTATATACTAAGCACACTTTAAAATATAATAAAATAAAACTTGTTTAAGAGAATTAAGGCCAGTAGTAAATACTATGACCACGAAATTTGCCGTGCTACACAACTCTAATTTACTGAACTTTAGAATCCTTAGGTTCAGACTTGGACTCGATCATGGCCAACTTGAACATGAACAGTTGGTTAGAGTCACTTGGTTTGGGCTGGGTTTGCAGAGAAAAGGAGAAAAGATTTGAATCTAAAATTAATTGAATTGCGAATGAAGCCGTTGAGATAATTTATAGACCACTTGGTGTTGTTTAGTCCAACCAGGGCAGGTTGGACCCTTAGGAGATGTAGGATAAGGCCCCAGAGTTAATAGGAATGGCTCAAAAGTATTTCTTTATATGATAAGATTTCGAAAATTTTTATTTCCTTCCTATTATATTCTGCTAATAGAAAGATTCCAAAATTTTTATTTCCTTATATTAAACTTCGAAATTTTTTATTTGTTTATATTATAATTTTCCTAAAATTTTTATTTTCTTCCTAGTATTAAACTATACCCAATAGAAAGGCTCTAAAAATTTTTATTTCCTTATATTATAACCTCCTTAAAAATTTTATTTGTATTTATTATTAGACGGCCAAAAGAGATTTAATAGTGGGTCCAAAAGATTTATATCTTTATCTTACCCCCCTCCTGCTCCTTTTTTAATTTTTTTTTTCTCCGAATTTTGTAAAACTTTCCATATTCTTCTTTTAACTTTAATCTTCTTTGTGTTTTTTTTTTTTTGGTTCCTTCTTATTTCTTACTTAATTTTCGTCCTTTTTAATTAAGTATAAGTTGTATAACTCTAAGATCAAATATGTGACAAGAAAAATTAATTAGATTGACTCTATGTTAGATATTAAAAGGCCATTTTATATTTTTCGCCTATGTAAGGCGCCCTTGGTCCAACCTCCATAAAAAGTTTAATTCTTTCAACCCCTAGGCTCGGGACCAGCCAGTCAGGCAGCACACGTGTGTTTTGGATAAGTCAAGCCTAGTATGAACTAAGCTCATACATACTAGGTGTTACAAGAAGGAGCTTGTCCCATATTGGATCGGATCACGAAGCACCCAACCGTTACAGTTGGTATCAGAGTCAGACTTAATGCAGTGTCACACTAAGAGCTTGGCTCGGAGGCGTTCGGGTCTTCACCCCAAGTAAGTAGGGTGACCCGATTGCAACGAGGGGGTTGCGAGTTCGGGTGGAGAAGAATGTTACAAGAAGGAGCTTGTCCCACATTGGATCCCCAGATAGGAAAATGAATATATATATATATATATAAGTTGGGTGTTAAAACTATCTAATAATTTAAGCTTTTTGGTCGAATCGCGAAGCACCCACCCGTTACACCAGGCTACCACACCACTTTGTTGTATTGAGTTAGGTATGAATTGGGAATGCCGGTTAAAGCATTAATCGATTATCGAGCTATGAATATGTATCTTTATACTGAAGCTATTCACTAGAATAGGAGCACCCCCTCGAGTAAACCACCATTGATAAACACCAGAATAAGCGCTATTAACTAGACCAGGAGCACCCCTCAAGTAAAAGCTTCCACAACTAGTTGATCAAAATGAGGATTCCAAATTGCATGAGCAATAGGTCTGCATATAGACCTTTTATTTTTACGTTCGTATATATAACACAAACCAAATGTTTCTTGTGATTAGCTCCCCACTCACTCATCTTATACGTAGGCGCTCCACTTTTATTTATTCGTGAATCAAATGACAAAATTAGCACTCAACTATTGTAATAAGTCTTTTCCTTTTTAGACATTTTTCTCTCCTCTTTGATTTCTACTACTCTTTCAAGAAAAAAATATCTTTGGTTTCCATTTCTTTTCTTTCTATCTTTGTATGCTTCCTTTTTTACTCCAACTGAATCACGAAAACATACCATCAAGTTATCCTTGTTTCCATCTTTTTTTGTATGTTTCATTTTCACTCCAACTGAATCACCAACCCTTACCATTTACAAATATCTATTTATCAAATATTAATTATTTTATATACAATGGTGATAAGAATATGCATAATTTCGGTAATTTCTGGTGAATTTTTTAGAATTAGATGAAGAAAAATAAAATTAAGAACATTAGTGTCCATTTCTATCAAGAAAAGAAGTTATCAAAGTCTGGGAAAATTTACACTTACCCCGCGCGCGCACACGCACACAAAAAATAAATAAATAAATAAATGAAAAGCTATAAATAAAAAAAAAGGCTTTATAGATAATACAAATACTACACAGTATATGATTATAACTTTTAAAGTTTTTATTAGGCCATGATTGTCTTGTTATCTTTATCTTCATCGACAATAATTATTTTTCACCTTCTCTTTGTATTGTTCAGATTAATTTCTCTCTTTTTCATTTTAAATTGATAGTGTTGACAATGATTTGCCTTTAACATGTCGAGGACAGATGGTAGGGAGAGAGAAGAGAAAGGAATGAAAGAGAAAGAGAATAGATGAAGAGAGAGAAAATAGATGAAGAGTGAGTTTAGAGAGTCATACGAGAGAGGAGAGAGAGAAAAAGTTTGAGAACAACTGTAGATATAGAAGTGGAATTTCTTAGTATAATTTTAGAGTGCAAATATTAGCTCACTAAATATATCTCATTAAAACGTGTTACACCCATCACAAAAGGACGGATTTTAATTTTAGCCCAAAACACGCTTAATATAAGATTAGATTCCAAGAAAGTAGGTAAAATAACATTGTATATTTTTTATTCCCTCAACAAGCTAGGACATTCTCCAATGCTTTTCACTATCATTACTCTGATTCTCTGCAATACAACGCATCTTGCGATTCTTATTATCAGAAACAATTGTGATGTGAACCATTAGATGTTGCAATGCACCTGATCCACTCACCAGTTTGACATCCTCTTTCCGTGCATCTAAACTCTGAACTTTTAGGCCTCATTTCAACTAATTCCACAAAACAGTGGTAGCAAACACGTGTCCCTCCAAATCCTAGTGTGACAACACGTGGAAACACCTCCTCTCACATTTTTATGACACGTGGCACCCTGTCCTCACACTCCTTAATTTATAGTAGCTCACAAACCTAGAAATTGAGTCATGGATAGAGATAGTAACAAACAAACAAGCCCCATTACTACATGCCCATGCTTCGTTTGGCTCAATTTGTAAACTTCATTGTAGGAGTTGCACCATTCTTCTTCTTCCTCTTTCAATCCATTACACGTTCTATTCGCAGATGACATGAATTTCAATAACCTTTTTCATTCGAATCGATTCAATCACAACCATTAATAGCATTTATGACGGGTACATTAGAGTTAGGTATTGGTTGCAGAGCTCTTAGACATGTATGTATGTTCTTTTTAATTTGATATGTGATGAAGTAATGAGATTCTTGTAATAAAAGTTCAGCTTCTATGTGCTTATGTGTAACTTTTTTTGTTTTTTCTTTTCTGAGTAATTGAAAGAATAGTTTTTCTTTTTTATAAAGTAAATTGAATTGTGAGGTAAAAAGTTTGAATTGACTAATGATTGGACACGAGGTTTGTGAAAAAAATCACCAGATGTTAGGGTTGAAAGCCAATTTCAAAGAATTGATGTTTTAAAAAATGTCCTGCTCATTTATCCACACACATACATGTATTTGATCTTTTCTTTCTTCTTTTCAACTGGGTTCTGGTCGTGTCAAGGTCCTTGCTTGAAATCAAATCAATTTGAAATTGGGTTACCGAGTGATAGGGCAAATTATGATAAGATGTGAAATGAAATCACCATTTTGTGTTTGGAATAAATGAGGGTTTATCCGCTAAAAATTCACCATTCTGTGTTTGGAAAGTTTAAGCATTTATAGGTTATTGGTAGGCTTAACTGCACTTAATTCTCCTACGCTCCTACGCGCTCCTTTTGGGATACTTAGACGTGCCGATAGCTCGATAGTCCAGTAATTTAGTGTTTTCGGTGAGTTTTGTAGTGCCAAATTTTAACTCTCTGTATTTACTAATCTAACTTTTAACTCTTCTTACCTTGTAAAAAAAAAAAATTCGTAAAATTATTACCCGTATTCAATTACAACTCAATATGCAATCAGATACGCAATCAAAATATTGAATTAAGCTCACATATTTATTTGTGTGTAGGTTTTTACGTGTCGGGTTGTAATTAACTGAGACCATATAGTCCCGAATCATATAAAAATTTATTCTCATAACTCTCCTTATTTGGTACCTTAACTCCTTTTTTAATTTTTGTTTTCAACAAGCGGGATATCCGAAGTTTTACCTCGATTAATTCACTCGCAGGAGTAGCCCATATCTAGGAGGAATCGATGACCTAATGCTTCATGAAGCACCACGATTCAAATCTTTTCTAGCTAGACCAACTCCTTGAGTGACCTTAACTTTTGATTTGTTGTGCTGGGTTAAAATGATCTTATTGTCCATTTTGATATATTTTTCCTTCCAAAATTTATTTATCTAAAAAAAAATGAATAAGAAGTTCATTTTACCTCCTTAAATAATGGCAAGAAGGTAAAGTGAAATTCTTTTCAATTTTGTTAGGAAGGTTATTTGCCAAAAATATACTTTAGAGATATTATGTTTCACAAATCAATAATATATGGGGGTTAAGATTTAATGGGACGATTTTAGGGATGTTATGTGTCACAAACTAATGGTACATGAATAAGACATCTTCCTAAGTTTCAAGGACCTTAGAAAATACATGTGTTAAATTGCTGTTTAGAGATTCAATCTCTCATAAGAAAAGATTGAAAATAGATTAAGTAATCGTATGATTTATGGAAATTGAAGGCTTCACTATCATGTTTTTTAGTCACAATCTCACTTAAATGTCTATGAATACAACCAAGTTTAATGAACCCCGAAAGAAATGAAAATTTAAAGCCTACCAGTCAACTCAATGTGACTGGGTACCATCAAACAATGCATCCAACCACATGATGACATGTCAGCATCTACAAAATTCAACCCCATTCACATTTCATTTTCTGATTGGCTAGGGCTTACAGTTCAACAACCCACTAATTCTGTCCTGAAAAATGCTTCTCTAATCAATTAGAAGATCGAATTGATGCACCTAAAGCTCTCAGCCCTCGGATGCATGCAGTGGTCCAATATTCTATGCATTATTTGGGCTGTGATCTAGCCGGTGCTATTCTTTGGTTAGAAAGCACCGTCATTTCTTTTCGTTAATTACTTTGTTTTTGGACTTTGTTAGATCTGAAGAAAAAATATATAAAAAAGTAAAAGTAATAAAAAGTAAACGGAAAAGAAAAGAATTTAGGACTTTCTATGTATATGGTTAGGAAATGAAAAGAATTTAGGACTTTCTATGTATATGGTTAGGGAACAAAATTTGTAAAAAGGTATAAAAGATTTTCATGTCATGATCGGAAAGTACGAAAGTTATTAGAAATTATATAGTATGTTGTATTTAAATTAATCTTATTTAAGTGTGAGGGTGTTGTCTGAATAGTAAAGGGTTAAGCTTTAAGAATTCTTTTTTTTCTAACCCCAACCAAGTCCTAACTCTCTAACCATAAGCTTTAATGAAAATGGCACAGTTGAAATACATAACTTTTCTAGAAAAACCAATATTTTCTTGTGTTCTGTGTAGAAAAAAAAAATTTATAAAAAGTTTGGTAGTTATGGAAAATTACTTTCCCATCCCTTCCACTTTCCAGTACTTTCTATCTAACCAAACAGTTTTTGTTCATTCTCTTCTTTCTTTCTAGTTCCATTACATCTCACTCAGCTGAGTTATTATTGTACTGCCATATGTTACTCTCTGGTTAGTGGAAGCCTCCCCTGTGCCGAATCTTTCATTCCTTCCATTAATACCCTTTACCATCTTTCTCAACCAAATTGCAGGTGATTCTATTCATAGCCAAGCCCATTGCAATCACTTCCCTATACTAATAATGTTAAACATTTCCCATATATATTTTCCTACAAAGCAATCAAAACCTCCCTATTTATTATTAGGGCGTACATCTTATCCTCGATCTTCATACCCCACATTGGTTGGAACCTCGTCCACTAGGTTAGTCCTATTCGCGTAGATGTATCCATATCCAACTGCCAAAATGCTATCTTCCCTTCCTGCATCAATGTGATGTCTTCAGGTGCTTCATTACCAAACAACCCCTCTTTAATTTGCATGGGATGGTGAAAGAGATAGAAGCATAGAAAAAAAGTGAAAACTTTCAACTGAATTCACTATTTATTTTTGTGATTAGATGAAAAGATGAACGAAAACATATGGAGACAAAGGGCAAAAAATTAAATGAAACCCTCCCACACCCACAAGAATTTTCAGTTCTGATCAGAAAATAAGTGACTAATTGGATTGAAAAACCATTAAAATGGAAGTTAGGACACATCAACTCAACATATCATGATGTACAAGTTTATCCTTCAAAAAACATAAAAATTGTCCTTCACTTCCTCTGCACAAACATGTGGAGATAAATACTTAATTAAATTTCTTTCCTAAATCAATACACAGAATCATAAGGGTTTTAATTGACGGTTACAATAATTGTAAAATCATAATATATAGAAATTATTATTAATAATCAAGATTTTAACACCATCCTTCCACTAGCTTTACAATCAAAGGCCAAATTAAGCTACAAGACATATTCTTCATCCCAACTTATTGTATACATCTCAAGATCTCTCATATATGAATGAAAGAGTTACTCTATGTTTATATCCTCTCTAGAGAGCTACTGCAACAGTTAACAAGCTATAAAAAAAAATTAACTGATTACATGAAGAGATCTAATCCCTCAGATGACCTCTATCTACTCTCTAAATTCCAATGTCTTTCTAGCTTAAATACATATATATCAGAACATAGACATGTTCTATATATTGTCCTTCAACACAAGAGACCTTCTAATCAATGGTACTAGCTCTTTGCTTTTGCCAGTTTAATTAATTACCACAAACATTAGCCAAGAACGTACATATATAGCCCATAATTAACTAGCATTGAGTCGATACTCAAGATCCTCTGCAGTGCACCGCAGTACCATGTTGCAGGAGTTTTCGATCAGCACAACTAAATCTAGTTCTAACACATTACTTTTAGCTCGAAGTAATGATATATCGAGTCATGTAAATAGAAGAAGGGTAGGACACAGGTCACTTCCGAATTCTTCCATCATTTTGGACTCACCATTTTGTAGCTTCTTTTCGATAAGCGAAGGAGAAAGAGATGAAGGAGAAGGAACAGCAATGGAAAGATCAAGATTCAAGTTTTGTGAGCCTAATGCCTCATCTTCAAGGCAACTTGCAGCATCAGAAACTCGGTCGTTGTCGGCGTGAGTTTTTGATGGCCTAGACTCATTATTCTCCATGGATCCAGATGCTGATGATGTGATAAGATCAGTAGAAGTGTTCTGATTTTGTGGAGAAGAAAGGTTTTGGTTCAACCGATGGTTGTTCGGATCGATACCCATTCTTATCAGCTTTCTCCTTATGTGAGAATTCCAGTAATTCTTTACTTCATTGTCGGTACGCCCGGGTAACCTTCCAGCTATCAATGACCACCTAACAGTCCATGAAACATGCATTCATTAGAAAATTACCCATTATAGAGAACATAAGCTTCTATTTTCTTCATGTATGTCTTGGCTATTATAATTAGAAATTACACACACACAGTATGCACACACAAATTAATTTTGATTATGGTTAAATTATTTCTGCATGTTTGGTTCATTTCCTTGATTAAATTTTTGTAGTTCTAGAGAATGAAGAATTGTTATCTGGAAATTGGGTTTTTTGATTCATTTTTAGATGATTAAAAACTGTCAACAAAAACGAATTTCGAACAATTTTTGTTTTTTATTTTTCACAAAAAAAAAAAAAAAAAAAAAAAAAAAAAAAAAGATCCCCTTAACCAAGAAGGTTTTGATATCCTCTTTCACAATGAAAAGTATATCTATAAAACCATTAGGTTCAAGTATAATGGTAGAATGCATTGCATGCCTGCATAGATGGGGTGTGTGTGTGTGTGTGTGAGAGAGAGAGAGAGAGAGAGAGGTTGTACCGGTTGCCAAGGAGGGCATGGAGCCTGATGATGAGATCTTCTTCATCTTGTGCAAAGTTGCCCCTTTTTATGTCTGGCCTTAGATAATTTATCCATCTCAGCCTGCAACTTTTACCGCACCGGTGCAACCCTAATCATCACAACACAATAACAGTAAGAACAAGAAAAAAAATTAAAAAAAAAAATGAAGAATTTGACCAAGAGAGAGGTTTGAGTGTTGGAGTCCGGCTAGAGGACAATATCGCCAGTCAATATTGTGGGTATCTGTGTGTTTACTTGAACTTTTGAGAAAAAAAATAATAATAATAAAAAAATACAAAGAATCGGACGAGAAGACAAACCAGCAGCCTTGGGGAGGGTTCGCCAGTGACCTTCACCATGAGCTCGAATGTAATCTATGAGCTTCTGGTCTTCTTGCTTTGTCCATGCTCCTTTGTTAGTGTCTTCTTTATCACAGCAAGGCTTCCTCATTATTATTATCTCCAAACTCAATACCAGTAGAGAGAGAGAGAGAGAGAGAGAGAGAGAGTGGTGCAAAATGGGTACTCCTAAATATGTTTGGAGACTATTTGAAGAAGAGGTATGGAGGGTTGACTTGGACTGGCAGTTTAGGGTGTTTAGGTGGGTCACATTTTCACATTTTCACAACCCACAAATACTACTAGTTTGGACATGAAGCTAGGGCAGTGGTGAAGATAAGGTCTCCAACTTTTTGGTTTGGGTGAGTGAGTCTTGAAATTGTTTACCATATGTTGTTAGTTTGTAGTTTTAAAACTGTTAAGTATATGTCTCTTTCTTGTTTTTGACCCATGCACTGTTCATTTTTTATATATATATATATATCCATCAAAATCTTCATATCCTTGGTTAAGCCAATAAAATTAAAGAATACAACTGATATATATATATATATAAACCAATAAAATTAAAGAATACAACTGATATATATATATATATATAAACCAAGGATTCTTTAATTTTATTGGTTTAACCAAGGATATGAAGATTTTGATGGAGTCAAAGGCTAATCCGCCAGTCCAATTCCTGACCACCGGTCCTACATTTGGGAGGGTCTAGGTTGAGTTGAACAATGGATAAGAAAACTCTGATTAATTGGAAGCACACGCAGTACAAATTAATTTTCAATTTTAGTACGTACAATGAAATGTATATATATTTTTTAATTTTTGAAGTACAATTATAGACAATTTGAAATTGGAGTAGCATCAGCTTCTTGTTATTTAAAAAAATCCATCCCATTTGGAGAAATTTTATGATGGATTATTCTATTTGAACTGCATTGTTCTACTATGATTTTGGGTAATCGGTTTCTTTCTTAAGGTAGATTGACCATAAATCTAGTACTTTATTAACAAAATATAAATAAGTAAAAATAATGAATTAAAATGTTATATAAAAATTATCATGTATGCATTTGAATTTTGAAGTCTTGAGCATCTCCAGTAGTACGTTAAAACATCTTTTGTGTAAATTATACACAGTAACATATAATATATAATTTTTTAATTTCTTAAGATATATTGTTACGTCACTAATATGTAAAATTGTTGTGTATTTTACACCACCATAACATCATATTTATTTTCTCCTCTGTCTTTCTCATTCCATTAACGAATCAACCCTATATTAAGTAAATTTGTAAAAGTTATGTAGGATCTGGCATGACACGTGGTGGGTTGTTATTGGGGAATATATTTTTATATAAAATGTATAAAACAAGTGTTGGAGCTAAAAATAAATAATCTAAATTTTTTGTATAAATCATTCTACAGAGCAAATCGTATTCTATACTAAGTCGTATAAAGTGTGAGCCGGAACTAGAGTGAGAGTGTGAAAATAACAAAATTAATTCACAAACAATGAGAATGGGAACAAGAATGCGTTCAGAGTGTGAGAGCGGGATCACGCTCAGACCGTGAAAGCAGCACCGATTAATTAAGAAAGATTGTGTTACTTAATTTCTACACGAAATCTTGGACAATTATTAAAGAGATATTCAATCAATTAATCTATATCAAAGTATGAAAAAGGATTGAATAATATTTGGAGAAATAATTGAAACAAACTAAAAATTTAAATAACAAAATGCCAAAATATAATTAAAATTTAAAATTAATGTTTATAAAACCTATTCACTTTCACATTTAATTCTAATTTACACCTAGTCATAGAGTATTGGATAAGGATCAACTAATTAATCTATCAATAATCTTGGATTCCATACAAAAGAATATTTTGGTTTATATATAAAACTATATATATCAGTCCACCCACAAGCTGACACTGCATAATTGTATCATCCCATATAGGATACCCCCATGAAATTAAACAAAGCCTTAAAAGTATATACTGTACATTTTTTTTATTGGGAAAGCAATCAATATACGATGATCAAAAGATGTGACACTAATCACTAATCTGGATTTCTAAACAATGTATGGGTTTGCCGAATACTGGGGAACCAAATACTAATTAACCAACTTCACTTGGTCCACTTGGGTCGGACTTTGTTTATTTATTTTGTGGCTATTGTGTGTGTCTGTGTGTGTGTGTGTTTAATCATACAGTCTATAATTGAGGTAAAAATAATATAAAATATAAACACATGACATGGCAAAACCAAACCGTCCAATCATCACTGTAGTGTGTAGATAAGTTCTAAGTAGGACCCTTTAAAAATAGTGATGGATATTTGAATTCAAAAAAGATTAAAATATTGCATAATATTAGAAATTCATTCAAGATTTCCTCAACAATTGTTGTTGTTGTATGGAAATTGCACATGGAACAGTCTGGTTAGTGCGTAGATGTTCATAAACTTCATGGTAATAGTCTCTATTTGGCCCCATTGGGTGCTGTTTTTGTCAATGAGGTAATATAGACTTTTGTCAAAATAATAATAATAATAATAATAATAATGTATAAATATAAATAAAAACATTTCCATTTTTATCTTCCAGTTTTTACTTTATTTATTCATAAAATTAAAATAATAATTTTTTTTTTTTAATATATATGAGTTAGGGATGTTTGCTCGGGTGAAATTTAAAGCGTCGACCTTTTAATTTATTGATTAATAAAAAAATTATTAAGTAATTTGAGAATATTATGCTTTCCGTTTTTCCTATTCATAATAGTACTTCATAATGCTTTATAATATAAATAATAATAATAATACTTTGACAAAACTCTATTCATAATAGTAATGCTTTGACAAAAAAATAATTCTGCTTTGCTTAGCATTGGAAAAATAAAAACAAATAAAAAGGCCTACTTCTTTGCATGCAAATTGTCAGTAGTCACTAGTCAGTCCTAGGAAATGAAGCACTCCAAAAGTAGTAAATACTCCGTACAAAGCTCAGCTACCAATTAAATACTACTATAAAATTTAGTTGCAGCAGTCTAATAAATCACTCATATATATATATATATATATATATATATATATATATAATGTATGAAATTTCAGGTGAAAACAAACACATTCTATGTTACCTTTTCTCTTCTTAATTTACTCTGTAGTGAGATTGTTGTCTAGTATTTAAAAACGGTGTGTCTAACTTGAGTAAAACTATGAGCTCTTCTACGATCAACGCCACTGGAATTGTTAGGTGGCCAATCACGTCTATCATCTCTCAACAGTCCTCACAACAACATGGAAACCCTCGTGGAAATAACCCTTCCGAAAGGTAGGCATTTTAGTCATTTCACATTTAAGTAATTTTTTATTTAATTATAGATAAAAGTTTTAGTATTTTCAGCAGTCTTTATTTGGAGAAGATTTTTTATAAATGCAAACCATATACGTGTTTTCTGCTCGCGATTTTGATTTGATATTGTCGTTGCGTTTTCAAAATTGTTAAGTAGTGTTGTATTTTTTATTTAATTGTCCAAAATGATACTAGATCCAAATATTTACAGAGAGGATACGTGTCGGCAGTGTAAGCAAGCTACTTAAAAAATTATTATTGATGTGCAATAAGGATTAGGAAGAACTGAAAATTTGGAGTGCCTGAAATGATGACTAACAGCAGGACTAGGACGAGTTTGATTGTCATATTATTGATGTGTGACATGGATAAAATTTTGAGTCCCAGAAATTATGATTAGCAGTTGGAGCAGCATGCATAGGTTTGATTGGCAGGTGAGAGGCGACCAGTCTAATTGTTAGAAAAATCCAATTCAGTTCTACCATTCAAGCAATGCATGTGTGACACTAATATATTGATGAACAGCTTCCAATGTCACAATGTCAGTTCTTTTTTAGAATTCACTGCTGTGGTTCTCTACAACCATTCAGTTCACTAAAACCCAAAATGGGAAGGATCTAATATATATATATATATATATATATATATATATATATATATATATGAGCAAGGAACCTCTACATGACACATCACCATTGAATTGTATCTCGGTAGATGACTGATATATATATATATATGAGCAAGGAACCTCTACATGACACATCACCATTGAATTGTATCTCGGTAGATGACTGATTGCTCGCACGTATGAGCAATCATAGTCTTCTGCACTGCTGGTCGTACGACAAAATATTCTTTTTTATATGTGCTCACAACCAACCGGTAGCTAGTTTAGATAGTACAAGCTATCCTTTCTAGTTTTAGATAGTACAAGCTCTCCTTTCTTAACAGAGATGCAATGGATTGAATACGTGGAGATGCAATGGACACATTTAAAATGTATGAGTGATGGACACGTTTAAAATGTATGAGCAATCTGGGAGGGAAGGAGGGAGGGGGGTGGGGAGTAATGAACCAACATACCAGGGCAAAGGTCCTTGTGATAATGAATGGAAGCGTTGCTTGTTCGAACTTCCGTGGAGGCATAATATATATATATATATATATATAGTGTGTCTGTTTGTTTGAACTTTCTTAAAAAAAAAAAAAAAAAAAAACTCAAATTCCATACACTGGTAAAACAAGATTCTGTTTTCAAAAAATGTAACCAAAAAAACAAACATCAAGAAAGAAGTCTTTGATACTTGCAGGCTCCCAAACGAGAAAAATACAACATATAAAACCAAAGAAAAGAAAAAGAAAATGAAAAGTAAAAATGAGAATAATAATAATAACAATACTAAAATAAAATTTTGAAAAAACGTTAATTTTGCTCCTATTTCAACAAGGTAACACCAAAACCACCACATTGTTATGCACCCACAATCACAAGCGCCTGCCACAACCACCTTAGAAGTTAGAACCACCACCCTGTTGAAGCAAAGATGAATTATTGAAACTAGGTTTTTACAGCTGTAATGGATCTGGACTTGATGGTTCAGATTTCCAAACAATATATATCCATAACATTTAACAAAAACATTAGAATCAATATTTTACAAAAAGTTTCTAGGAACTAGGAAGCCATACATGATATTAATAAAGAAGATATACTGAGAACAGCTTGAACCCTACCTCAATAACCTGGAGTTGCAGAGAAAGGGATAATTTACTGATAGTTGAGCTTTGACTTTGATCCATACAGACAATGTCCATAAACATGGTTG